GCTTGAATGTCTTCGAAGTGATAAAAGGACAAGCATCCCCCGTCCATATCCTCGACAGATCCTACTCGCCCTGTTGGAGATAGTCTATCGATTATAGATGAGCTGTCAGTCCAGGTAGTTTTCTTTCAAAGACGAGTGTCCATCGCACTCAACAGATTGAGACAGGGGCTGAACAGCGGGAGAGGGTCATTGCCCGAGTTAACGCCCGTGAACAGCCTCATATGAATGATATCCTATATCCCTACCAATTCAAACGGTGGGTCCCCCACGGCATCGGCAGTCAGACACGAGGAAGGCCTGCTAGGTACTGCTTCGTGGGTATGTCACCCAGTGCCACTATCGACTTCAGCAATATTGGTTTCATCCTGGTCTTTGCGTATGAGTCGATGGATGTCGTAATCCAATGCGTCGTTCCGAAGGAAATGCTGAAGGTTCAGCCGTGTTGCTGAGAAGTAGCCTCGACCAGTACGTACTTCTCACTCGCCACTGTACGATCTCGAACGCTCGCGAGAGCTTGAGAATTCCTGCTTACTTTTAGTACAATTGCAGGGACACATTTATGGCGCACAAAGAATTGAAGCCCCCGAAGTTCTGGCAACACACGTGACTTGACCCTTTCTTCAACTGGATTCGCCATTGATGACATCTTTCTGCGGTTTTCTTACTCCACTTCTTGCCGGGCTGCGCTTGGGTTGCGCTTGGCATCGATTTGGTGAATATCCAATGATCTTTGCTGTGGGTATTGCTGGGGCAAAAGTTCAGTACGCGTATGTGCGGGAGGATCGATAGGCACAAACCTTCTGGGTAGGCTTTAGCGAAGGCGGTATTGCCAGAGAAAAGAGTTACTGGTGTCTCAAGAAGAGCGACGCAGCTTTCATTACTACATCCCACGCTCGGTAGCAAAGACGCTTGATTTAGTCCCTTTGTTCGGACTGGAGGAGCAAAGCTGATACATGGCAGCGGTAGCCATTGGGGTGGAGCCGGGATCGCTCTTATCAACATCATACATTGACCATATTACTCGCTTGTCGGTCAAGCTGATGCTTCTGCAGGGCTGTCACCTCGGGCAAGCAAGCCCAAGATACCAAGCCAATCTCAAGATCTACAGCATTGGAGAGTACTGCACACCACCAAAAACGTGGCCTCGCAGGCCCGCAGAATACACTTGCCAAGCGGATAGGGGATTTCGTTTCGGTCGGAACTTTTCCTCGCTGGCTTCCTTTCAGCCTTCAAGCCCATAGAAGCCACAGCCATTCTTCTGTATGTCCCAGTGTGGCGCTTGGCTCAACGGCCCATACCACGGGGTGGAATACCCGTCACTCAGCACCCAGTACCCCGTATACAGTACCCACGTTATCAAGGAAGCCCTTTACAAGTATGCGTTGGGAAATAATTGCGCTTCTATTTCCGGAGACATGACATCATATTCATGCTGCCCATTCAACTATTCACTTAGGTACTTCAGTAGGTAATATCTTGTTCGTCAATCAAAATCCGAGTATACTCCATGGAATGCGCCATACGCCAAAAGTCGGCAACAGACCCGTGATGGTCGATCTGTTTTCCTGGTTTACTGAGAGGCATTGATGCAGTGATGAGGAGTCCTGAGCCAGATTTTGCTGTCCGGACGACCTGGATCCTTTTCGCATGGGCAGACTCTAACATGATCTAAGCTCCTAAATCCTTGTTCCCATGCTTCTTCCCGTACTAGTAGCCACCGCCCAACTACATGATCAATCGCCGTGTCTTGTCGGTTGGCTGAGATTGTTTAGTTTCATGTCCCTGGATCTCACAGGGTCAAGGTGGGTAAGGGCAAGGAGGGTGGGTAAGGGCAAGGGGTAAAAGGGTGACACGCAGTTTTACGAGCCATGATGACACCCCATAGCTCACCGCTGCCTGCAGTGTCGAATAGGTTCCCGCCTCCTCCCAGCCACCTGTTGACAACCACCTAATTTGTGAGGGGTACAAATACTGGCCCGGGAGTCCTGGATAGAAGAATTCATGAATCTACGGAGGTCGGCACAAAAGTCCTGGACAGCGCTAAAATACTTGGCACTCTTGGCATTCTTGGCACTTCTGTATAATTACATTTATTTAACGATAATGCTTTATATAATTGCGTATATACTTATTAGCTCGCTCGGCGGAGTCGTACAATCGTATATCACCTTCCTCACGGCCTTCCCTATACTCGTTACTATCTTTAAGGCGTATTACCTCCGCAATATGTCTCGATATTCGCTCTATCTACTTCTAAATCCTCTTTTAAATAAGCTCGTGATTTTAATAATATAGTCACCGTCTTTCGGCTTTCTTATAAGTTCTTAATATATCTTTTTAAGTAGTATAACGTTTTATCTATAATTAATAAGGCTTAATCATATTAAGATCCGGAGAGTTATCGCATCAGATTATTCTAACGATATTAAATAATATAAATACCGCTTCTTAATACTTTAATGCGTATATTGAGGCTTTATCTTCTATAACTATTATATTAAGTCTTTCTTATTTACACTCCTAAGCGAACTTTAGAAGCTTTAGAATAAGAATTTATGTCTAATAAGAAGAAGAAATATAAGAAATACGGGGATATATACCTTTTTCTAGTAGCGATATTAATTAATTCCCCCCTTCTTCCCCTTAATAGTAACTTTTCTAGTCTTAGTAGTAAAGTTTTATACGGGTTTCTTACCAGGAGGATTCCGAAGACCTATACGTCTTATATCGATCTTAAGTTTCCAAGCTTATTTAGCGTTAGGTTCTAGAGTAGTATTAATTTTAGCGAGATTCTCGGTATACTCCTTTTTTTTAGTAGCGGTCTCGGCTTTCTAGATATAATAAGAACCCTTTTTATTATAAGAAAAATATTCTTAGAATATAAACTCTATAGCACCTACGAAACGACGTCGTATATTAGATTTAACGAAGATCTTGTTAGATTAACGCTATACACGCACTCTTCCCCGCCGAGAATTTAAGATTACACTAATCTCATCACTCCAAATTACTCTTTTCCAGTCTTCTATAGTCCAATCCTTATATCGTAAAGCGAATTAATAACGTACTTTTATTATAGCTTCTATAAGAGACGATTTTTTAATAATTTTATAGGCTCGGAAATTATTACGTCTGAGTACTCGTAATATTATTGTGAATAAGATTTCTTATTTAGTAGTAAGTATAAAAGAAGTCTTTTCACGGCCATAGCGGTTTTTTCATACAATATCTAGAATTATACTCTTAAGTATAGATGTAATAATTAGGGGATATTCGAATCTAGGCTTATCTATAATATATGATATTAAGAGCTTTTTAGATATAGTAAGATCGTATCCTCTATCATGGGCTTATTTCTAAAGTCGACCAATGATTTGACGAGATATTTCGATAATTATAGTAATAATTTTAGTAGTAATCCTAGCCTCAGCTAAAGTAAGTGCTTGAATTCGAGTTCTATTATTATAATTAATACTCTAAGTATTAGGTATATTAACGAAAGATAATTAAGATAGAGAATAGTAAGAAGATTTCTATCTATTATACTATATAAACGAGACTTATATATTGAAAGTCTTTATACTCTCCCTCTATTCCCCGGCGCCATAATTAATACTTTAATATTATCGCTATTATATACCCTATTAATATCGCTATTATATATATACTTCGCATATATATACTTTGTATATATGCACTCCGCATATATGTATAGCGTCGCTATTATGCAGAGCACTAGTACTTATTAAAATAAAGAATAATGATGCTATTCATGAAATTTGGAAGTATGTCAAGCACTCAGCCCTACCTGGACCCTTGTCTTGGCATGTCTGGCTTTTGGTGCCGACCTCCGTACTTTTTCCTCCTTTTCTGACCTGCAGCCTAAAGTACTTTGAGCTAGCCGATCCAGCGGGCCCGCCTTAGTATGCGGGTTTGTCGTCGTTGCAGCACTGATTGGCCCACTTCTAAGGTATTCGGAGGTGGCTTAGCCGCCACCTCTGAAAGGCGAGCAGTGGTGCTATTGCATATGATAAAGTACTGCTGTCCCAGAGATGTTGCTGGTATTCCCTTGAGCCCCCTTAAAAAAATTACAGCCCGAAAGCATTCGGCACATCACACTTCCTCGATGGAAAAGATGATCACTTTACGCTTTTACCATATAGGCTCTCGTCTCCCCTCATTTCCACACTGTTCTGAATCACATACTCGATCAATATCAAGTTCCGAATCAAGCACGTTACCGTCATTTCTACCAACTTCGATAGCGTCCCCACTCGCTTCCCCTAGCCTCGGGCCTTCCCTCTGTACCACCTAAAATGAAACTCCTCCCACTTCTCGTAGCCTCGCTCGCAGCCACAGCATCCTCCCCACACACCCTCCAATCTCGAGATACCAAATGCTCAGAGCCTACCGCCAGCACTGAATGAGTCCCCGCGCCGCGCCGGCACACCTCCGTTACGATCCTTCGTCGCATGCAGCGGCCAAGACCCGATGAGGTATCCCTGCCACCGCCAGCCTCAGCGAATGCCGGCGCATCCGCCGCAAGCAACATCGCCAAAGACAACAGCTCAACATCCTTTACTCCACAAACGATACCTTCTCCGCCTGCTTGGGTCCTGACACTCGAAGACCTTATCACTGCCATCTATCGTATTGTCATTACCATCCTCACACTCTTCAATGTCAACATCACTTGGAGAATCCGCGGTGAGTGTCAGAGGAGTCCTGCGTACGACGCCAAAACTCACATGTCCGATAGCGAACCAAGATCGTCGACCTCGTGGGTTAAGGCATGCATGGGCCGGTGTGAGGTTGGAGTTTGTTTAGAGTAAGATTTCTGCTGGGTATGCGGTTTCGGTCTGGTTCGGTTGGATAGCGAGGAAATAAAATATTAGAGGATGAGAGTATCATGCCTCGTTTTGGCGACTGGTGCCCTGGTTTGCTTGCAGTAGAGTAGAATCATTTCAAAAGACCGTTGTTTTCCCGACGTGAAAAGTTGCAGACGAGGTTCTTCAGTAACGGAGGAATGATAATAAGATGCGAGATATCACGGAAGGAGATCATTGAGGAATCGGAAGTCTTGTTGTGTCTGCGTTCACGGTTGATGAGTCGTAGAGGCGATGTTCGAAACTACCATTTTGCGCGGCTTTCCGTTCCACGCCCGCTGAGGCTTTAAGCACCTGGACCCGGAAACAAGGACGGTACTCTCGATACGAGAGGTCAAAGATGCTGTACCGCACATGCGATCCTCAAGAAAAAAACATTCGATCTAAACACGGAGTTTTCCGCATGAATGCTCCTTTATGCTTTTAGGCAGGGAAGAGAGTCGATCTATGAATATGACCGTGAATGGAAAAAGAACATAACTTAAGACACTGCAAGATCTTTCTTCGTTCATGGGAAGTGCCGCGAGTGTAAGCTCAGATATCAGCTACTCCATTGCTTCCAACCGTGGCTCCTGTGCTGAAAATCGCAAAATCCTGAGTCATCCCGTAGACGCCAATCATTACATCTTTACTTCATCATGATATTTTTGAAAATGGCGGCGTTACTGCAACATTCACATCGAGCGCTGATGATATCGCAGTATCCAACCTCATACCAATAGAGGGAGGCTGTCCGGACACCCGCGCCATTGCTTTTCCTCAAATGCAATGCCGGATTAGCCAGTACCGAGATCCATCGGAGTGGACGGCCTACGTTCAGCAGCTCGACTTGCGTTTCCGCGTTGGTCTGAAAGAGGTACTGGTGGAAGAGGCTTTTTGCGAAAGTTGAAGCCATGTTCATGATTCGAAAGCTGTGGCGTCCAGCCATGAAAAAAATTCGAGGTAGGTAATCTAACAGTATTGGCACTATTTATATCGTTTCGAGAATCTGAAATTGGCCCTTGCCTGTCTATAGTCACTGATTGTCCATACCGAGAGGAAGACATTTGAGCAACTAGTGAGGCTCCACTTTCGATCAGGTGACCTTGGATTCGAGTGTTGTTATTAAGTGGCTGGCTTGTAACCATAGACGGCCATTCCGTGGAACAAGCAGAATTGGACTGCTGCGATGGTGTGTCGCTAGCATTTGGGTCCATGAGCGGAGCTGGATGCGAAAATGTATCGTTGTAAAGATAATCAGGTTGGAATGAGTCATTGAGAAACGCTGTTGGATTTAGAGGAAGGTCGTACTGCGGGTTTGGAAATCCCGTGCTAGAATTTTGGACGTTACTCGAAGAAAGCGACCCAGGCAGAAGTCGTGAGAGTGGAGCACGCCGCCGCGTGTGATTAGACAGTGATTGATACGTTGAATTTGACAGAGGTACCACCATAGCGGCTCCTGGACTTCGAGGAGCCGTGGAGACCTTATCAAAGCTCATCTCTCCTCTACCCGTTGTAGCCATTGAACCCTCCTGACTCGACCGTATCCACTCATAGTTACTGAGCTCTAGCGCCGCCTTCGCGAGGACTAGCGCAGGCTCTTTACCCATCTCAAGTCTCAGTTGTAGGCCTTCTGCCAATGGCATTTCCCACCGAAGATTGGATGCTACCAAAAGAGGATGCGATCTCAAAAGAGCACGCCAGGCGGCCTGCACTTCGGGCTCAAGCAATAGTCCCCTAATCGAGTTGCTCAATTCCCACGCGCCCATGTTCTGACCGTGTCTCCAATGCTCGTTGTCGATATGATTCAATCGATCCGTGATCGAGATGAAGATCATAATACAAAGTCCACAGGAGAAGTATTTCTTTTTGGAATCATATCGCCATCGGTCAGTAAGTGCTTCGCCAACTTTACTGTGAACACGATGTAGCGCCAGATGTCTGACCATGTCGCTCCTTCTTGATTTTTTGAGGGGAACCCCGAATTTGCCGAAGCAACTTGAGATGTTGTGCCATGCCAGATGATCCGCGTCGGGATCTGCTTTACCACAAAGTGCACATATCAGGCCATTCCGAGTAGGCTCCACCGGTCCATGTGGCATGCACAGATAACCTGTTTCATGTTCTCTTTCATGCCTTTTCCAGCCTTCACATTTGTTTATCGGTCTGGAATGTTCCCTGTAAGTACACCAATGTGCATGATTGGACTCATCATCGCAGGCAATCCCCTCGGGAAGCTCAGGCAAAGGGATGCCATAGCCTAAGGAGCCACCAGAGCTCCTTGGGGTACAATAGTCCGAATTACTACTGAAGACAGCAGAGGGGGCGAAAGAGCTGGTCGAAGATCTTAGGCTAGGATTTGTCGAGGGCTGTCGTAGATGGCGTGATGTAGGCACAACGGGGGATCTGAAAGTGGAGATGGTGTTGCTCAACGTGCGCTGCCCGTTGAAATCACCTGTGAGCTATAGTCAGCGACAGGCCATCGGTAGGAACATTTGGCAAGATCATCACTGACTGGTGCGAAAACTGAGAGTGAGCCATGCTAAGATGTCGCTGTCGCCGCAGTCTCTCAATGTGGAGAGTGCCTCAAGCTGCTGATTAGAGAGGCACCCTCGACCTGCCTGGTACCGGAAACCCGGCTCAATGGACCGCAGAAGTGTAAGCCAGGCAAGGATCTTCTCGTTGTCGAAGGATAGAAGCTCGTCGAGGGCTGCTTGTTGCTTTGGGGTCGGCAATGTGTGTGGCTGCACGTCCGAGGGGTCAGAATAGATAAGATTGGGGTCCTCAAATGAATGAGGCTGATTGGCGTAGAGAGAAAGTAGGGCTGGGCTTCTGACTAATGATGCTGCAGCACCCTTCTGCATGATTGCGTCTGAGCAAAGATTCTCTAGATGTCAGAATTTCAATGCAGAAAGAGCGCTTCATGAACTGTTGCCATTTTTCATTTTTTTCTGGAGACACGACAGCGAAACGATGACTTTTGTTAACCATGGTAAAACCGCTGACCTCCTGCGCCGCTGGCTGGCAGTCCGCAGTAGCATCATTTGCTTCGGACTTTGGCAGGAACAGGATCCGTGCTTGTTTCATGATCGGATTTCTGGCCAGGAGGAGTTGCCAAAGCTGTCACACAACGCGCGATTGAAAGACTGCATCACCTGGAACTCAATTGCGACATGCGACGGTCGAATCAGGCCCTCTCTCTCTCTCTCTCTCTCTCTCTCTCTTTTGGTACCTGGTGGTGCTGGTGGTGCCTACGTGAACTCTTCACCTGCCTCGACAACCATTTCACTTTAGCCTAGCCATCATGTTGAAGACAGAACATACATTTAATCAAAGCCTTTCTTATTCTAAGTAAAGACGTCCTGCGAATCTCTACCTGCAGATCGTGACTTCCAATGGCCCGCTTGGAAGTTCTTTGCAGAATGAAAGGATGGCGAATGAATTTTCGGAAGTGGCCTTGAACTTGGGGCTCGGCTTTCGGAGCTACTCCGCCACAAGATCCCTGGGACGCCCCACCGCTTCTTGAAACTTAAAGTCATGTGAAGCAATCAAACGATATCTCATTCTAGGCGTATTTAGTAACATGAACACTCGATCGTACCCATCAAGACCGCGATCCATTCAAATTGCCACTCTCTCTCCTGCCAACGCTACGACGAGAATGTTAAGTGCCTATCTAGCAGCATTGACATGATACTAGACTTTCATTTGGCAACGCTGCCCACAGCCTGACAGCTTTAGCATGCTACATCATGTTCTCTGAAGATTTTTGAGTCGCCGAAATGTAAGGAACATAGATCTATCATTACTGGTGATCACGACGCGAGATATCAGTAAGAAGCAATCCAATCCAATCCAATCCTATCTCCGACGTTGAGGTCGGTGAGCTTCAAGTCGCCATCGATCACAATTTCCATACATCATCTTCGATGATCAAGCTCGCTGTTTCAAATTATGCATGTTGCCGTTCCTTATCTCTTCCAACCCCCCAAAAGCGGTCGAGGCGCAACATCCAAGTACATACGCCTATCGCCAACTCTCCGTCACCGGACATCGCACATCAGTTGCCCTGATTCTCGTGAAGCGACCAAAGCCCGATGAGGTATCACCGTTACCACCTGGCCAAGAGCCGACCATAGAGACGAACAACGACTCGTTCAGACAGCCGCCAATAGCTGCGAATAGTTGGTACCAGGAGGTGTCATTAGCCATAGTCATGAACATAGCCTCCAGTAGCAGGCTGCTGACGAGGTGCTTGAGGAGGAGGGACAAACGACTCATGGAAAACAAGCCAGTCGTGACTGCCGAATGCAGCCTGCGTGTGCTTCTTGTTCACGAAGTGGAGCCTTGTGCCATTGCTGAGCGCCAGGTGATCGATGCCGGTAGTGGTGACGTGTTTGCCCATTTGCCCTGGCTGGGTGCGAATACCATCTTTGCTACAGAAGTCAGGATCGTCGAATAATTCTGACTGGATCAGAAACACTTGGTGCAGGTTGGATCTTGATGCATGGTATTTCAATCGCCAGAGGTGCTGAATGAGTTTGCCGACATGGAAGCCACCTTCCACGCCAAGACCTTTCAAGAGCGTGATGGAGCGTTGAGAAGTCTTGGAGACGCCATGTTTGGGGCTACGGTGGACCCCGAGAACTAGCATGATTAGCTGATATTCGTATGTACAGTCGCTAGGTTTGGTGTATTTAGTGGCTCGTTGAGGATGGTTTTGGAACGATCAATAGCTGAATGTTAGAAGAGAGGTAACCGGCCGTCGTTTGTGTTGATGTAAACAACGAATAACACAGCAAAGATGATACGAGATGTGTTGTGCCCTACAAACATTGATCACTTGGAAATTTGGGATGAAGAAATAGACGATTAGGAGGACCCAAGATCATTAGATGCACGACGGGCTAATTACCGAATCATACCCCGAAACTATGAATCCTTACCGAATCATACCCCTAATTACTGAATCATACCCCTACACCAAAATTTGGGGTATGATTCGGTAAGGATTAATTGCTTGGGGTATGATTCGGTAATTTACCAAACTTGCCATAGTGGCCTACTTGAATAGCCTACTTGTAGATGCAGCTAGGTGCCTACTTTATGTCTATACCTGTGTAGGCTATTGGGAGTAAAGAGTGTGTGTGAGAGTCACAGACTGGGTGTAGATAGGCTGGGGGGCCAAATTTAGCCCACTGTTGGGCGGGCAGCCCCCACGGGGACCCTGCGACGGTCCTACGGGTCCCCTATTTAGGTCCAAATAGCAAATAGGGGTGTCTGGCTGTTAAGCGCAGACACCCCCGCAGCTAAAAAAGCTTGGTCCCGGGGGTGTCTGCGCTTGATAGCCAGACACCCCTATTTGCTATTTGGACCTAAATAAGGCCCCCGTAGGGCCGTCGCAGGGCCCCCGTGGGGGCTGCTGCTAACACCCACTCGGCTTTCATTTAAGCTGGTAGGTCACCCATTGAATACGGTCGGAGATATTTCTTTTTTCTATGATCGGATGGCCCAGGTCGCGATTTTTCTCCTTTGCGATTTTTGTCATGAATGGCAAATTACCGAATCATACCCCAAGTAATGGCAAATTACTGAATCATACCCCTAGGGGTATGATTCGGTAATTAGGGTATGATTCGGTAAGGATTCATAGTTTCGGGGTATGAATTAGTAATTAGCCAGATGCACGACTGCATAACAATCGCCAAAAGATTTGATTATTTGTGAGTAAAGTAAACAGAGAAAGTCCATCATGCTCCGCAGTGTCAGCAATGAGTTCGAATGCACCATGTCCCCAGTATCAGAACACTGCTCTCAAAATATTCCGCCAAAGCCAGTGGCGAATTGAATTCTTTCATTTAGCGTATTCAAAAACATCTGGAATGCTTGGCACCGGAGATCTTTCACATCACACACCTAGATTCGTATTATAGCATAGAAATCTCTCCGCAAAATTATTTAATAACACTGCTATCGTTAATAGATCAATATATATAAAAGAATAAGGTAGGGCTGAGCTAAAAAACCTTGAATTTGTATATGCAGCCAATCATAAATTCGGGTTCGCTACGCTCTTTGGTTAGACCGGCTGAGTCAGCCCGGTAGCCCTCCCGCGCCTCCTCATCAAAAATTGAGTGTACGTTATTCACAAATGGAATAACTTTTTTGTTTTCTATTAAAATTTTGAGATTTCTTTTTTAAATTATGGAGGGTAGTTTGCGCTGTCCAATGCTGAAAGAATTATAAAATTCGGTCTTATAACTATTAAGAAGCAAGGAGCTCAAATATCGTTTACCAAAGTTCGCTCACCAAAGATCGCTCACCAAATTTACTCGACAGCCCTGATTAAAAAAAAATGGTTATGAATTTAATTTATAGGCCTTTATTACTCGTTCTAAATAAAAAAATAAAGCTATATTAAAGTCTTAATATATTTCTTAATCGTATATTCGAGAAGTAAGCTATCTCGCTTAATAGCGGCGGGAGAACTTACTAATTAAACTATCTAATTTCTCGTAAAATCGTATTAAAATAATAGAGAAGAAAGCTATACTCTCTTATTAAATATTTAAATATCGAGATAATAGTAATAGAAATGACTATATTTATATATATATAATTATTTTAGTCTTACTACTATCTAATTAATTAAATATAAGATTCTGTGAGGATGGTTCGGCTACCACTGGGCCATAGGCCAAAAGGATCGGGGGTATCGCGCTTCATGGCCGATACGCCCTATTTGGCCCTATAAGAGCCTGCTATACCCCCGCTGTAGGCTGTTCGCCCTTACAACTATCCCCCCCCTTAAGGCCGCGTCCTCGCGGCCCTAAAAGAACTGATTCGAGGGCTTTGCCCTGATCAGCGGCCCCCGCAGAGCCGACTTGGGGCGCAGTGCGCCACCCTTGCCCGGTTGTCCGGGACTTCTTGCCTCAGAGGTCCCTATGGGACATGAGATACGTCACAGGGACCCTTTCGGGGTATGTGCCTCGGTACATGTGTACCGAGACTGCTTGCCTCAGAGGTCCCTATGGGACATAAGATACGTCACAGGGACCCTTTCGGGGTATGTGCCTCGGTACACGTGTACCGAAAGCCTCAGGGTACGGAACTGTACCGCTCCTGGGAGCCGGTACCCGGTAAATCTGGAACTTTTGCCCTCTGAAAAATGTTTTTCGCCCCGTACATGACGGGCTCGAACCCTCGAAATCAGCGGATACACCCCGCAGTGGCTAGCCTTCCCGGGGTTAGCCAAGCCCCGGAATTTCAGCGCGATACAGTTGTGAGGATGGTTCGGCTACCACTGGGCCATAGGCCAAAAGGATCGGGGGTATCGCGCTTCATGGCCGATACGCCCTATTTGGCCCTATAAGAGCCTGCTATACCCCCGCTGTAGACTATTAGAGCGATCACGCCCTTACATATTCTAAGTAATTTTTTAATTAATTCATCTGCAAATCTGAAAAGTTCCTACAAAATTTGAAATTGCTGATCGCGCGTATGTCGCGAAAATCATAAAATCCGCCGGATCAATAAATCTAATTAGAATCTATCTAAATTCCGCCGATTCAGCAACTATCTTAATCTTTTTTATTAATTCTATTAGTTTAATAGTAATACGTATAAAAAAAGAAAAGTTCTAATAATCGACGTTGCGATAATAAGATTCTACGATAACGAGTATTAACGTTAACTCAAATTTGACTATAAAATTAAACGATTTAATAAAATTAGTCGCGTGAATAATACTCTAATATAGCGTATATTAATACGTATATTAATGATAATATATATTAATGCCATATATATATAGAATAATACTTATCGAACTAGAGTATATTAGAGTATATTACGTAAAATTTTTAAAGTTACTAAAATTTTTTAAAGTTACTAAACTAGTAGAATCGATAAAAAGAGTTAGATATAGATAAAGTCTACTTAATAGACTAAATCGTACTTATAATACGAACTCGGCGAAAATCGTACGAAAATTCACTTTTTAGATTTATAGATATTATTATCGCTCTTAAATAGATAAAAATGTTATATTCGCTCTCCGTTAGATTAATATATCTTAAATCCTTCTTTTCGATATTATAATACTTAATAAAATAGTCTTTCTAGACTAGATAAATCGTAAATAAAAGAAGAATATATTAAAATATTATTTAAAGTATAAGAAGGTCGATACTATAACTAGACGTATTATAACTATAAAGAATTTTAAATAAAAGAATACTAGTAGAAGGTGCTTTAGAAGAGAGATATTTATTCTTTAAACTTATTACTATCTTTTAGATTATAATAGAGTTATAATTTATCTCGCTAGCGGACTATAACTTACTTATTTTCTTCTTAATTTATAGCGGAGTTCTACTTATTTTCTAGCTCTTCTCTAGTCTTATCTTTAAAAGCCTTACTTATATTCTTAATTTTCCGCTATTATAGCTATAAATCGTTCTTTATAGAGTTCTATAATAACTTAATTTAATATAGATTTAATAGATTAGAAGTTTAATTCACCTTCTTAATATTATATTATTCTTATTTCTCTTAATATAGTCTAGCTACTTTAATATAAGTAGAAGTATTATTCTTAATTATTTATATATTCTTATTAGAGTTTCTTTTTATAACTTTCTCGATATATATATATAAACGATTTAATAGAATATAATCTCTATATTATTCGCCGTTAATTTTATAGTCTTTAAATATTAAAAGAGGTATATACTTAAAAACTTACTCTATATTACGATATTTTTTAGTATCTTTATTATATTTATCTTTCTTACTTTTCTTAAGAAAACGATTATAAATATTAATCTATCGATTCTCATTCTATTATTTATTAGTATATCTCTTATAAAAGATAGAATTAATCTACTTTAATAAGGGTATATTTAAATATTCTCGAAATTTCTACGAGATATCTTTTTTCATTTATTTCTTTCTTAAGTTCGCGATTTCTTAATATAATTTCGGCCTCTAATTTATATCTTTTAATAGTAGTATATATTAATTAATAGTATTATAATTCGATATCTAGCTTTATAAAATAGAAAGTCTAATATATTTATATAAATTATATTAAAGTATTAACTATAATTACTATTTTAATAAACCTTCTCTTCTCTATAGAAATATATCGTTATTTACGATTATTATTATAAATTTTATAATAATATTCGTTATTAATAATAAAGATAAATTTCTTATCTAACTCGCTAAGAATTTAAATATAAAGATTATCTTATTTATATTCTTTATAGTAATTTAATTATAGCTTTTTTAACTCTATTTTTCTACTTAATTCTCTTTATAATATAATCTTTATCTATTTTATATATATACTAAAGGGCGATTATAGAAAGTAAAGATTTTAAGCCTAATAATGAAAGTTTATCTTTATCTTATTTTCGCTTTTTATTCGCCTTTAAAATATCGATATTTTTTTATTAAATAGCCTTAAGATAAAAGAGTTATAGATACTTAAGAATAGTCTAATAAACTTATTTTAAGAGATTTAATTAATCTTCTATTCGAGTAGAAGTTTTAAATCTATTTACGTTATATAGATATATTAAAATATTATAAAAATTCTCGTTTTTAGCTCTATTAATTACTCTTTATATAATATTAGCTATTATATAAGCTTTTATATCTATTTTTCGCTTAATAGTATTAAATTCTTTAAGATAAAATACTTTATATATAGCTATAACTACTCTTAAAGCGTAACTAGTTTTATTATCGTATAAAGCTATAGAATAATAATATAATATAATTATTATTATAAAGTAAATAATAAAATAAATAAAGCTATACGATAAAAATAATCGGTAAGACGCTAAAATTTAGCGTCGTAGCTTACTTCTCGAATGTATAAGTAGTATTAATAACTTAGCTAAAAAAGTTTAATCTCGAGAAGTATCTACGCTTAATAGTTAGATATCTTTATTTAAATCTAAATATTTAGCCCGCGAGACCTTTATAGAATCTCTATAAAGTCGTTATAGAATATCTATAGAGATTACTATTATTACTTAATCTTTTATTTATTTTTAAACTTTTTAAGTAAAGACTACTTTAATAGTTATAGAAAGAATAATTTTTACTATAGAGGTCTATATCGAAAGTTCTATACACGTATTAATATAGCCTTAATTCTACTTTCGAAAAGCGGCCCTATAGAGGGGAAGTCTAGAAATATCTTTTTTATAGCGTATGAATTAAACTTTAGATACTTCTCTTAGCTTAATAGGGGTATTAAGTCTTAAAATCTAACTAGAATTAAATATAATTTCGAAGAACTCTAGACGTATTATCTAGATAACTCTTTAGATAAAATATTATTCGAAATCTAAGCGTAAGAGTCTTAGCGGGTATAGAACTTTCGATATAGACCTCTATATAACGACGATAGTTCGATAGCTACTACGTTATTAATACGTTTAAAAGATATAATTAAAGTTATATAGCTTTAAAATTAATTAAATATAACTATTTACGATATAACTACTTAATCTAAATAATTTTACGAAGAGATTTCTATACTACAGTACAAATTTGGGTGTGTGATATAAAAGATCTCCGGTGCCAAGCATTCCAGATGTTTTTGAATACGCTAAATCTCCTCTCGATTAGGCTAGCGTGACAAGCCCTAGCGTCCGAAGTGTTGAATCTATCAGGTACCTTGACTCCGCTCGCTCCAACCATCAATGCATTCCATGATATCGAGGGCCATTGACGAAACTGCTCATACTTGAACATCGACAGCCATGTAACAGATCCGTTGGGCGACGAACTGCAAAATCCTTACTATCAGCCTGTTCCTTACCTGCAAGCCGATGCGCAGCGGAAACTACCATCACTGCTGCAAACATAAGGTGTTGAAGACCAAAGCTTTAGTATCATCATTCTGACAGTTTCAATACAATCGAATTCATTCGGACCACCGCTCTAGCACTCAACAATGTCTATCTCAACTACACTCCTCACGCTCCCCTTGGAGATCCGGCACCAGATCTACTCCTACATGCTCCTCAACGAAGACATCATAGACATGATAGCGGCAAACGTGACCCGCCCCCAGGAATACGGCTTGTTCCTCGCCTGCCGCCAGCTGCACTTCGAAGCCTTCGACTACTACTACAACGCCAACACCTTTCAACTCTCCCTCTGCGATCCCACCTATTCTCCCAATGAGTACCTCCATGGGGATCGTATCCTCGTGGAACGTCTCGGCAGCATGCGCAACCTCCACGTGGAGATTGGACCCATGGAGCGCAAGCTCGTCGGCAACACAAGCCAAGATGTCTACGTTCTGCATTATGAGAGGGAGCAGCGTTGGAGCCGCTTCGTCAAGCAGCTGGCTGATGTCCACGAAGGTCAGGCGGGATGGTTGCTCCGGAGTCTGGTCGTTGTGGCTCGTTACACACCTCGTTTCCCAATTCGGACCGATTGCTTGAACGATCAGCCGGTACGGCCCCCGACTCACCCGTCAGTGTTCGAGAAGAGGGTCGCGGCCTTGGCACAGTTGGTGAAGCTTTTGGAGGATAAGGTCGGGAATCTTACGATCGAGATACGCTCTGGTTATGTTTGGACTCCGGTGGTCCCGATCGGTAATTATCCGTACGACGTGCTAACGAGCTCGACTGTACCTCCACGCTAGAGCTTGCAGATGTGGATACTGTCAGAGTTGTCTACGGTGAAACTTGCAAGGCTATCAGCAACAGCCAGACAAAATTTTCTTACACGGTATCTTCATTACTGAGCAAGGAAGGAATGGCTAGGCTTCATGTGGTATGGACAAGTGTCTGACAAATGAAAGAAAGGCAATGGATTTTGTTCCATGCGATGCAAATGCCGGCACGAGACTTTATTGTTCTACAAAGCAGTATTATCAATGTTAGCAAGTAGCTCCAAGACTCTTCTTCGAACCTCGCAAAGGCGATATCATTAGAGTGCTCTCAATGTTTGCTGCTAGTTCGATACCGAAGATGTGCCTGAGCTTTGTGCCAAGCGTATACATGCATCATGAGGCAGAGAAACAGTGTGCACTCAGAACGGGGTTCAATGTGATCCCTTAGTCTACTTCACTTACTAACTCTTCGCGTTGCCAGCTCACTTGAGCGACATTAATCTTACATTCCATCACATCACATGGGGTCTTTACCCTACAATTCTTCACAGGGTCTCTAGGCTGCTGTAGTACTTGACAGATATGTGTAACTTGATCTAAAAGGGATTGACTGGAGGTGATCTTCATCCTTTGACCCATGGCTGTGATTCATGAGCAAAGACGTAACTTCGACAAGGTTATCGAAAATGGAATGCTAATATATCCAGCTATCAAGTACAACTACAAGAATTGCAGTCTTCTGTGTCTCGAAGCCGCTTTGGGTAGCGCTTCGTTGACTATTCTCTGTACAATTCCGAAGGTTCTCACTATTTGCAAGGTTTCAATTCGATAGATTTTATAAAGAAGTGTACACTAGTATGTCCAATCATCAACAACAACCAAAAATGCTGTCATTTCGGTACCTCGAAGCCGACTTGAAAAATGCTGCGTTGACTATCCTCTGTGCGAAGCCGGAGTTCTTCACTATTTGCATCCTTGATGCACCCGCGCTAGTCACTCATGTCTTCAAGTGTCCAGAGGCACCTAGAATCGACAGTTTCGTATCCACTCATAGCTCGTGGCTCCTTCCAAAACTACGCTCGCCATGATCGACAGCAAGTCCTCGGGAGCCTCTTCAATCCTCGGCCTCGAAATAATTGATTCTGTGATTGACTTGGCAAGGCGCAGATACGTCAGATGGGGGTGAGACTCATCGCACATGGCCCCAATGTCGGATCAGGGTCTCAAACTACTATACAGAGGGTCGAAGGACATTCTGCTCAATACAAATTCTGTCAAATTTGCACGGTGTCGGGTGGCAATGGCTTGCAGTCCAGACACGCGCAGGGCATAGAATCAGCGGGCAGCATTCTTCAAGGCTAGGACGTCATAACGTCTTTTGCTCTTCGGCAAATGTTTGCGATCTAGGAATCGTTATAGGTATGTATTTTCTAAGGGCAAGCATGTCTGCTTAATCTTGTTCCAGTGGTTTTGTATCTTTGAGACATGGTTCTATGAGTATGTACTTCCCCAACTTAACCGACATGAACATGCGAGAAAATTGGATACAAAATTGTGCTATGTAGGGTCCATGAAATTCATTGTCACTTCGTGAGCAACCAACACTCTTCAGAGATTAATACTTTTCGGGTTTCAGTCGTTGCGATTGAGCCAGGGAAAAGCCATGTCGCCGATCGGTACAGGTAACCAAGTTGCCAAACTCAAGAAGACCCTGTGGGTACATCAGATTGGCCAGCCGTTACGGGCAGACTATACTTGATAGCGATCAAGACTTAAATGGTTGACCCCGGTGGAGGGTGGAGATGGGTAAGATGATGAAAGCGGACAGAGATGGTGTGGGATGAGGTAAAGTAAGGTGAAAGTTGGCGGAAGTGTTGGAGGGCTTAGCCGTCATCACCGCGTATCAAGATCAAGCTACGATTGGAATTGAATATAGTTATGAAAACTTCTGCAGAACCATGCGCTCAGGGCATCGACCGAATTCAAATGTACACGGCTCATCAAACGAGTAGTGTGTGTACTGGAGTTGTACTGTCAGATTCCCACGATGACTTCTTAGCCAGCACCAATGTGATGTACAGTCTTACTTTTTCGCTATGTACTCGCCACCGCTATAAGCGCGCTCGCCATGTTTCCAGCCCATTCCTACCAGACTCTTATGCCCGTCGAGCCAGCGTATCGTGCGCCGGTGACAGACTCCGCGTCCGCTCGTGCTTGAAGTTTCATGAACTCGTCGCTACTGTGAGCACCATTGACAATGTCCTGACCGGAATTCCAACCTAACCCTTCGATGCACCTCCTTAGCCCATCCTCGTGGGTAATTGCGAATCATGAAACCTCGGCTGGGTATTGTGCGCTGGCGACTGCCGATATGCTCCGCATACCGAACACGTCACTGGAGGTCCGCGTGGCAGGTTTGTGCCGCAGTGGCCGCAGTAGAAGATGATCTCCATCGGCCTCTCGGATGGCGCTGTGGAAGGAGAGACTGAGAGGTAGGGTCTGGGTTCGACCTTTTGAGCGATGAGGGCTCGGTCTTCGTTTTGCCGTGAGGCGCGGCCCATGGTGTTTGTCTATGGAGAGGGAGGAAGATGGCGATGGTGATGGTGGTGGTGGTTGTAGAAATGGGTTTTGCTTTGATTTGGGGTGAGGTGGTGGTCGCGTTGCAAGTAGTAGATGGTAGGCGCGTAGGAATTGAAGTGGAGGCAGTCAATTGAGGTGTTTGGAAGAAAATAATCTGTGCGGTGATAAAGCTATAAATACTAAATTCGTCATATAAAAATTCTAGTACGCTGATATGCACGCCGAAGTTCTGTAAAGACAGGTGGAGATTCTGGAAAACAAAAATTGAGGGCAAACCTCCATGGTTATGCTGAGCGCCGGCGAGAAGAAAGCGATCAATGGCATAATCATCATTCTTTGCGCAGGGGTTTGGCGCAGGGACAAGGTAGTTACCAACATGGAACAAAGGCGCAAGAGGTTTGTTTGGATTGTTTGTCAGTCAAGGGCTGCAAGTGTGGCGTCCGGTTCAAGCATGAAAGGTCCAAAGCGAGAACAAAGCATGAGATCACACTTCGAGCCAAGAATGCTTCCACTGGGAGAAGGTAAGGGCCTGCACCAATGGGGACAACGGGAGACAAAGTGAAGCCTGATCAAAATCAATTCGTGTTAGCGGTAATGGTAATAACTTATAATCTATGTGAACGCGCGACCATTGTAGCTGCAGTCGATTCGTTTCATCAAGACTTGTAACCAAGCAGCTCAAATCTCCGAGACCAAATAATTACCCAGCATGGCCCCATTTGGAAGTTGTGTGAAGCCGACAGCCTTGCGCTCCAAGGACCTCAGATTGCCAGCAAAGGGTGCGCATCGGTCGCATTTGTCTGGTGCTATGTGACCCAGGGTCCTTTGGCAGGCGTTGCAGTAGAACTCGGAGACTGGTTTTCCTAAATAGAAGAGTCGGTAGTAGGAGAGGGAAGACTTATCTTGAGCCTGACTCTCGGCGTTCAGATTGATAGCGCTGATTGCGAGCTCGCTGTATTGACGTCCGAGGTTGAGGTTGGAGTTCATCTTGATTCTGCAGGGGGCAAAGATGGTTGCTTTGCTGAGGGTGTTGCAACGCTTGAGAAATCCAAGATGGCTTGGGGATCGTAGGTACTTAAGCTTACTTACTGTGTGCCACACAATGACAAGGAATTCTTATTGATCCGAAATACAAGCTCTTTCTTCATTCATAAAGAATGGACTTTAACGCTAACGCAATAATGAGAAAGCTTTGAGACTCTTTGACCATCAACATACATAAAGGGTCTTGGCGCGAAGGGCACAATGCGTGTCGCTGATTTGGCGGCTCGAGTCATTCCATGTACTCGTACTAAATCCGAGGCCACCACGATTCCCGTTCGACCATTTCTTAGAGCTCAGAAATCGGTTCTAAAACCTAGTGTTTGTCGTGGATAATGAGCATTCAGCGTAGACAACGCGTGCAAAGACTTGGATCGTTTTTCTGAACGAATAAAACATACACCATACAACAAAGAAGGCACAGGAAAACAAGAACAATAAGTTGTGCGTAGTATACGACCGAAGATGCTACTGGTCAGAGAGGCGTGAGGTTTTGACATCCGAGCCTTGCACAAAATTGTCGGAATCCGAGTTAGCGAAGGAGTTGAAGACTATGAAAGGCATCCTCAAGCCAGGTGAGGAGGAAAAAGCAGATCTATAGCTTAAGCGTTCTTCTCAATACGGATGGCAAGGTGGCGCACTGGGCTTCCAATAGCCCAAAGACAAGTGCAGCACGTCTGGGAACCGCCGAGAACAAGTCTGGAGGCAGCAGTAGGCTGTAAGTCAACGATTGATTGGCACAGTCCGAACTTAGCTCTACTGTAACCTGATCACTTCGCCCGGATCTTGTCGCGTTCCACATCGCACTTCAAGTCTAACAAGAGCAAACGCGATTTAGTAGTACGAGTACGGCGTTCTCATTTCGCCCCTCACTCGTGTCAACTTCGCAGCGACATAAGGACTCTCACGTCCTGTCCGAGTTCACAAACACCAGTTGCACTGACACTATCAGGAACCTTCCACTCCATGACCCTATTCCTAGGCTCCATACTAATTTACCGGAGTGAATGGCCGTGCTTTGGACGCTGCGAGGTGGCTGGACTTGGGAGGAATGAGTCGGCGTCGAAGATTTCTAAAAGATTCTTGGAGCTACTTTGAGCGGTCGGAAACGGCAAGCAGCACGATCGGTATGGAAAACAAAAGAGTCGAAGTTCGAGGAATCTCGGAACATACGATTTGAAGAAAAGAGATAACCAACTTCCATATGCATTTTATCAGTATATTCGTGATATTCACCATTTCACTTTGGGGCATTGAAGCGGGGCGCGATTATTCATCCTCAAGGAAAGACACATCGATATGTACATAATCGTCAACGTTACCATGGGAAGAAATGCGCGCGTAAGCGTCGGCTGTACGGAGTCGGTCACGCCAAGTGGCGACCATCTAATCGTATTAGTCAATGAGTATTTACAGACTCCGGTAGTGTCATACCAGATCATTCAGCATGTTTTTTGAGGAGTCACCGAATAGAAAACCTCTTTCCTAAGCATCTCCTTCCACAGGCCCCATTCTGCAACACACTCATGTGATCTACCCGCCAAAGTTGCCACATCACTTAATTGACTCAACAGACTATCGCGTTGTATCTTTCACCGCGACGAAGGTCATCGGACAGGTGGAGGTATAGTATCCCACCGGCGAAGATGACCAGTACGAATGGTCGTATACTCTGGTCAAGCTCGAAAACAACAGTGATATCTTCCAGGCGCGCAGCACCAGCCAGTTGATGGAGCTTGACGAGACCGAGTCATCGCTCATACCAAGAAGAAAACCTCTGCCCTCTGTACCCGGGCGGGTTTTGTCGAGGTTTTGGGAAAAACTGGTTCATGATAGTTTGGTGTTGGGACTCAACTGTGGCGATCATGAACTTGTGTAGTGACTCAATGATTTTGAGCATGGATCATTGAAAGTAGAGTCGGAGGGAAAGGGGCAGTAGCTTTGACTGGTGGGTGCGAATAAGCCAGGGGTAGACGAGATCCTGCAGCTCCTAGCGGTCTAGTATCACTATGTACATTGAAACCCGACTGAATGCTTGAATGTCCTATTGGACATTGCTAGACACCTACTCGGACGTTATGAAGCAGGACTTATTCAGGGGGGAAGCAGCTGCCTCGTTCAAATCGCATGCGCAAGCACTTCGCTGAGACCAGGATCACGCGGCGTATTACAATCCCTAAGATAAGGGACTCAAACAGAATGTGGCGCACCAAGTTCCGTTTGTGTGTAGCTAATATGCATCTTTCCATAGCGTCCTGATGTCTGGTAACAAAAGATGGGGCCTATAGCGGGATTGGGGGAATGCACGTTATGGTACAGCAAAATTGATTGTATTAAGTGTAGCCATTTCATAGGCAGCGTTTCGAAGATTGTTGTAGTGACAGGAGAGAGCAATTTGCTGCTGCTGTCATGGTGAAGGTAATTGGGAGCATAAGTGGTGGGGTATCAATTTGCTTTTGCAGTCAAAGCTCCATCGCGCATTCCCTGTGTGAAAGCTATGACACCCTTTTGAGGCGTGTTGGAGCCAGTGACACTATTGACGACAGCAACGAGCAACGAGCAACGAGCAATCTCCACTCACGCTCGCATCATGATTCAACATTGCCAGCTTCGTTTGAGATGTTTACCATTGCCAACTCCAGATGCTGCAGCCAAGAAGAAAACCCCTTGTCTCAACGCCCTGACACTCCATACGCTCCCTCCATCTTCCCTCCCACAGGCATCTCCCTACTTCGCCTTCGATTTCGCATCACGCGCTTTCTTCAATGCGGCGAGACGTTTGGCTTTGATGGCCTCGCGCGTCTTCTTCTTCTCGGCGCGCACGGCGTGGGCCTTCTCAAGAGGGGTCTACAGAATGTGGCAAAGAAGTCAGTGAATAATTGAAGAGATGATAACAAAGCTAAGGGTAAAGCGATTGGGATTGAAAAGGCGCGTGACAACTGACCTGCTTGGCTGGTGCCATTGTTGGGTGACAAGTGATGGTGCGGCTTTATTTGGTTGGTGATTGAGAGGTGAGGTGATTCGTTTGGCGAGATGGGGAACGAATTGGGTGATGCAGTGAGAGGGGAAAGGTTGATGGATGGTTGTTGATGACAGGAAAGAAAGTCTGGGGATGCTGTGTTTACTCTACGCAAGCGCGCTTATTTTAGCTTTACCGAGTAGGGTCCAAACTCACAAATCAGGGTCCAGAAGCCGCTAAATTGGATCGGGCCAAGGCTCGTTAAGGTATTTCTGGGCAAAAAAAAGTCTAGTTCCAATCATCACCAGGAGACTCCAAAACATTCTATAGCGTTTGACTATTGAACTGCATTGACACCTGCTTGGCTGTCGATTCTTGAGTCTGTGGATACGTTTAGCCGGACTTATTTGCTTGACATCGCCAGCCCATGCTGAACGTTGCCCGCAGAGGTACACCCTCTGTCGCAAGATCACTATTGTTCCTCTCAACATGTTCGAGATGCAGTAGGCCAGCACACACACGAGATCTACAGCGATGCCTTCCACAAATCATATCTCCAATAACAGCGAGACCGTTCGGCAGCTCTTCCCAATGGAAACGATCCGCTGCAGCCAGCGTCGCGGCGGAAGACGAAGCCATTGAAGGGGAGATTGAGCAGGAGGTCTTTTCGCAGACACCACAATCCGATGCCCAAATAAATCGAGCCGTACAACATGGTCCGGTCACAAAGTTCAAAGACCTGGCGGAGCGTGGGATGGTGTGCCAAACTGTCGTGGACACCATCACAAAAAACATGGGCCTTGAGACTATGACACAAGTACAGAGCCTGACCATGAACGAGTCGCTCAAGGGCCACGATATGTAAGCAAGCCATCAGAATGCCATCACAAGCCGCAGTCTTCTCATCCTGTCAATAGTCTAGCACAAGCACGTACTGGGACGGGGAAAACCCTTGCTTTTCTTATACCTCTCCTCCAAAACATTATCAACGTGGACCCGAGGCTTGAGAAGCGCTCTCGTACTGGCCCTCGCGGCGATTCTACGCATATCAGAGCCATTATAATATCTCCGACAAGAGAGTTGGCGGAGCAGATCGCGGTGGAAGCAAAGAAAGTGACAAAAGATACAGATGTCATCGTACAGACCGCTGTCGGTGGTTCGGCAAAATCGCAGGGGCTTAGGAAGATCAAGGCAGAAGGATGTCATATCCTAGTTGGAACTCCAGGCCGACTGAATGACATTCTGTCCGACCCCTACAGCAAAGTCCGAGCGCCGCAGCTCAGCTGTTTCGTTCTAGATGAAGCAGACAGATTGCTAGACCAAGGATTTGCGCCTGAAATCCGAGCCATACAAGACCTTCTACCCAATAGGAACCAGGTCGATCGACAGACGCTCCTTTACTCTGCCACTGTGCCTCGAGAAGTCATGAATGTTGTCCGCCAAACCATGAAACCAAATTTTCAATTTGTTCGGACGGTGCAGGAAGGCGAACAGCAGACCCACGAAAAGGTACCCCAGAAACTAGTCAATGTTGGGGGCTTCGAGAACCTCATGCCCGCTGTATTCGAGCTCTGCAAACGCGAAATTGATTCAATAGCGAATACCACGGGAGGACCTACACGACCGTTCAAAGCTATCATTTACTTCGGAGCTACGGCCGATGTCTCGCTTGCCGCTTCTGTTCTCAAGAATCTGAAGAACCCTGGACAAAGCATTTTCCACCAAGGCCCTCTGCATCCCGCTAAGATTATCGAAATGCACGCCCGGCTCACTCAAGATGCGCGAACCAGAGCAGCAGAGGCTTTTCGACGTGCAGAGACTGGAATCATGCTCTCGTCTGATGTGACTGCTCGCGGAATGGATTTCCCAAACGTCACTCATGTCATTCAAGTTGGTCTACCACCCTCAGAAGAGCAGTACGTCCACCGTATTGGTCGGACGGCCAGAGGAGACAAGACTGGCGAGGGTTGGATGTTCATCACAGATCTGGAAGCTAGAGAAATCCGCCACAAGCTTCCGAATATGCCTCTAAAACCCGACAACACTCTCGAAACGGCCAAAGTTGACATGAAGAAAGATGCTCAGCTGTCTGAGCACACAGCCAAGACTTTGACCACGGTAGGTGATGCAATGAAAATAGTACCCCGCGGGCTGAAAGCCGGATCGTACATGGCGGCTTTGGGTGTTTTCCAGTGGTATGGCAACAAGCAGGTACTCATCGATGCTTTGAACGACCGCGCAAGGTATGGTTGGGGGATGGAGACGCCACCGATGGTCGGTCGAGCATTGGCATCGAAACTTCGCCTCGATCGAGTACAGGGTATCAATATAGGTCGTGAAGATTACCAGTCCAATTCCGCAGGCAATGCAAGGGATGTAGGTATGCAGGGGCGCTCAAGGTTTGGCGGAGAAGGAGGAAGCTATGGCTCTGACCGGGAAGACGGTGGTCGTCCATCTTACGGAGACCGCAATCGCGGCGGAGGCGGCGATCGCGGTGGCTATGGAGGGAGCTTTGGCGGAGGCCGTGGTGGAGGCTACGGAGTGGACCGTGGCGGAGGTAGCGACCGCGGTGGTTCCGGAGGGCTCTTTGGCGGAGGCCGTGGTGGAGGTCGTGGTGGAGGCTACGGAGTGGACCGTGGCGGAAGCAGTGACCGCGGTGATTACGGAGGGAGCCGTGGCGGAGGCCGTGGAGGCAGCTACGGAGGGGATCGTGGCAGAGGCCGCGGTGGCTACGGAGGACGAGAGAGCAGGACTCGGTATTAGTATCTCATACTTCTGTTGTTGAAGATAGAGCCATGTTTGGGTCTTTACAGCATTGTAATACCCTTCTGTTCTGGTTGTACAATAATATTCATCTGCATGCTCAGTGGGCTATCACCACAGCACAAAGACTGCATGGACGGAGCTCGGCGCCAGGCATAGACAATACACTCCACTTTCTACAGTTCTACTGAATGTTCCACGAGCCACCTTTCTGAAACCGAGAGGATTACACTTCTGGATTCGTCCGCTGCTATCTTGTTGAGACTCTCCCACGTGCCGACTTCAATCCTGGGTTTCATACTTGCAGAAATCAGGGAAAAAGAAAAGATGGCCCTATGCGGCATGCATAGCAGCCTTGACAAGGCTCTCAGCTCACCGTCTTGGAAAGTTTTGTGCCTTGCTCAAAAAAGAAAGTTTGTGTGTGTTCGCCCACTTTGCTCTGCAGCGAGTACCCATCAACCATGAGAAGCCACAACTGCGACGGGATTCTGGTATACAGTATACTTCTATACTTCCCAAGGAAAACTGCAGTTCCTGTCCATCCTACTCACACAGAATAGTAATTGATATTATTGAGTTCAATAGAGCTGACGCTGTGAGTTGGATGATGTTTCCAAGGCTGTTCGCCTCATTCCTTGGTCGCAATTTAGCGTCACCAGCCTCGCGCATTTTAGCCGGCCACCTCATTGACGCACTACCTACACAGGCGATGAGGCAACTTTGCTGCCCAATTCCCATTCATGCTGTCCCACCTTCCTCTTGTGCAATTCACCATCTGCTTCTTCATGTTCATCTCTGTCTTCAACTTCATGTCACTCGCTTGAACTACCGACCTTACTACCTACTACTATAGCGATTTGCCCCATTTGCGCAATTACTCGGTCTTGACTGTAACCGCCCCATCAAACCGACGGCTGCTCGCAGAAGGAACTTGCAGTTTGCAGCTCACCTCTAAGATACACCCATCCCTCGACCTCGATCACAATGCCTCCTCTCCACCCATCATCTGCAGCGCCGATATCAATACTCCGACATCCTCTCGAACTCCGTTCCCTTCTACCATCACTCCACGACCTTGCCCCACGCCTCCTATCCCCAGACACCCCTCTCCTACCAACCAGGACGACACCATTCTCCCGCACACTCGCATCCCTACTCCGACGGCAAACTACAGTCACAGCGACCGCCAGCCCCATCATCCCCGCCACTTACTCCGGACTAGACTCTGGCCCCACACCCGGCACAGTAGTCGGCATCGTCTTTGGCTCCGTTGCGGGCTTCCTCCTCCTCCTCTGGCTCATATACACATGCTTCGGCTTGGGCGGCGGGGCCCAAGGCAGTTCATCGGTCGTGGAAGAAGAAGTCATTCGCCGGCGTTCCCGGTCCCCCCCCCGCCGAGCACCCTCACGACGGTCCTCTCCGCGATCACCACGGCGGACGGTTGTTGCATCCAGTGTGTCTGAAAGTGAAGTCGTGATGGAAGAGGTTCCGCGAGAACGTACGCCACCGCCGCGAAGGAATTCGAGTAGGAGGGCGGAAACCATTATTGTGGAAGAAACAATAAGGCGAGCGCCTCCAGCACCCCAACAAGATGCATTTGTGGAGGTGATTGAAGAGCATGACGAACCACCACCGCGGAGGAGTAGGAAGGCGCAGGGTTTCACGCATATTGATCCGGAAGCTCTCGGTGGAGGAGATGGGAAATTCAAGAGAGTGCCTAGTCGGAGATGAAAGGGTCGAAATCTCAAGATGAATATAACGTGCAGAAACCACGCTTCCAAAAGCCCTCTACGAAGATCCACGGGCAGCTACGCTTTCTACGCCCTCTGATACAGTGCTTCGCCCACAATCAAGATTGATGCAACGGGCATACCCGGATCTTGAGACACGGCCATAGTAATGGAAGGGGAACTCCGATTGGATGACAGCTTTGACGCTGTGAATGAAGGAAAAATGGATGCAAATATGGGGTTTACGAGGCGTTCCAGATATCCACATGTACAATAATGGCCCTGATTCGGCTTGTTTCGTGGTCTCAGCGATGCTCCAGCGACATTTGACATGTTTGTCTTCGTCTTTTATATTCAAGCATCCGTACTCGAATGGCCAGGCCGTTTCTCCAGCGTTACTGTTCGATGCCCTGAGCATATTGTTCGTCGGATTGCTTCGTGCGGTCTCTCGTATCTGGCTTGTACTTGGCTCGCCATTCAGCAATCAGTCAATACTATTTGCCACCTTCTCCAAAACGACGAAACTACTATATGACTTGGAGTTTCATCTCCTGATTTGTAGAGTGGCAGCAAAGCGTGTTCTTTGTTCCGCCGTCCCCGCCACTGCCGCCCGAACACCGAGAGCTCCGCCACACCTCGCATAGATCCACTGACGCGGCTGCAGGCACCTTCACTTCTCACAAGGCACCTTCACTTTCTCCCTTCCTACCCCCTTCCTCCTTCAACTCATTCACAACTCCCACCTTACTCATCAAACACACGAGCCAACCTCAACACTCACTCCCCCCCACCAGCTCTCTCCAACCCCCATCACCAAACCGCCACCCCGCACCCTCGACTCGTCCTCCATCCACACCGATCACACCACAACAACCCCAACCTCCACCCCCCACCCAATTTCCCACCCCGAACCCCAAAAATGTCCGCCAAATACCCCCCGCCCGCCTACCCCCCACCCGCGCACCAAGACGCCGGACCCTACTACCCGCCGACCCAGCAACAACAGCAACAACAACAACAACAACAAGGCCCCTACCACACGGGCGCGCCGACCCCGTACCAGTACAACGGGGGCAACGCGCCCGGCTACGGGGGCCCGGACCGCGGGTACGCACCGCAGCAGCAGCAGCAGTACGGGTACGGGTACGGGCAGGGGGGAGGGATGTACTACCAGCAGGGAGGGGGGCCGCAGGGGTATTACGCGGACGGGAGGGGGGGCGGCCGGTCGGGGGCCGGGGAGGGGATATGCGCGGCGGTGATGGCGAGTTTGGCTTGTTGTTGTTGTTTGGATTTTTTGATTTAGGCTGGGTGGGTGGGTGGGTGCGGCGTCATGCTGGATGCAATTTCGTGATGAGCGGGATGACACGGCAGGCGTAAGGGGGGGCGTAGGGAGTTAAATTTTTTGATTCGAACTTGTATGATCTTTTCTAGTCTAATGGCAGTCGGAGATTTCGAGTGTTCAACAGAAGATAAAGCCCGCTCGGTGACGGTGCATGCGAGTCCCAGATCGAAACGCTTGCTCATAAAGCGGAGTAGCGTGGAACAGGCCTGTTACTATTGCTTATCCTCAACGGAAGCCTTCTCAAGATCCTCAGTCACATCGGCCGCAGCGTCTTTTTCTTGCGCAAGCTCTGTCTCAGCAGATGCAGTACCATTAACCGAGTGGTTGGCTGTAGCAGGCTTCCTGGCCTGATCGTGGGTTCGCCGGCTGGGAGTCGAATGCTGGGGTTCTTTAGCTTCAGCTTCGAGACGGTCGATCTCTTTCTGCGCCTTTTCAACGTTCTGCTATGGATTAGCATAGTGCAACTGGATGAGCCGGATGAAGACGTACCTCCTTAGTCTTCCTTTCTTGGTCTTTCTTCCAATGATCCCTTTTCTCCTTGAGCTTCTCAACGACACTAGGCACACCGGCCTGGCTCATCGGCGGCTCTATATTGACCTTGGCGAGCTCTTCAATGATGCCAATGCTCAGATTGAATTTGCCCTCCGTAGGCGTCCCAGGTGCAGGCGAGCCAGCAACGCTTCCCTTCTTGCCCTTCTTGCCCTTCTTGCCACCGGTCCCCATAAAGTAGGTATCCTCGCGATCCTCCTTCTTGGATATTCTCGTCCCCTTGAAGTCGGAATTCGCATCCACGCTTCTCTGTGCCTCGGCCGCAAACCCGCTGGGACCTCGTAGCGATTTCGATGCTTCAGGTGATGACGGGTCGAAGTAGCGCATCAAGCCCTCCGCTGTCAGTATCTCATCCATATAGGCAGGCTCACTGGCCTCTTCTAATTTCTTGTCCGCGATCTTTCTCCGCTTTTCTTTCTGGTATGCATCCCGCTCAGCCTTCTGCTTTTCTTGTCTTATCCTGTACTGCTCTTGGTCCCAGTCTCGATATGACTTGTTCGCCTTGAAGTACTGGTCTTTGATGTCTTTCATCGCGGCCCATTTCTCTTGCTGTTCCGCATATGCCTTACTTCGCTCATCCCGAAGCGAATTCAACCCTTTGTACGCTTCGTCCTGCTCAGCTTTGATAGCCTTCAGCTCCCGGTCTGCCTCGTCGTATCTTTGACTTAACGCTTTGGCCTCTGGGTTGTCTAATTGCTTCCTGAGCTCTGCGATATCCGCCTTGACTTTATCTATACCTCTTTGGGCTTCATCGAAACCACCAAAGGCTTTCTTCTGCTTCCGGAGGCTCGAGATCTGTGCTATAGCTTTCTTCTGATCGACCAACGTTGCGTTGCTTGACTCCGCTACCTTCTCCTGGCGTTGTATCTCTTGATCGATGTCTGCGGTGTTTTTCCAAGACACTTGGCTTCGCTTCGTCTTCTGTTCTGCAATTTGAGACTTCAACCGAGCATCAAGACCTGCAATCTTCTCTTGTATACCACCGCGAGACGATTTGAAGCCAGACTGTTGCTGTCGTATATTTTGTAGTTCCGTTTTGAGCTCCTGCTGCCTTTTACCGGAGGGGGAGTCCTTATTTTGAGGTTGAGCGAGATCGATCTTGGCCTTGATGGCATCCTATATGTCGTCAGCCGATTGGATTACGGTAATGGGTGGGTACTTTTTGGTTTGACAAACGTACCACTTTTTCTTGTGCAGCTGCATGCTCCTTCTGTGCCTTTCCAAGACTCTCTTTGTATTTCAGTTCATCTGGCTTTTCCGGCTTCGTTTTTTGGGGCTTCTGAGTTGGCTCTGAGCCGGCATCTATTGTAGACAATGCGGCAGCGGCAGGTGTTGCGATATCTGCCATGATGGCGGTGAGATGTGCAGCAATGCAAGCACCCGGTCGCAGGTTATTGCATTCAGTAGACAAGGGCAAGTGTGACCAAGTCCAAGGATCATAAGCGACGGTGTAAGTCACGTATGCGTTGTGATTTTGATGTAAACTATACAAGTGACTTTTGCAGCGAATTAATTCCAAAAGTGTGGAGACTGGAGACCGATTGTGCATATCGGCATAATGTACGCTAGTGTGAATCTGGCTAGCTATCCTTGTGCATAATAACAGTAGATCTTGCCTTGAGATCCAACATCTCCTTGTTGAAGAATGAAGCGACGACGACGACCCTTCACCACTACTCCGCCTTAGCTTGTCTTGTCTCTCGTCTACGCCTAACCAATGCCGTACGTTCACGGAGCGGCCTTACCTTGACTTAAGCAGAAAAGGCTAGCTATGACCAGCCCTGTCTATCCAACATATGTTTCCTATGCTCGTATTCCACATTGTGTTCTCGCATTCACAATCGCATATCGATTATGGAAATGAAACTTAGACTTAGAACTTCCAGCTGCTGCTCAGCCTACAGTTCAACATGAACGCGTCCGGCCACCGTCATGTCTCAAAACGCGCGGTCCTCCCAGTCTGTCATCACCAGAAGCTCTGCGATAGCAACTGGCATCAAGGGCTTAAGACTTCAGGATGGTCAATCCAAATGGCTACCACTTCTCGAACACTGAATATTACAGTACCCTGCAGGTAGTTCCACAACCACAAAAAACACCGGCATGCATTGATGGTTATTTGCCGAGAAGGGAACTCTCCAGGTGTGGCCGGAATCTACATTGGAACCAGTCAAAGCACGACTATTTAGTGATCCGTCCGATGCGCCAGAATTATCAACCTACAATTCACCCCTAGCTTCTTCGATAGCACCCGATGCATCGTTGACTCGCAGTTTCGGGACCCTCAATACAGAAAAGAAAGGTGGTGCCTGGAAAGAAGGCCGAACGATATGCGGAATTCCACGGAAGACTTTCTGGATTCTGCTCGGGGTGAAGCTTCTCATGATGGCCGTAGTAATCGCTGTCCCAGTGGGCTTGTTCGTCCGTCGGGGCAAGCACACATCAGCACACGCCAATGCCTCGAATGTGCCGCCAAGCAGCCCCATAATGATAAGCAACACCTCTAGCCTCGCCTCGATCGCTTGGAACGACACCAATGGCATAATGCAGTACCGGGTTTATTCGCAGGGCGAAGATAATATTATAAGGGAATCTGCCTGGAATGCCACCGCAAACTTGTGGCAACTCTCGAATAGTGCAATAGGCATTGCCGAAGCCAATGCTCCATTGGCTGCTGTCATTAGCGGTCCAGCGGTCTATCCATTTGTAAGTGACAAGTGGCCACCAGGCCGAGACAAGAGCTGATATTTGCAGCAAATAGATCTCGGTGCTATCAGCGCTAGCGATACCATTGTCTTTTGGCTCTGTACCGACTCTGAACTAGTCGACGGGGAGACTAATTTCACGAGCGGGCCTTTCATTGACCCTACCGTTGCACCAGCCGCACATACAGCTCTCGCCGCGACTTGGGACCGTGCGCTTGACTGCAATGATTGCTCCGAAACCCTTCTCCTTTTGTACCAGGATACCGCTGGGCAGTTGGCATTGGGAAACTTGACCGTTGATGGGTGGCTGTGGTTTACACTTTTTGCAAACCCAGTGCCTGGAACAGGCCTTGCGCTCGACGTGCGATCCATGGGCAATGTGACAAGAAACATAGCCATTTTCTACCAGCGTGGAAATGACTACCTTACAGCAACGCTATTCAATGGAACTTGTGAGTAAATATCAGTCCCTGAAACCCAAAAGTCATCTGCTGACTGCTTTCCAGCCTATCAATGGGAGACCCGAGAATCAGATCCTATCAGAATGATCGCCGCCAACGCCTCCATAGCATCCTCTAACTACGGCTCCACCTCAGTAGGCGTGACGCTGGACGAAGTCGTCTTATCAACAAGCTCAAATGGGACAGCGGTTAATATTTGGGATGGTCAGACCCAGACGTTTGGGGTGGGGGAATACTCAACGGTCCTGGGGGAGTCAAGATCATTGGCAACGAATGCGGATGCACACGCGTACGGCTTGCAACATGGTACTGTCAAAGAGTTCAAGATTGATAACATGCTCGCTCGCTTGGTCAGTCGTTGGGAACGTGACTACTAGTTAAGACGACGTCGAACGTGAAGGCCGGTTGTGAGGAGGCCTCTAAAGTAATCGAACGCAGCATCGGCCTTGGCGGAACCCTCGCGCCAAGATGATTGAATGGTGGAAGCAGACAGGGAAATCACATCGTCCGTGACTCTAGCACAGTCCTCGGACCGATCCCCATTCGCTCGTTACATCATCCGCTGGTGGCAGAACTCACCCGTGATCCAAACTACCCATCAAGGGAAGGGCCAGCGCCAGGAGCAATAACATCCGCGCTACACTGCTACGACCAAGGAGCCTTCTTGATTATCAGAGCACTTTAAAGTTCGAAATACAGGAGGCAACGGGTGTCTTCTGGCGCGTGCGCGGGCTACCTTGAGCCTTGGTGAGGTGTGTGTTGATTTCACCGGTCGAAGTCCCTTTAGGGGACAGTACTTTTCTTCCGCCGGGCTCTAGTCTCTGGTGTATATATCTAATATTATATAATTTACAGTGTATGAGTGATCGATCAGGCGGAGAGATATCGTGTCTGCAAATGAGCAACATGCGGGTAAACGGTCGCCCGTGACAAGCACGATTGCATTTCCCATTTTTCGGTCCGCGGTACTTGAAATAGAGTAGTATGATCGATCTGATGGTATCAAATGCACCTCCCGTCAATCTAGTCCCGCTTGAAGAAGAACCCTCGCTCAATGTAAATCATATCTATCATCCGTCACCACGCGAAATGCCCCTTACAGCCATCAAATCAGACACCGTCCCATCCCACCCCATCTAATCCGGTCCGTTCCATATACCCTCGTGATAGCCCCCACCACCCGCACCCCCAAACCCTCCACCGCCATCCATCCCGCCCTCCCCGCCGGCCTGCGGTCCGAAAAAGAAGCCCCCGAACAAATCAGGCAGCTGGCCCCCACCATCGGCCCAATCGTGCTGTCCATCGAACCCCAAATTGGCACCGACGTCGCCGCTGAACACGGCAGCGGTGTTGGTGGTGTCGTTGTTCATTAGGAAGTCGAAGTCGAAGTTGTCGTAGGTGGAGGGGCCGTTGTTGATGTCGTTGCTGGGTGGGAAGGATGTGGGGAGGAGGGAAGTGTCGAAAGATTGGTTTGGAGGTGCCATTTGGGTTTGCTGCGGGTTTGACGTGGTCGTGGAGAGCGTGGATGGGGGGGGGGCGTTGGAAGGCGTGTAGGCGTATGTGGGTGCTTGGTTTGGGGCGATGCTTAGCAGGGGTGCTTGCCAGGTTTGAGACGGACGGTGGAACATGCGGCCGTTTTGTGCGTCTTCCGTGAAGAGGTTTTTGAGGTCATAGTCGAACTGTGGTGGTGGTCGAGAGCCCATGGTTGAGAAGCTGGAGGGAGGTGGGATGCGCTGGTCGAAATCACTCTGTGGTAGGATTGGAGAGTCGTCGTCTTGTCTTTGCTTCGCGAATTTGACTTGAGAGCCGAAGCCGGTAGTTGAGACGCACATCTTGACCGTCGCCTTGCTCATGCGCTCAAAGGCGTCACGGCAGGCTTCGGCGGGTGGGCATTTTTCGATGAGATCGCCTAGGACGGAGGTAGCTGCGAGGACGGTGAAGTCGACGTCGTCAAGAGTCTGTCGGCTGTCAGCTGAGGTGGTGCGGTGGTGCTTGGGCTACTTACCAGACGGCTACGGACAGTAGGCGAGTGCCAGATAGAGTAGAGAAAGGCAATGCCAGCCATGAATAAATGCACGGTTGCGAGGTAAGTGTAATTGACCAGATGCACTCGATGTAGCTGACGGTAGAGTTTTAAGACTCTTTGACCAGCTTCAGCAACTTTAAGAAAGATTTCATCCTCGTCTTCATAAGAGTCCGCGTTAGGTGTCATAGGGCTTTCCACATCGTGATGAGGGCCGACTTCTCCCGCAAGAGTATGCGGTACACTAAGAGATTGTCTGTACAGCATGATGACAGCTTGCCAGTAATTCAACTCTAAGAATTTGATAGAAAACTGGACTGTAGTATCCTGCTGGAGGGGGGCGCTCTCTTTCCATTCCCACAGCCGTCGATCAATGTCCTTTCGCCATGCATGGAACGACTCGAATGGCTGGAGGAACGAGCAAGAGAGTTTGGTGTGCATGAATGGGCTTTTGCGCTCTCCATCCTTGGCGTGTACCCTCTGGGCTTGCCGATATTGCAACACCTGCAGAATCTCCGATTGAAGGAGACGGAGACGGAAATAGTGATGCGCAACTCGCTTGTAGCTTGGTCCACTAAAGTTGTGTGATGGTATCAAGAAGCCGGTGGGAGTAATATCTTTATCATCGAGAACGCTAGGCCAGTCCGTCGTGATGACCGCGTCCGAGATGCCAAATGGGCGACCCACGCACGTACTCACGAGGCGGTCAAATGAATATACACACCACCAGAGTCGACGTCGCAGGTCTCGGACCCATTCCCGTCTGCCCCGTTCTTTCGGATCGAGACCTATAGGTGCAAAATCTGATTGATCGCCGCCCATTGCGATGTCGTGTCCTCTTGCGAAGCCAGTGCTGTCTTCAGTGGCATCGACTCCTGCACCATCCTCGTAGTGAAGGCCGAGATCGACACCTAGCCGCGTAGCAACACCAGTGATATACCACAGCCCCGGCGCTACAGGCCTTAGTAAGGCAAAACCTGCGAGCAGCAACACGGCCTGCAACTGCTCCAACCCACCACCAAACCCTTCCAGCCGATCAGCTGCAGGCATCGACCCAAGGAAAGATTCCAGGTGCATCATCGCCGAGGCATGATACTCTTCCGGCTGCCTCTGCTGGCTCGACAATTTTTGCTTTTTCGGGTTCGGGGAAGCGGGTTCTTGCTTCAAGCCTGGCGGTGTCGATCCTTTCGTTCCGGAACTCGGTGAGAGGTTCGCGGACGAATCTTCCAGAATGATACCTGCGCCAATGGCAAATACAATGTTCAACATATAAAGTTCGCGTGCTGATCTTCGCCGCTCTTTCGCTGCGTAGGCTCTACCAAATAGTACCATGAATTCGCCTCGGTGTAAGATGGGTATCTGCGGGTTCGCGTGCTCGAAGTAGAGGTTCACCAAGCGTAATCCTAGCTCTCTATCCGGGAAAGGTGCCGGTTTGATGTTTGGCTTGGTCTGTAGTCCGAAAAATGAATCCCGCATACTCGTGCCACCCGTAGCAGCAGCAGAGCCCACTGAACTGGGCTTGCTTCCCCGACCGCTCCTGTCACCGCCTGGTACGGAGCTCTTGACTGCTGCAAAGACCACTCTTGCAAACGATATACCGCTTGTAGAACCTAGGAAACGCGGGTCTGAAGCTCCTTGCACTGAAACCATGCCAATATTCGAGACCAATTTGTTCAGCTTATCCGACTCCTCTTTCTGCTCCCATTCCGATCCCGACTCACTCCCGGTATCTGCTCTTTTCCGTTTGATGACATTTTCCTTCGCGCTCGATCGCTCAGATAGCGGTGAATGAGCTGTAGAATCGTCTTTCAGAGGCTTAGAGCCCAGGTCGAAGTCGTGAGAAGGTCCGAAAGGGATGTTGTGGTCGCTGAGAAGCTCTTCAAGGTATCGCACCCGACTCTCAAGGTAGTAGACATATGTGCGAGGGATCTCTCGTTTGGTAATAGGGTCGAATCCGACGCATTTCACGCCCGCTTTCTCGCATGATGTGCACGCTGGGAGATTCTGGTCGCAGCGATTCTTTCGCAGTCTGCATCGATTGCAAGCTGATACGTTGCGAAAGGAGGAACTCGCGCCGGAACTGGCAGGGGCGGAAGTAGTATTGAAGGTCGAGGTACTGGCGACGAATGAAGGATGGGCAGCACCAGGGTAATCGTAGGTTTCCTCGGCCCGGGGGCGTTTAGTGCCGGCGTTCATGATAAGATGAACAGATAGCACAGAGGTAAATCACACTGCTGGCATGTTGACAAGTGAAGACATGCCAGGCAAATCTCATGTTTCGAATGACGATAATGATGATGATGATGATGATATGTATGATATGTATATCTAAAATGTATGATATGTATGAGAGTACGCTTATTATGCTGGAAATGGGGCGAGGGTATCAGGGTCCGGGTCCTAAGCTTGCAGCGTCCCGGTCAAGATCCTAGTGAGCTTCTATGCAGCGTTTTTAAAAAGGAAGCCCGGACTGATAAAGGCGATCACTGATCAGCCTTGCCTTATCATTTCGCCCTATCAACCGACTAAACTTGTGACAAATACCTATAAGCATTGGTACCGCTACTTCCAAGGCAAACTGTACGGGTATCGGTACCTGGCGTGTAGAGAATGTGTAGACTGTAAAGTAGAGCAACAATGTGTGAAAGTTTTGGTATTTGGTATATGGAATATTGTCATACAGCATTAGATAACAGGATACGAAGAGCAATAACGCTAATCTATGGGGGTATCCGGATGGCAAACGAATACAATGCACAAAAAGCAAGTCTTTCTCCCACGCTTCCCTGAATCAGGCCAATAATCCTCCCTATACGTACCCTTTGACCTGTCTGTTAATCCGCTGTCGTGCTGAGATCCGCCTCGAGAATGATGTGGCAGACGGGATTCGATTGGCCGTCAAGTCGTCTATGAACGAAAAACAAGAAATTTTGCGCCTCCCCGGGTCCTGCCGAGCGAAGCGTCGAATCATATGCTAGAGGAAGTTGAGCGTCGACTCTGATTTGGGTATTTGTACACCACCCTCTTCGAATTGCTGAAGATCCTCAGCGGCGTTGATGGCGGCATCGATGGCAAGGGCATCGATCAAAGCTTCATCTGCAAGACGCTCTTCATCTTCATGGTCCATTCGACCGTCCACTGCTTCAATCCAGAGGCTTTCCAGCGCTCCTAGAATGCAGACAACACCACATGCCCACCAGGCTACGCCGGTGAAGCCAATTTTTAGACCCCAAGAGTGGATCAGACCTGTCACCGTTGGACCGAAAGCCCGGGCCAGACTGGCAGAGGATGCTGCAACGCCATTGATTACCCCTAGAACTAGCGAAGAAGGGGCTGAGTTCGTGAGAAGGATTTGGTTCGACGGAAAGGCAAAGCATTGAGCTGTTATCTTCCAGAGGAGGCATAGGTAGACTCCCGGCATCTGAAGTCCTTGTGGTAGAATGACCAGGTATGGCACCAGAAGGTATAGTAACGGCCATGTCATTAAGACACAGCGAAACAACTTCAGGGAGCCAAAGTGGCGGGAAGCGAACGGGAACAGATAGAGCTGAGCGACCATTGAATAGACACCTTGCACAGATAGCATCAAGCCTATGGTCTGTGACGAAAGGCCGAAACCACCAGTGAAACGGAATGGCAGGGATATTGGCTCTGTCGAGATCGGCTCGCTCAGGAATACTGGCATTAGCTGATCGAAGGCTATTGAGTGACTACATTGACGTCAGCATCAGATTACGGGCATTAGGCGTGTGGATGAGCTCACTATGCGAGAAGACCAAAGCCAGCGATGTTCAATACTACCTGCTTCGTGAAGGCTTTCCTGACTCCTCGCGGCTTGTTCTTCACTCGTCTTTTGCCTTTCGTTTTTGCATCCGCGGGCAGAGCCTTTGGAGAAAGAGAAGGGGTTGAGGGTTGGCAAGGTGAGCCTTCAATCGTTCTGTATCCTGGGGGCTCTTCGTCTTCTAGAAGTGCGGATTGTTCCTGAAGATTAGCCTCGCCAGCTTTGTCCACGATGATCTGATCTGCTGGTCTGGTCTGGAAATGGCCCAGGAGCCACCTCCCAGCTTCAATACCAAAATCTCGGCGACCTTTCAGCTCCTCATGGGTTTCTTCCAAGAAAAGTACGCCGACCAAGACCCCAAAAGCAAGGATGACAGCGCAGACAAGGTTGGGTAGTAAGAATGGGAACTGGTCAAAGAGTGTGCCTCGGGCGAAGAACGTAGGGAAGGATTCGCAAGGTTGGGCCAAAGCTCCGCCAAGCGCAGGACCTAGAAGTGACCTTCATAGCATACTTTAGTACAAGCCGATGTCAGAGGCGAAATCGACGTACCCAAGACTCCAGACGAATGGCATGATAGCGTAGGCTTGAGCTGTTCGACGTGAGCTATAGTGCTCATCCCATCTTGAAATCCACTTACATTGATGCTCCTTGACCGTGACAATCTCGGCAACTGTAGTTTGGAGAACTCCCATATTCCTGCCATGTCACGTAAGGTACAAGTCTAACGAGAGAACGCAGGCTTGATGGGTCCTTACCCATTGAGCAATCCTCCCAGGGCTCGCCCTACTAGCGCAACTGGTAGATTTGGAGCAAACCCGAATACCAGCATACTGAGCGCCGTTCCTGCCAGTCCAGCAAGAAGCACCGGCTTCCTTCCCACCCTGTCGCTGATCCGACCCCAGGCGACACCTGATAAGAATTCTGCGAAGGCAAACGCGGAGGTGACCAATCCGGCGTAGACAGCAATTTGGCGGGTGTCAGAGGTGATCTTGAAGGACAGGATCATGTAGTAGACGTAGGGGAAGATGGACATGAAGGCGATTGGCTCGCAGATGCGACATAGTGCTAATCGGGAGGGTGGATGTTAGCCAATACGTAATGTGCAATAATGATGGACAAACAATGAAGCAATGAGCCCCAGTGCTAGCAACCGATGGCATTCGATCGGGGATTGCTTTGATCTGCGTTCCCCAAGGGAGAGAGAGAGACATACCAAGGATGTAAAGTTGCTTCGATGGGAACGGGGCTGTTTGGGCCTTGGCGACATGCTGGCGCCGGCGAGCTGGTATAATGGAAGTCATGTTGACCTGTGATGAAGAGCTTTGACAGCTAAACAGAGGTGTGCAAGGCAGGCAATTTGTAGGAAGTTCTGGGGATGTCAAGAAAGAAGAGGGAAACGGCTGGAATGATCAGCCACGACGCAGGGACGTCGATGGTGAGAAGCCAGGGAATGGATACTGCACGTCAGATGGGACTAGGGGAGCGATCATTCAATTCTAAATGATTCATGTTTTAATAAAACCCAGTAATTTGGTGGCTAACAGGGAGAGTAGAGGAAAGATGAGATCTTCTAACACTTCGGCTCACGTGGGGAGGCGTAAGTCAGGCAAGTTAGCGGAAACTTACTACCAAATTGATAAACTTGCAGGGAAACAGCCATGCGGGCTTGATATAGCAATTTACGGGGAAGGGGAAGTTAGAGAGCTCAAGGTGACTTGGTCGACGGATATGGACCCGGAACTTTATAGCCTTGTCCTCTTGTGTGCGGTGAGCATGTTGTCCCGCTGTACCTCGTCAGCTTCATTCCCATTGGTGCACAAAGGATGAAGTGGCGGTGGAAAGGGAAAGGTACCGGTATTCGCTGTCTGGTGCACTTCTCTAGTGAAAGAGAGTCTGAGGTCATCATGTCCCATGACCGCTTGCTGACGGGATGGATCATTACGCCTGGGGAAGGCGATTTCAGGCGAGCAGAGAGGGGATGGCATTCCCTGTTGTGGCCATAGGTATTTACGCCTTGTTTTTGTGTGACAGAAGATGAAAGAACCATGGAGGGGAAAATGAATACTCCCGCAAGAAGAAGGGGAAGGGAAAAAAAAAATTTAAAAAAAAAGGGATCCACGTTGGAAGAAGCATGCTGCGTCCGGCACTTGTCAAGAGCTTAGGCGAAGCTAAAAAGCATGCTGGTCATTGCCCCCAGTTTAGCGGCTAGACTTAGTGCGAAACGGATTCCCGGGTCCTGTTCCAGGGGCCATTGCTGCATCGCTGCCTTGCATGGACAGGTTCTGTGAGGTACCGTAGCCTAAAACGTGGCCCTAGAAGTTTCCCGGGGGAGTCGGGTACATAGCCTTAAGCTGGGGGATTCAACGGCTTCTTGAACCTTGATTACTCTTCTAGAAATCTAGAAATTTAATGGGGGGAAAAAAAAGGGGTTGGTGGCCATGGTGGCGATTGTCATTCCTAACAGTCCTACCGCAGACCGCAGAGTCACCGATAACAAAAGTCTTGAAGGGAGGATGATAATCGTGATGCCATCGATATATTCGTCTTCCGGAAGGCGCTTTGAGCCGGACTGCCATCTTAGATCCTTCGCTGTCCTGGAAGACGTGGCCTTGGTGTGACCTAAGGTATTCTACGGCACACGGTTGCGATTGGATAGGGTCAAAAGAGCGGTCAAGAAAGTGGAAAGGAAGATCAGGCTGGACCGTGGTGTCAGCGTGAGAGTTCGGATTTTCAACGCCTTTCCATCATTCCATGCGGTGAGTGACCCGTCGCCAATGGAACTAGGTAATGGACTGCCCTGGGAGTTGCTTCAGATCGAGAGATGATGTACGGGGCAGACGGGTCCTATTGGTCAGCGGCTTCAATTGAGATTAAGGACAGTTCCGAGAGGAAACGCCCACCGGCATCCCGCCCTGCTCTAATCCATCACACCAAGAGCATTCCCTACTTACTTTACTTCCATCGCGCGCCGAGGGTCAAATCCCAACAGTCTGTTCGACTTGCTGCTCTTTCCCTGCGGTCGATCCGCCGATAAATGCTCTCCAATGGGTCAGATCATCGAGAGCCTGCTTCACAACTCCCGACCCTGGTGCGGAGTCTTGGGCCGCGGTTGCGATTGAATGTCTGTACTTGCCATGGATTATATTCCAACGCATGCCTGTCGTGCATGAAGCACGCGACAAATGACAGGGATCACAGCCACAGCACTGCAGCTAGAGAAAGGAAGTTAGCAGCCACCTCGGGAGGCCACACCAGCATAGGAGGCTTAGGAGCATAGGGCCATAACAACGGTGTAGGCAGCTCTAAAGCCGATTCACCCGACAAATCTCCGAGTGCCTTCTGGCACAACCGGGCTGACTCCTCCGCCAAAATCAGCACTCAACTTCTTTACTGCTTCTACTGTTGGGCCGCTGGGCGCCAGAAGGTTCTGAGCTACCTTAGTCAATCTTCGCTCTTCAGCCCTACTCCAAGCTTGATTAATCCTTTGTGGGATCGTTTGCGAAAGGATCAGATCCAGATGACCCGCTTATTGGCATATTTGATGGACCGTCATCATGTTCAATTCCAGAAAACTCATTGCATCGCTTGGGTGCCGATGCCTTTCCTGCTCTCTGGTACTCCGTCTGATTGTCCTGAGGCAAGGCTACGCGTCGGTTATGCAATGGTCCTATGGAAGACCAATCAGGGTGCCACAAGTGCTGTGTTCGTGTCCATCCACACCCGTGACTTTTCTGCATGTTGCCTACTTGTTGGCGGACGGCATAACCCGACAGAGAAGATGCTTTCATGATCTGGGTAGAGTCCACCACGGTCCAGCTTTATGCTGCAGTACTTTTCCCAACATACCTCTGTTTCGAGCCAAACTCAAGCTGCCCACGAAATGTAAAGGACCGAAAAATAATGGCGACGATTTTCAGAGCACAAGGGTCAAGCACTTGAGCTACCGCTACGTTGGGAGTCGGTGTGCTGCAACATCGTGGTCCCCTACCACAAAAGTTGACCTCATTGGCTGATAAGGTCAACCATGGATGTTTTATTTACGGAGAACACTCTCGCACTATCAAGGCTATGCTGCTGCACCTTGAAGTATGATCATCAGTCACTCGCCTCCGTGGACCTGAAAACCAGTATCAGAGGCAGCTCTGCATGCATGGTACCGATGGAGAAGCTCGGGAAAAATGTCAGCTCTGCAATTACTTTATCGATAACAACTCATTGGACTTCTAAAAGCGGGTTAGCATGACTCGTGACTTGGGAGCCCAAATTTCGATAACCGCCATATTCACCTTCAAAGAAGTTAAGGGGTTAGTACAGAATGTGCTGTAGATCATGAATCGAGTTGTTTCAAGCGCTGATTTAATCCTCTTTGCGGGCACCAGACGATCGTTGACAACTCAGAAGTAAACAGCAGCCTTCCCGGACAGCTAGCCCCAGCCAGGAACAGGGTTTTATGGAGCTGAACCGTAGACAGTAGCGACGGCTATCTTCAACATTTCCCATGCATGATCTCTCATGCACTGCACCCCTGCTCTTCTCACACTATTTACCTTTTCCCGGCTTTCGAATTGTCCAGCGCTACGCCACTATTTCTTTCAACATCCATGCCAACCATATTCATTCATTTTAACCAGGATTTAACCCAGAGGATCATTTCTGTGAAAGGGTTTTACCTTACCTACCTAGAAGTATCTCTTTCGGTTACGTCGCCGCATCTGCATATGCACATTTCGCGCAAATCCTCTATACCCCTACATCTTTACCGATCTCGATACCTGTGACGTCGGAAGCGCTTTCGGCCTTCTCACGGACATCGAGGTTCCTGCAACAGGTAGAGCTTCCCAACTCCTTCACGGACCGTGTGAGACGATCGGGAGTGCGCGAAACAGCGTGTATGCATGCACCTCGCAGAGGCTCGCAGAGGGAGACCATTGGCTTGGGACCCCCGAGGAAGACCGTGCTACATTCGGAGACATTCCTCAAATTACGCTATACCCAGTGTTTCTGGGGTAGGGAATGAGCTCCTACCCCGAGAATTTGCGATCTGGCGAAGCTGCCAAAGCTGCAGATGTGATTAGGAGACACTTCCGTGCGCCGGGAAAAGGGACACTAGTGACCACTGACAGTACTTACCCGAGGAATCGATGGCGAACAATACCAATTCAAAGCTGTGAATCGACGCCTATGAAGTCGCCTTGGAAATGATTACTGGACATACTGAATCAATCCTTTGTGTTCCGCAACCGGCCCAATCTTTTCGACCAGGCTTGTTTGGGGCTGCCTGGAAGCGGCGGAGATTTCGAGCCAAGCTTTCACTCATCGCCCGACACAAAGAGGCTGGACGCTGGAGCATAATGGCCCGTGAAGTACTGCCGGGCTCTGCTTCGCAAGATGCCACTCAGTGGCCGCACAAACGATCCCAGGTGCGATTGTCGCGAGCGAAGCTTTGGGTGACTACGCGGTGCCGTAACATCGACCTCTTCTTCCTCTTCGTCCAACAAAGAAGCGTCTAGAACCGTACCTCAAGGTTTAACCCTGCAGTCATGCCTGCCGATACTCTCGTATCCTCACTCTTACGACATTTGGTGTCGAAAAACCTCCCGGGCCGGGTCGACGAGGGGAGAAACCCCAGCCTGTGACCTTCGACCACGCTCGCCACTAACGTGTCAGTGTTCGGGTACAGCATGGGTGCCATCGATCACGCCATACGGCCTTTTCCAAAGCCGCCTCTGCGCTCGGTTTACGCTCGAGACGGTGAAGGGGGCTGCGGGCAGGCCGGAACACGACATTGATCCAGGCCCTGACGGACAGCCGTACCCTCTGACCGATGCCGGAGACGGGCACCATTTTTCACGACCAGTAGTTATGAGGTGGAAGGGGATTTGCGATGTGTCGAAAGAGATGGGCCGTGGTTCTCTCTATACTTGAAGCGAAGATGGGTGGCGACACTTGCACAATCGGCCCGACTGGAAAGGATTAGGGTGGGTGAGATAAGGCAGCGATACTTATGATTTCCGCCGTGATCCGACGATTGTGTCTACATTGCCAGCTCGACAACCAGTCATTGCCCACCCAAAAAGAAACTTTGCAACGATAATGGAGCTTGGGGGGAGCCTGCAAGCCGAAACCTTGTCTAAAACTAAAAACTTTTTGAAACTTGGACAAACCGCCGTGCAGGCGCCTACACCCCATCCTCCACCTCCTCCTCCTGCTTTAAGCCGTCCGACAGCACGTCATCCTCCATCTCCACGTCCCCATCCCCGGCCCCATCCTCCCTCGCCTCCACATGCTCGCCTAATCCCGCAGCCGCGACGTTCCCCTCTACATCCTCCTTGACAGCCAGCTCGTCTTTGACGTCAGCATTCGTTTCTGCTTCGTCTTTGATGGCGTCTGGCTCGTCTTTGATATCAGCGTTGGATTGAGCTTTGGAGTCGTGGAAGCGTTCTTTTGAATGATCCATAAGTGGCGTGTCCTCGTTGTAAAGACGCAGCAGCATGGCTTTGCGATCTTCTTTCGGCAGCATCAGGTTGAGTGAGTGGAGGCTGCGCCATAGAGGAAGAACCATGCGCTCGCTGCAGAGACGATGTTAGCACGACCGACTGCACGTACGAAGAATAAAAAAAAATCGTACCTGAAGCTATCCCTCCCGTCCCCCTTCTCGACCCTCAGCACACAGCACCCCATGCCCACATCTCTAACCCTCTCCCCAATCTCCCCCAACCCCTTCCATCCCTTCCCATCCACCTTTGGAAACATCTCCACCAAAAGCGCCCTCAGTGTGCTCCTCTCCCATAATCTCACAACCCTCTTCTCCCCCACCCACGCCTCCAAAACTGGCAATCCTTCGCTCTGGATCCTCCATCTACATACTTCGGCAGATTGTACGTCTTGCTTGACGAACATCTTCACGCCGCAGTGTACGAATTTGATGCCAGAGCTTGCGTTGGCGGTCAGGATGGCGCGGGCAAGAGCGGAGGTGTAGTAGATTGTTTTGGAGGGGTGGCCGAGGGCGTTGCGGACCATAAATCTGTCTCGTGGGAATACGGGCGAGAGGTCGTAGAATTCGTAAATTGATCGCAGGTCCGGCTGATCAGGGTCGAGGTATTTGAAGGGTTCTTCGTAGGGTTGCTTGTTCTTGTTGAATTGCTTCTGGTTCTCACCGAGCGGTGGAGCCGGAGAAGGGAGTGATGTTTGTGTTTCAGGACGACTTGCGTCGAGCTGAGCGGCTGGTGGTGGGGGCCAGTGTACTTGACGATCTTCATCGCCTTGGGGTGCTGGATCTTCGACTTCAATTCCGTCTCTGGTTTTGAGACGTTTGGTCGACATTGCAGCGTCAGTCTCGGTGTCGTGTTCTCGTTTGACGGCCGTGGTGGTGCTGCTGGGAGCGTTCTCTTGGTTTTGGCGGGCTGCTGCTGATACGCCTTCTGCGTAGTCGTTGGTTTGTGGTTGCACGATCTTATCGGCAGCTTCGATTTTTTGAAGTGGGTCGCTGCCGTTTGTGGTTTTCGCCTCGATCTCTTTGACAACGTCCATAATGGAAGTGGGCTCTGGCTCCGGTTTCTTGGATTCGGCTTCTGGTCTTGCTTTGATCTCGATTTTCTTCTCCAGGACAGTGATGAAAAATGCGCCCGTGTCTTGCAGGTGTCCGTAGACGCGCATACACCGGTCAAGCGAACCAGCCTCTGCTCTTTTGGTTGATGGGAACATGAACTCGGATAGTCTTCCAAGACCTTCCTCGCCATTTTTGGCTTTCTCAGCTTCTACTGCTTGCCAGGATGGCCAGATCCTGCCTTGCTTGTCCATCACTTTCCAGTCGTTGAAGCCTTGCCGTCTCTTCAATTCAGGCAGAGCGCTACTGCAGTCAATGATGTCAACCTTAGACATGCCACCACATCGATCGATAGCTGTTGCTACGACTGCCTCGTTCTCCACGGGATTCATGCTGCAAGTTGAATAGACAACTCTCCCTCCGACTTTCAGCATTTGTAGTGCGCGGACCAAAATACGGACCTGCGTGGAGAACAGCCCAAGCGCATTTCCAGGATTCCAATCTTTCCAAACATTGACATTCTTTCGACAAGTTCCATCGCCAGAGCATGGCACATCGGCTAGTATGCGATCAAACTTGAGATATCTGTTTCTTGTTTCGCCGCCCTCTCGGATGGGATCGGTTGGAAGCTTTATGGACGGGTACATTGTTGCATCGTGATTCGTTACGATCAGGTTCGGGGAATTGAGTCTTTTCATCTGGTGTACGAGCATGTGCGCGCGCTTATAGTCGGCATCGTTGGCGATTAGCAACCCCGTGGTTCTCCCATCGTCCGACCAGTCGCCATTTTGTTCTTCCTCTTTCATTTGTTCTTCCGTTAATCGACCGTCAGGGCTCGTTTCTCGCCCTTGGTCCATCTTCATCTTGCGGACTACTTTTCGCGTTCGAGCCTCCTCTCCGCCATGGACCATTTCGATCAACTGAGCCGCTTTGCTACCAGGCGCCGCACACAAGTCCAAGACGGTCATGCCTGGTTTGACGTCCATGAGAAGCGGCGGGATCATGCTAACCACCTCCTGCCGACTTATATTTCCGACACTCGTCTCTGAGACCAAGAACTTTTGGAACGAAGCAAACGGTGGGAATTTGCGCACGACGCTCTTGGGTGTGGTCATCTGCCATGCCAATTGATCTGGGAACCATGATATAGCATTTGGCGGATTGACGAGCTCACCATTATGCTCTATAGAGGTGATCTCCGGTATGTAGCGGTCCTTCAGTAGCTGCTGCACCGGTAGAGCTTGCCTGCAGAATTCAAGCAATCAGCATGCGCCCATGAAATCGGTAGGGGCTCGAGTACCCTTTTGAACCAGTGAAACGAAAGCTATTTGGGAGTTCTCTTCGCAACGCAGTCCAGAAATCTTCCCTTTCGGCCTCTTCGACCAAGCCTAGTTCATTGTAGTATTGCTCATATTGTGCATTGGCTTTGGGCACTTCCGAGTAGTCTGTGCGAATTGATCGCTGACCACCCCCACGACCACCGCCTCTGCTCCCGCCTCGACCCTGCGACGAGAAGTGTTAGCTCCTTGCTTTGGAGGACCACGCGTCGGACATACTGACTCTTTTGCCCCCACGGTTACCCATTTTTGAGTAGTTTCACAAAAGGAAAAGCGGTGGTTGGCTCTCCAAGTAGTGAGCTCCAGTGAATTTTGGGCTGTCGGTGAGGTCATGTAACTTTCTCCGACTTGGTACGGTTGGCTACAAGCTGCCTCATGAAATCCCTTTTCCGTTTCACTCGCAGATCATCCATTGACTTTAGCATCAACTTCAATTTCAAGTCACCTTCGTCTAATTCGCACGCAGGTATGCCTGTTGGCTCAGAGACGCTCTTATCGCCTTCCTCTGGCTACAACGCGCCAGTGGCTTCCCACTACCTTAACCTCTTGCAAGAAGTTCAGAAACACAAAGAGGAACTAAACTTTATAGATAGGCAGTGGTGGATGAACTGGAACTCCCAGAAAGTTCGCACGGCTTGGAGCTCGATGCTAAGTTTTATTTGTTTGTCTACTTCCCGTCCAGTACCTTCATCTTCAGGAGGTCCCCACACTACTCGAGAGACACGTCTCAACTCTATGTAAGGCCGAACAACGCTCACTATCAGGCCTCTAGAGTACCTGGGGATCGACATTCAGGCATTCGCATTGACACTGGATTCCATTGACCCTGAAAAGTACCCTCGTTTTCATTCTTTTTTATCATCAATGTATACTCCTATGAAGGAGAACGCTGAGCCAGAGTTCTTCCTTTTACTCGATTTTCTATCGAACGTGCTCGTTGATTCTCTTCTATACACCCTTTTTTCCATCCACCCTTGATTCATCAGGCATTCCGATCCGACTTCTGCATCGAAGGAAATGCCTTACACGTCCTCCTTCCAAGCATTCGCCTGAATTTTAGACCTCGGCTACTCTCGCCCTGAACTAAGAGACCCCGCCTCGCCCCGCAAGAGGATCCATCGACAAGAACACTCATGCTATCTTCACTCTCTTTCTTGTTTACATCCGCCCAGGGACCACATCAAAATGGCACCACCATCAGCGACCACCACACAAAGCGAAACCAATGGCTCCTATCCCTCCACCAAAGCGCCCCTTGAGCCCGGCTTAAGCGAATCCCGAGCCAGAGGGCAAATGGCACACTTCCCCGGCCCTCCCACCTTCACTGATAAATACGAAGAGCGCGAATACCTCAAAGGCCGACTCGCGGCCGCCTTCCGTATATTCGGGAAGTACGGCTTCGACGAAGGAGTGGCGGGACACATCACACTTCGAGATCCAGTGGACCCTACTACATTTTGGGTGAACCCGTGGGGGGTGGCATTCTCGTTAATAAAGAGGAGTGAATTGATACAAGTGGACCACAGTGGAAAGATTATTGGTGGAGGGAGTGTCAAGTTGTTGAATACAGCTGCGTTTATGATACATGGCGCAGTGCATAAGGCGAGGCCGGATGTGATGTGTGCTGCGCACAGCCATAGTATCTATGGACGCTCCTTCTGCACCTTAGGCCAGAAGCTCGACACCATAACGCAAGATTCCTGCGCATTTCATGACGTGCGACTGAATTTGTCTTCTGGTTTGGATAAAGGTGCTGACAACCTCGGCAGGACCACGTCCTCTACTCAACATTCAACGGCATCGTCCTTGCCGAGAAGGAAGGCGAAGAGATTGCACACGCCCTGGGAGACAAAAAGGCCGCTCTTCTCCAAAACCACGGCCTCCTGACGGTCGGCGGAACCATTGAAGCTGCGGTGTTCTGGTTCATGAGCCTCGAGAAATGCTGTCACGCGCAGCTGATGGCAGACGCCGCTGCTGGAGGCCGAGGTCGCGAAACCGTAAAGATCAATGATGAGGATGCAGCATTCACATATAAGACTATTGGAACGCCAAGAGGCGGCTGGTTTAGTGCCAAGCCGTTGTTCGATGTCATTGAGAAGGAGTGTGGTGCAGATTATTTGCAATAGGTGCCAGATTTCACGGTTCAAAATTGAAGGTACTCATGTTTCGACGAAAATTGTCCGCATTGATTTTCGGCTGTATAAAAATGTCCTCGCCTTTGAGTAATCTTATGTGTATACTCGGTCAACCAATTAAATGGTTGGATTGGCAGTCTATGGAAACTTATTTCTACCACTGTCGCTGCCGTTCTTTGACGTGATCGATATTTTGTGCAAAATCATTGGACTGCTATGCTGCCGTCCAGCTTTGGTTGCACATCTCCTTAGAGTGGAGGTTTTTTAAGTTGGTCATCTTAGCTTGACGCGCCTGTACCAGTTTTTTGCTGCTTCTCAGCTTGCTTGGCCTTTCTATGTGTGTTGTTGGTGTTAGGCGTTGATGCTGTTGGGAAGAAGAAGAGGTGGAAGTGGAAGCCTGAAGAGCCTGCGGATGATACAAGAGGGTTGCTGCGCTAGGCCTTTGTGACTGGGTTGAAAATGCAGCGCCTTCTCAGAGGGACGTCCTTGTTTTGATTCGGGAAAGATCAGTAGCTGTCCGGTCAGAAAGTCGCGAAGTTTCGAATAGTCACATTGGAATTTCACAATCGCATTCTTTGATTATATTTCTGGAGCCACCATAGCGCTGCTTGAATCCTTGCCGCTGCATTCTGGTAAACCAGAAGCAAGCACCCGGAATTGCGTCCGCTCCTTCAACCCTCCATCACCCTCGGAATCTAATTACGAGCCCAATCCCCGGATTCCTCCTGAGACTGCTCTTGAGATCCCTCGCGAACCCGGCCCCAACTCCCCCTCCACGATCCTCCCAAGATCCCAGGCATACCTAACCAGTCTGTCATCCCCACCACCGTCCCCCTTGTCCCACCGATAAACCGAAGCAATCTCTTCTCTCATTTCCAGATCCAGATCGAAATGTCCCCTGTCTGGATCGTAAAGGTCTATCTTCGAAAGAACGAGGTGTGTCAGATTCGGAAGGTAGTTTCTAATTTTCGCCAGTTCTTTGACCGGCATTTGACCCGGAGTTGCATCGAAGACCACCCTGTGTAGTTCAATACTTCGGAGGGTTTGCTGGTGCATCGCGGCGAAACAGAGCAGTCCTTCTTCGCGGAGGGGGCAGTTAATTAGGGACAGCGATTCGAGTCGTGGGAAGGTGCAGTCATTGATCATGCCAGCCTCACTGATTCCCTTGTGTTTTCGACGCTCGAGCTCACAGATGGCCTTGCTAAGCTCGGTGCCGGTGAGCAGGTTATCGAAGTACAAATGGGGTCCGCCCATTTCGAACCACTCGTCCTCGTTGGGGTACAAACCCTCGCATGAGAGACTGAGCCGCAGCGTCTCGAGACGCTTGAGGGCCGTGAACTGTTCCCGCCAATCTTGCACGGCGAAGCACGTTTGTACTGGGTCTTCGAGGGTGCCAATTTCTTGACTGATCCTGAGCTCGATGTCGAGATGCACGACTTGGTCTGGGATGCGCCAATGGTAGAGCCAGTTTTGGAAGGGTACCTCGCGGAGCTTCAAGCTGGTGATGCTGATCGTTAGGGAGGTCATGAGGTATGAGACCCCTCGTCCTAAAGTATCACTTTGATCATCCGTTACAGTAGGGAAGTTTCCGGACAGGTCGATGCCCATCTCATCCCAAATCTTTTGGTAAGCCATTGCCGTTCGCTCAGGTCCATGGGTAGAGACTGAGTTTTCGACATGGTAGAGCATGGGCAAGACCGCCATAGTCTCACGCATGATCTTTCTGATCGCCTGAAGGAGTTTTGTTAGAACTGCTTGAGCCTCACACAAGGATGGACGAAAGGAAGACCTTACGTCAAAATTGGGGATCTCATCCTCCCATTGAGCCTCCAAAGGCGCTATGACCAGCTCGTGGATCCTGGCAGAGTTTCGCACTCTCAATTCTAATGCCGACGAAAGTTCAGTCTCGTACAAGTGACGTAGATGTGCAACACAAGGAGAGCTGGGGTGCCAGCGGGGGTCACAGGAAGCAGTGGTCGTGACTGGCGTCCTTAGCTGGAGACGCTGAACGTGTATTGCAAGCTCGGGTTTTTCTCTGGCAAAGGTGATAATTCTGGATAAGGGGCTTTAGTCTGGATAGCTCATCATTCTGGGTGCATCAAACCTTTTCATATCAACAAGCTTGAAGGAGCTGAAGTCAAGCACAAAGTTCTTGAAGAGGAATGGAGTAGCCACAGTTTTGAACTATGAGCACGCATCAGCCAAACTCAATGTCTTGTCTCACAGGAGAATATGGTGGCAAGCGGGAGCCAGTTTGACTAACCCTATGGGAAACAAGTCTCAGGCTCTGCAAATCCTTGGTTGCAACCGGATCAAAGTGATTGATTCTTCGACCAACCAGAAACCTGACAATCATGACGAGCATCTCGTTTGGCAGCTCCCAAAGCAATGCCATGTTGACGATACCCAGCTTCAGATGGAAGTAAGGGCCTTCGGCCAAAGATTAATCACAATAAGAATCCAATGGTATGGCGGTACTGTGGAAGACAGAGGCTGGAGACCGATGAAGTTCTTTAGCGTAGGTATGGAAGGCGCAGGGTAGAAACCGATGAAGAACCCTGAAGTAGCGAGGCTTTGCACGATCAGATTGAAAGTGTGTGCTGAGTTCCGGATGGTGTGCTTGCCTTTCAGAAGACGAGGGTTAGAGACCAACGGATAGCTTCAGAGTAGCAGTGGAGGACACAGGCTGAGGATCAATGCCAACTTCGAAGTACCAAGGATGTGTAGGATGGAAGAGAAAGTATGTGCTGAGCTCCGGGTGTTAAGCTGCCAAAACAAACGCTATAAGCGCCTGCTTCACGTGTCTGACAAATTCACGGTATATATGTATAACAAGCGGCAGATTCATTCTGTCCGACAGCTTCTCGATGTATATATACATTGGCCACGTCTGTAAGCTGCGAAAAAAAGACGCCATAAGCGCCTTCTTCACGTTTCTGGAGAGATTTATAGATAATAAGCCCCAGATCTTTTCCGTGCGACAGCTTCTCAGTGTACATTCACCTTAGCCGCGTGATTCACAGACTCTCATAGCCTTTGCACAGCTATGAATGTAGCCGCGGATGCCCGTCTTCACTTGTTGTTAAGGCTGCATTACTTTTACTACTGTGATCACTTGCGAACGGAGTGAATAGACCAGGGCATATGATGCCAGAGAAAATGCACTGGCTGAGATAATGATTGTGTCAGTCACTTCAAGAGAAGATTTCTCGACAACTCTTAGGCCTACAATCTTTGCTGCTAAATTCACTCTTGAAAGGAGATAATGAAGCAACGCATAGAATCTGAGAGATGGTAAATAATGCTCAAGCATACTTCATTTGTCAATACTGTCCGTCTGCAAAAAACTTGAGATATGTTTTGTCTTGGCCACCCATATATCAAATCCTTTGGTACGTTCATGGAAGATACAGAGACTAAGCTGTTTGATAAACTGCATCAGTTCTTGTAAACAGGATGGCGTTCAAAGGATGGCGTTCAACTCGTACTTGGCAAAATTTTCATTCGCATTGAAATTCAAGAAGAGGACAGGATAAATCGAATATGCAACTGTGCCGTCCTTGAGGCTTTTTAGAGTAGAATGCCGATGTGATTCCGTCCCTCACCTCCACAACCTAATGTGAGAAAGCATCATTGATTGACATATGGAAGTCGTACGGACTTCGGAAGCACCTACATTTAGTGATTCGTTTCTCTCTCAAGCGAAGTCATTGTTGAGCTAGGGATGTGAGATGAGGATGTGAAGAATAGGGTACTGATACAGTGTTCTTGTAAGGAAAGGTATCTGATCGTCTATGGTACGCAGATATGTAAATCCAATACCTGTAATCCACGTGTGACGTCTGGAGGCTCAATCAATCTGAGATATCATTGTCTCTTGGATAAGGTCGTCTAACCAATCTGCGGGTTGCAGTATCTGATTCTGGGTCAAGGAGTGTCCGACACACCAAGGAAGGGCTTCACGTACCAATGGTGGCAGTATTGTTCTGAGAAGCATCCTCGGCGCTCTTACGCGCATCTTCCATCTCAGCGCGAAGATTCTTGACCTGCTGGCTCATGACTCGCCAGAACAAGAGGTGATCAAGCTCGTGACTCTCTGCACCAGCCTCCGGTAGTTCATCGATTGCTTTGCTCGTCCCTTTGTGAGACCCGACGATCATGAGAAGCGAAGTAATGAAACTTTCCTTAAAATAAGCGAAGCTGAAGCCTTCGGTGATCGCTGCAATAGCTTCGGAGAGCTTGGGTGGAAAGTCGACAGTAGTGTTGTTGGAAAGCTTAAATCTCCAGTAGTCGCAGTATTTGACCCTCTCAGGTAAGGCAGGAAGGACGAAATGGTACTTGCGGTCGAATCGACCTGGGCGCTTGGAGATACCCGCGTCCAGCCTCTCGAGATAGTTGGTGCTTCCAAGCATCATGAGTCCCTCATTTGACTCCAAGCCATCGACTTCATTGAGAAAGAAGCTCTTGACCTTGTCTGTGATCAAGCTGTCGAGGTCCTCGAAGATTAAGAGACATGGGCTAGACAGTCTAGCTTTGACGAAGATTTCTCGGATAGCATACTCAGGGCCATGACTGTAGAATGAGTTAGCTTTGCGTGCAACTTGTCAACAGAGAGTCACTTACCATCCGGCAAGAGATTTGACGTAGAGCGTGGGAACAGGGTCTGGACGCTTGTAGAGAGCATGCATGAGAGCCTTGATGGAAATAGTTTTGCCATTTCCAGGTAGGCCATGGAATATGATGCCCCTCTTCCAAGGTACCGCAAACTCCCTGTATTCGTCTCTGCAGTCGAAGAAGCCTTCAACGTCATTGACCAGTGTCTCTTTCATGTCTTTGTCCATGATCACATCGTCCCAGCTTGCATTCTGAACAGAAGCCCATAATTCTTTGTTCTTGGTCCAGCGCTCTTGATCGAACACCAGCACCTCGTCATGGACGTTGTTGTTCCACTTCGTAGCTGCAGCAATAAGCTCATCGGTAGCCTTGCAACGTCCATCAATAAGCCCATGGTCACGCTTGTGTAAGACGTAGTTGTTCTTGATTTGTAAAAAGCCTTGTTGGAAAGTAGCCGTATACACGATGAAGACCTCGCTCTTCCACTCATAGTCATATTTTCCAAAGTGGACCTTGTCCGTCATTTTGCCCTCCTCCTGAGAGATACGCTGGCTAGGTGGAACATGCAGACGCCATGCTGACAATGACTCGGTCTTGGTGTCTAGTTCTGCCTTGGCCTGTCCAGCTCGAGCAAAGGCAAGAAGGCCTGTGTGACCAGGCGTGACCGTCACGGTCCAGTCTGGATAACGGCCCCGAAGGGAAGATACGATGGCGGTCTCGCTAGAGATTTGGAGGCCAGCATTGTGCTTTTGGTAGTCTTCAAAGACGTTGACCGCAGCCTTATCGGTAGCGAAGGTCTCCTCCATCTTGTGGGTGTAGGAGGCTTCTCCTTTTCTCATAATATAATATCTTTCGACAAGCCGGGCTCAGGAAAGTATTTCGGCTTTGGTACAGGAAAGCGTAGATGGCAAGGAGCTACAGAGTGTTCTTGCCATCGTAGGTGGAAACTCCCTACCTTATATACTAACCTGCAAGGCTACGCTTCCCGGGCATCTGCCCTGCTTGGATGCAACTCCAGGCAGAAGTGCATGGATCTGTCAGCATTTCTGCCTAGCCTCGCCCGTGCTGACGGGCCTATGATTTCAAGGCGCCTCAATTGGAAAGCCTGATGTACGAGTCTCGTACGAGCATTTGAAGTCGAATGTCTCAGGTGGAATCAGCCTTGGAGTGAAGTCGGCAGAGTAGATTTTAGCCGCGAAGCGCATTCCAAGCTAGCCAGAAACGTTGTGCTTGAAGCCATCCAAACGCCCCTTCCCATTGCATCATCCAGCTCGACATCATGGACAACCAAGACGCGGAAAGAGCGAAGATAGCTGCAGATGCTGATAGAGAACTCACCCGTTTATGGCGGGCATGGCGAACGATACACCAAATGTGCCAGGACAGGGTACAAGCTTCCCATGCCTGTACTCCAGTGACACCCCGCTGACGTCCTCCACAAGGGCTACGAGATAGGAGAGGAAGAAGTCAAGATATCTCTCGAAGATTTCCGCAAGAACTACGCTGATCCTAGCGGTGCGCCTGAGTCTGTCCCCCAGCCCCATTATTGTGCAATCCCCTCGTGAGTGAGTAACGACGAGACTGACACACCACCCAGCCGCAAGAAAATGAACACCTCCTTCAGACCCACGGACGCCATGATTGCAAAATACACCGCCCTACCTACAAAAGCCGAACCCAACCCTCAGCCCCAAATCGGCACCATCTGGATCGAATTCTCCTCCGACGCCAGCATCGGCATAAAACAGATGCGCGCCTTCGCCCACCACGTCAACCAGCATAAATTCTACACCGGCATTCTAGTTACGCAAGCATCCATTACGCCTGCAGCGCTAAAAATAATTCCCGTCGTTCTGCCTTCCATCATTGAAACGTTCCAAGAGCAAGATTTGTTAGTGAATATTACGCACCATGAACTGGTGCCAACGCATGAGCTGTTGAGTGCGGAGCAGAAGGTGGAATTACTGAAGCGGTATCGGTTGAAGGAGAGTCAATTGCCGAGGATCCAGGTGGGGGATCCGGTGGCGAAGTATTTGGGGTTGAGGAAGGGGCAGGTGGTGAAGATCATTAGGAGGAGTGAGACGGCGGGGAGGTATGCTAGTTATCGGTGGGCTATATGATTGAGAGAAGGGGTCGTCACGGCTTCTAACGGTCTTTGCTTGAGGTGAATGCAGGAAAGTGTGCTTGAGTCGCATTCCAAGATGGATTGATGGGAAGAGACACCTTATGCATGCTTTGCGGGATGCTGGTTTCGTCTTGCAGTAGAAATATCTGCAGTCAGTACGACCTCGTGCGGTGACCTGAAATCACAGGATAGTAAAGGGAAAAAGCGTGGAGTTTAAATGGAGGTGGTTGTCGACAGAAACACCCAAGATTCAATGCAATGCCAGATCTCAAATTGCGCGTTCTCCTTTAATCTCCCTGATGTTTGTACCGTCATCTACCTTCGTGGATTGCTGCCATTGCTCAGTGCTGAGTGGTGACCACGTGTCGAGCTGCATACTACGAAGCACTTTCTTAAAGGGACGGAGGCATCTCTTTATTCTTGCTGGCGACGTATTTGTACCATGGTATGATACAATATTGATCAATACTCATTCAGAAAAAGGCGCTCCCATTTGCTTATTAGTACAGTGTTTTTGATTTGATATGTGCTGTACAACAAGGGTACACATAAAATAGTATCAGTTGCTTCATCTACAATTTTGCCTTTTCCTTGACATCGTCTTTGAGCTTCATGCTCTTGTCTGCCTTGGCTTGATCTCTCAACATCCTCCTGAGGATTTTCCCACTAGTAGATTTCGGTATGATTCTATAAGATGCCGGCGTCAGCACTTCTTTAGAGCATATCTCGACTTGAACGACGTCTCGATGGAGCCTACCCAAGAGACGCGCATTACGGCAACCATTCTATGGCTGGTAAGAAGGGATGTCTTACCCAACAAACTCCAGTTCAGTGATCCACTTAGTCCTCGACTTTCTCTCTTGCACATATTTAATCAATTCCTGTCCAAATTCTTGGCTGCCTTCGACTTCATCTTTCGGGACAACGTAAGCCTTCGGTCTCTCGCCGGTATAGTCGTCTGGCACGCTCATTACCGCAGCGTCTTCCACTTTGGGGTGGCCAAGCAACAAGTCTTCAAGTTCAGCAGGAGCCACACCAATGCCTTTAACCTTGATCAATTCCTTTATGCGGTCGGTGATGGTTAGCATGCCCTCCTCGTCGAGGATGCCTTGATCTCCGGTATGTAGCCAGCCGTCTTTGTCGAAAGTCTCAGCTGTGGCTTTGGCATTGTTGAGGTATCCCATCGTGATTTGGGGACCCCTAGTCAGAATCTTCGAAAAGCGCGTTAGATCAGCCAACCCACTATAGGAGATCTAACCTGCCCTTACCTCTCCGGGTTCATTGAGACCAAGCTCATTGCCATATAGATCAATGACTTTGATTTCTGTGCTTGCGCAGATTGTTCCCACAGTGTGACCGTACTTGTAATCATACTTCTCTGGTGGATGAGCCGTAATGCAAGAGCAAGATTCGGTCATACCATACGCTAGTAGAGATGTTTAATTTAAATGTTGATGGGCAAGACTAGAACTCGTACCTTGCTTGAACTCAGTCTGTGGAAACTTCTTCTTGAGAAGGTGGAGTATCTCTTCCGATAGAGGAGCAGCACCAGTAGAGAATCGGCGTAAGCAAGATAAGTCGTACTTATCGACGAGTGGGTCGCGAACAAGTCTGATTAGAATGGGCGGTACGAGGAGCAATTCTCGGAGCTGGTGTTTGACCACTGTATCTAGCAAGTCCTTCATCGTGAAAGCTGGAAGCATGTATACTTCAGCATTGATGGAGATAGGGAGGTGAAGGGCGTGGACCAGGCCCGTGACTGGTGGCGTTGATCATTAGCCATAAGCAACCCATGAGCTGTCTATTTTGGACAAAATTCCTAGGGTTTCGGCATTGTGACATTTCTCCAGGGCTATCCAGCCACAATCTGGGGTCGGGATACCACAAATACCTTGGGCTGCTGTACAAGAAACAGTGTAGCACTTACTGTGAAAGACAGGAAGTACAGCCAAAATCTTCTGCAGGTTGGGTGGTGTAATCATTTGTACCTGCAAGACCTGTGCGATCACGTTCTGATGGGCCTTAAACCAAGGGTATTAGGATGAGTACGGTATAGACGCAAAATAGCATGGTGTCATACTATCATCACAGCCTTCGGCAACCCAGTCGTGCCAGAGCTAAAGCTCAAAAAAGCACAAACGTCCTTACTTTCCTTACCTTCGGGAATCTTAAAGCTCGGAACCTGGCCGTTTTCCGCATATGATCTTCCAATATCCAAAAGTGTCTGCATGGCCGTGAAACCCTCTAGCTCGCCTTCAAGAAGAAACACCCGCTCCTTGGGAATCCCAGCGCTCTTTGCTGCTGCGGCAGCAACGTCCATTGACGCAGGTACGGTCATAAGGAACCTAGCACCGGCCTTGTTAAGTGCGTATGTCATCTCTTCGATGTTGTAGGCCGGCGACGCCCCAGAGACAACCCCACCTATTGCTCGCACTTTTCGTCAACCATGTAGCTTGGCCAGCCAGAAGACCACATAGCATACCAGCTCTCAGGGTTCCTAGCATAGCTACTGGATACCAGATATTGTTAGGGCTGAACAATGCCACTGCTTCCCCCTCTTTCAGTCCATATCGTTTGACCAACGCCGTCGAGAGGTAGGTCGTCGCGTCTTGAACCTGAGCGTAGTTGATCCGCTCGCCTGTGATGCCATTACTGTAGCCACGCAGTGCTGAGGACGGATGCTTTTTGAGCGAAGAGGAGGGAGAATCAAATAGCCAGTCCCAGATCGTGACATCTGTCGGCACTGTAGTCAATTGAGTGAGTCAGCCTTTTCTTCACAGACCTAGAGCCAAATGACGTACGCGGGATATCTGGCTGAGTGGACTTGAAAGGCATTTTGCCGGTCAGTAAAATGGTCTGTTTCACGGACGTAGATACATAGACAGGTGTGAGGAGACAGTTTCTCACCAAAGCAGATCCCCTCACTGATAGTCCCCAGGTACAAGGGTTTTTGAGCGTCTGCGTTCCCTTTGCATACATAATATTATATACTCGAAATATCGTTATTGAATTAATTTTTAATAATTAATATTATTTCTAAGCGGGGATGCTTTCGCGGATAAATAAGATAATATTACTACTATTATAGCTTAATAGAAGAAGAAATAAGAGAAAATTCGAGTTATTTAGATAAAGATTAAAGCTATAATTATAATTAAAAGTGAAGAGGCTATTAAACGTCGTGAAAAGAAGGAGATTATACGTTATAAAGAGTAGAAGAAGTATATAACTCGTCTAAAGGCCGAGATAAAGACTTTATAATATAAGAAGAAGCTTAAAGAATAACGTGTTATTATTATCCGCTATAAGTAAGAGATTTATATTATTATCGTTTATCGCGAGAAGAAAGAATAGATAATTATATAAAGAGGTGCTAGAATAATAATTAAAGAGCTTCTAAATAAGATAAAGCTTAGAGAGTCTTATTCGCCTTAAATTCTTATAATAATAAAGAGAAATAAGAATATAAAAAATAAATTCTATAAGTACTCTATAAGGGCTATATTAAGAGTATAAAATAGATTATATATATCTATTAAGTAGTCTAATAAGATTAAAGATCTATATATTAAAGAAAACTTCGATATTTATATCTTAAATATCGATCTTAATATAGCTATAGAGTAATACGATATTAATAATCTTAGTAAGATTCGAGAATAAGCGAAATCTACTTATTTTAAGAGAACTTATTAAAACTTTATTTTAAATATTATATCTATTAAATAATAAGAGTAGCGAGTTAAGTTTATTACTATAGTCGAGTAATAAAAGCGTTCTAAGTATATTCTCGATATAGAGCTTATTTATATTAATTACATCGATTTTAGAAGAAATATTTAGATCGTAAATAGATCTATATAATCTTCTTCTATCGTTAAATAAGAACTAGTAATCTTAAAGATTAATATACTATTAGAATATATAAATTATATTAAGATCTTAGCCTACTTAGCGAAAGTCTTTTATTTTCTTTTAATAAGATATCGATAATAAAAGAAGAATATAATATTCTCGTTAATAAGCTAAAGTTAAAGTAGAAGTATAAAGTATATAAGAATTCTTAAAAATTTGTAATCCGCTGACTCCTTCGTAATACTATTTCTTTCGAAGCTTTTATCGAAATTTCTACTCTTATTAACCTCTATTCTTATCGAGAATCTTCTAAATAAGATTCTAAAGCTTCTTTTATATGAAGATTCAACTTTTTTCAAGAAGAAAGAAGTATTAGAAAAGTTGAAGTAGAAGTTAAAGTAGCGTTCCTGAACGAGATTCTAAGAAGTTTCGACTTTCCAACGTCGTTCTCGTAACGAGATTCTAATAACTTTCTTCGAAGATCGCGACGGTATTATTAATAAAAGAGTTCTGATACTTCCTTTGGAAGTCGCGGACGAGTCGTTCCCGAATAAGATCCTAATACTTTCTCTAGGAGTCGCGGCGGCATTATTTTTAAATGAGATCCTAAAGAAGTAGCCGGCGATACTACTTCGATATACTTATTCTTATAATCCTAAATTAATTCTCAAGCATTATCGAGATTCTTAATATTTATTTACTTATCGTATTATAGTCTATAATTCTTTTTATTTAATAAGATACTTGATAATAAAACTATAGTCTTTAGTAATAACGCGCTTATTTAGAAGTTAATTAAGTTTATAAGATTTATTAATAAAGATATCTTCTTCGACGAAAGATCAATAAAGACTTATTCGAGTAAGGTTACGATTAAGAATAAAAATCGATATAAGAGTTTAAATAAGATTTTAATTACGCTATAATAAAGATTAAATATACTCTTTAAATATTAAAAATATCGAGTTAATAAGCTAGACAATTTACTCGCTCGATAATCTTAAAAAGAATTTATAAATTATAAATTATATTTTCTTTTAATAAGCTAAGTAGTAGAAATATTATATTTATAATAAAGGTGTAATAACGCGTAATCTTCTTAATAAAAGAATTAAGACTAATATCTTCGATTATAATAAAATTTAGAATATATCTAAGACGAAGGCGATAGTATTAAAAGCTTTTAAGTAAGCGATATTATTTAATATTAACTACTTCTTATAAATATCAAGATCTAAAGATTAATTAAGTAAGAAACTATAGACGATCTTATTAGAAGACTTATTAAGAGAAGTAGAAATAGCATTATTATAAGCTACTTAAATAGTGGAAATAGTTCTTAACTACTTAATAATATCGTTAAGGGTTAATATTTAAAAGTATAACGCTATCTTAATCGTTTAATTAATATACTCGCTACTTTTATTAATTTATAAATAATATATTATTAAATATAATAGCTTAATATTAAGCTTAACGAAGAGAGCCTTTTAGAAGTTATTAAGAAACTTTTCAATCTCAATTAAATATAATTTATTTAAGTAGATCTTAATCGATCTTTTATAGACATCGAAGAAATTATAAAGTCTAATCTTCGACGTTAAATATAAACTTACTAGAGATTAAAGTAATCTTTTAAAAGAACTTATTAGTTACTAATATAATAATATTATAATTCTTCTTAAATTTTAATAATAGTAAGAATAAAATTAATTATTAGTATATAAAATAGTATTAACGACGTTAGAATAGGCTATAAGAATTTATTAGATAGATATCGAGGTATTTAATAGAGCTAATACTATAGATAATATTAAATATAATCTTATAATTATCTTATAAGACTACAAATATATTATTAATAAGATATACTTTTCTAGTATTTAGCGAAATCGATATAACTTTTAAAATACGCGATTTTTAGAAATATAATAACATATAATTTAGAGATATAAAGTCTTTTTAATATAAAAGTATAATTATCTATAGAAGCGTTAATCTTTTAAATAAGTTTAATATTATTATATATAAAGAGAAAGTAATATAATATTCTTATTGGTTTTTTTATTAGTATCTAGAGTAATAAGAATCTTCTATTATATCGAGTCTTTCTAATAATTATTAAGAAGTTATTAATATAGCTTTAAACTTAACTCGATAAGTAAGATAGTTATATAAGCGTATTTATAAAGTATATTAAGTTCGCTTTTAGTATTATATTAATAGATAGCTATTTTAATAGTAATAGCGAAATTAGAAAGTCTTAATAAAGCGTTAAAAATAATATACTTCTTTTCTAGCTTATAATAAAATTTAAGATTCTTAAATTATTAAATATATTTTAAGATATATATAAGGCGTAAGTTTAACTTAATAGTCGATAATATTATTAAAGATATTTATTTAATAATCTCTTAGAGCGAAATTATAATTTATATATACGATCGTTTTAGAGAGCTAATTCTATTATATATCTAGTTTTTTAAAATATCTAAATAATTTTAGTTATCTTAAGTTTCATCAATTAATATCTAATTTTAGTATTTTTAAGAAGTCGACTAAGAAATAGAATTAATTATATTTAAAAGCGCTTAAGAATAATATTTAACTAGTTTATTTTTAATATAATATATTATAACGTTAATATTAAATTAATTAATATTAAGATTTATATATAGTATCTATTTCTTATTAAAATAAATTAGAAATAATAATAATAATAAAGTTTTTTAAAGCTTTTAAAAAGTCGTTAGCTTAATAATAATAAACTTTTTAAGTATTAATCGAAAGACGAAGTTCTTTCTTTTTTATTTAAATCTCGACAAGATAGTAAATATAATAGTCTTTTGATTTTATAGAGATTTAGTAATAATAGTATAGTCTTTAATATAATTATATAATTAATTAGTTATATCTAAATAGATTTCTAGCTTAAAGAGCGTCTTTAAAAATAAGATCTTCGCGATTATCTATAGCTTATTCTTCGACGATTTAAAGATCTAAAAAGTCGATCTTTTACTTAAGTAGCTAGACTAAAAGATATTTAAGAAAAGTCTTAAAAGAATTTATAAAAATATCTAATTTTATAAAGAGATTAAAGACTTATTATAGATATATAATATACTTTAATAGAGATCTAAAGTAAATAATTATATTATCAATATATACTCTAATAAATATAAAGCGATATAGAAGCTAATTAATTTATCTTTAAATATAAATAAAGAGAGTTTTTATAGTCTTATAACTATTATATTAAATATTTTCTAATCTTAATAGCTAATAATAGTAAGCTTATAACGATTTTATATATAAACTTGCTATTAATAGAAGAAGCTTATGTAATCGACGATACTAATATATTAATAATTTCTTATAAAATTTATTAAATCTAATTAAAGAGATAGAGAATATATATTAATTTAAGTAACGATATTTAGACCGCGAATATCTATAATAGTATATTCTTTTTAAGATTCATTCGAATATAGTTCTTTAAATTATAAAGATTAAAAAATTAAATAAAGTAACTTAATTAGTTTAACTTAATCTTTCTTAATTATAAAGCTTATCGAAAGTCTTATTAATAACTTTTTTAGCTTTTAAGCTAAGAGAATAAACTCTAATAGTTTTCGATACTTACTATTCTTAATTAGATTTTAAAGAAATATATATTTATTTATACTTCGATAGATTAGCGAAGTTATCTTCTTTTTAAAGTAAGAGAAATTTCTTTATAATTACTTTAATTTCTAAGTAGTTATTATAAATAGTAACTTTGTTTAATATAATAAAGTCGATAAAGACTTTAGTAATAATAATTTTCGAGATTATAAAAGCTAAAATTATAAAAATTAAATTTATAATAATTAACGAGTTAGTAGTTATCGATAGAGTCATATTATTATTAAAAATATCTAAAATAATATTATAGAATATAGTAGCTAATAGAGCGATAGCGAAAGTAATAATAATCTTATTAAAAATCTTTTTAATTTAGCTTTTCTAATATTTCTTCTAAGAGTTAACAACTAGCGAGATTAATAATATTATTTTTTCTCGAAAGTAATATAATAGTAGTTATCGAATTTAGCTTTTTAAATAATTTTTAAATAAAGATTTTAAGATATCTTAACTTAGTAATTTAAATTATTCTTCGCTAGAATAATAGTAAGAAATAAGTTAATAAAGTAAATAAAGAGAGTAAGATTTACTTAATTAGACTTCAAAAAGAAATTATAATCTAAAAGACTAGCGTAATATATAGAAATTTAAGCTTAAGAAATATAAAGAAATAATAATAGATTTCTTCATATAAATTAAATAAATAATCGCTTAATCTTTAATACGTATTTCGATAGATATTATAATATTATAGCTATTAATTATTATCTTAAATTAAAAAGTAAGAATATTAATTTTTTCTAGTATTATAATATTCTAGCTAATTAAGATATTTATTTTAAGATTATTAATAAAATAAATCTCTCGAGAAGTAAGCTTCGCTATATTTTTTTTATTAGAGAAATATAGTAATATAATTATATATTTAAAAGTTTTATATTTATTAGATTTAATTTTATATATAATAATAAAATTAGTTATAATTCTAATAGTTAGACTAGAATCTATTTTAGCGAGAAATTTATAATTTATTAAGATAATAAAGTAATTAGTATCTAAGTAATTAGTCTTAACTTTCTCTTTTAAAAAGTAATTAAATAACTATTATAGTATAGTAATATTATTAAAAAGTCTAGCTAATATTAATCTTAGATATAGAGTTAAATAATAATTTAATAATCTTCTTAGCGACTTAGATAGTATATATTTCGAAAACTATTATTTTTATAATAGCGGGTACTTCGATAGCTACTAAAAAAGCGAAAGGATCTTTACTTAAAAATCTCGAGTATAAAAAGAATTTTACTCGATAATCTTTTTTGATATTATTAAGATAACTATATAGTTTATTTTTAAAAGAGAAATTTATTAAGTAATATCGATATTAATAGATAGATAAATTAATAATAATAGCGTCTACGAAGTAATCTTTAATTTTATCTTTCTAATAAGATTAATAGTAATTAAGATCTTCATTAGTATAATAGTTTTTAATTTTTTATTATTATAAATCTTTCTTTTATAAAGCGTTAGATTCGACGTCGTTAGTAGCTATTAAAGACTCTTCTTCGATAGCTTAATAGATAGTTTTCTATTAATATAAGAGTTATTATTAATTATAATTAAAGAAACTCTAGTATTTAATCTATCTAATTATCTTTTAAAGTTAGCGTTATTATTATTATAGCGAGAATTCTATTAGCTTAAAAATTAACTTATAGAATTTAATAAGTTTTTTAAGATAATTTAAAGAGACTATTGAGGTACAAATAAGATAGAACTTAATTAAGACTCTTATTAAGTTTATTAATATAATTAATAAGATAATTAATTAGCGAAGCTATTTTTATAATTATTATATCTTAATATAAACTCTTAATAAAATTACTATTAAGCGTATTAGGGAAATAATAGCTTAAGAAAATTTATTTTAATAATTATTATTATTATATTAACTAGACTACTTTAATAACGTTATTCTTTTATTAATATACTACTATTATAAAGTATAATTCTATTATATTATCTTAAATTAGATATTAAATTTAATATTAATTTAATTTAGAAATTAATCTAAGATAGTTATCGATATAGACTTTAGAATATTATATTAAAAATTTATAGCTAGATTATTTATACGCTATTATAAATTAATTATAAATAAAAATAAATTTAGCGATCTTTTCGTATCTAAGTATACTCTAAATGTAGATATAAGGTAACTTTTTATTTCTAATATTATTTATAGAATAACGCTTTATTTATATATATTAAATAGTAATAATAGCTCTTTCTTTAAAACGTTTCGTTAGTAATTATAGTTATACTTTTAGAGGTACTATTTTTAATAATATCTTTTTAAAATTAATAAGTTTCGTTAAGTGCTAAATAAGTACTTCGCTATAAAAATATATTAGTAAAACTTTTTAAACTTTATTATCGTCTTTATTAGTAGTAATATTTTTTAGATAATTTATAAAAGTATAGATATCTTTATAGAAAGTATAACGTTCTATAATAATAATCGATTCTTCTCCTTTTATAATAGAATTAAAGAATTTGATATTGTTAGATCTTAGCTATACTAAATCGTTAATATTATTAACCGCGTTATTTTTAAGTAATTCTAGATTTCTAGATAGCTTTAAAGAACTTAGCTACGTAATAATACTTCTTAATAGACCTTATAATATCGTTTACTATATCTAGATAAATTCGAAGACTTACTAAATTTCGTTATTAACGTCTCTTAAGACTATATTAATAAAATCAATAAAATAAGAATATATTACTTCGTTAGCGAAAGTTTAATAAGTAGATTCTATTTTTATAACTTCGAAAATCGAGGATTTAGAAAGAGATAATTATTAATAATCTCTATAGAGATAATAGCTAATAAGATTTTAGACGTAATATCGATTAAGAGAGAATCTTAAAGCTTTCTTAATATCTAAATACTCTTTTTAAGATTATTAAGAGTAGTATATAGTAATAATTTATCTAGAGTCTAGATTAACGACTAAAAAGAAGTTTTAATTAAATTAAATCTTTTTTATAAATATTAATTTCGTACTAAGATTCTCTCTATTAATCGTTAATAGTCAAAAATTCTAATATATAATATAAGAAAGTAATTATTAAACGTCTTCGGTAAAAAGATTAATAAAAGTATATTTTATTCTTAAAGAATTTTTATAGCTAAAAGAAGAGAATAATAGTATTATAAGTAATTAGATTTAGAGCTAATAAGATAGTTATCTTAATAAGAGATATAGTAATAATAATAAAGAAAGATTAACTAATAATAGTGTTAAAGAGAATAAAGAAGAAATAAAGATTAAGAAGTATTCTCGAGGAAGGGAAAGTAGACTCTCACTTAAGCTTTCTAAAATAAAAGATATAGTAAGATCGTCGATTCGAAGAATAGTAAGCTTAAAAGTTTAAAAAGATTCTCGAAAGAAGCTACTAAATACTCGGCGAGATAAGAGATTAATAATATCAATAGCTCGATAAGATATCTAAATAAAACTTTAGAGTCTTATTTTTAAGTAAATAATAAGATTTTAATAAATGAAATTCTAGATCGTTGCCTTTAGAAATGCCAGAGACACCTACCGAAAATCTCTATCAGAAAAGGATATGAAACATATCATGATACCTACTGGACCCGAAGATGTCGTCAATGAGATCGAAAAATGGCATGAAAGACACTCGGACAGCAAGGTTGCTGCTGGTGTCCGCGGTGGCCTCGTTCGTTTGCAAAGGTTCAGCGCCTCAATCGATATGCTTGCTCAAGGAACACCAAGCCCAGGATGTTTATTGTGGGGTAGCATAAAGTTCGTCCTGACGGTAAATACTATGCTTATTCTGTCGTCGCCTCGTTTCCTCTTCCTTGTAAGCATCAAAATCTTCGAGCCAATGAACAGCGCTGCCAAGCGCCCTCCCAATCTTTGGCATTTGTCGACAAGATTCATAGATCCTAGAAGATTTGTCTCAATGACATGTTCGTTGCTTATGCCTAGCTGTCTTCTCGTGTAGATTGTACAAGACGCAGCGGAGGCATACGAACAACTCTGCAAGGCTCTCACCCGGATGATCGATTGCTTGCCTCGGATTGAGCTTTATACGGAGACTTTTCTCGACTCAAGCTTAGTGGCACATTGCGTAAATGCATTCTATGTTTCAATTATCGGGTTCTGGGCAAAAGCTTGCAAATTTTATAGGAGACGCCGACTGTGGAATTTCCTGCGTGTCATCTGGAACGACTTCAATACAGAATTCAGCGATCTCGAATTTGAAATGATCAGGAACCGAGATAGAGTAGAAAGTACGTGACCTGGATCATGGCTTTCAAGAGCGCAAATGCCTAACGGACAAGTCAGGTGCTGCGCTTGCAGAACATATAGGGGAGTCGAAAGTTGCAAGAGTGAATCAGAAACTGATGAGTCTGGAGATATTGCATGCCCAGAGCTTGACACGGCGGAAGGAGATCACCGCGTGGCTGGCGCCTGCTGCCTACGATGTCGAATACTACTCAAATGATCTCGCTAGCGCAAGAGCACTCCGTCATCCGAAGACTTGCATCTGGGTCCTGGACAAGACTGAAGTGATGCAGCTCTGTGATACAAGCCACAGGTCTGGTCAATCACTATTGTGGATATGTGCGAACCCCGGGGCAGGCAAGACGATACTGTCTTCGTTCCTGATAGATCATTTTGAGTCCGAGGAACCGGATCCTGCCAGAGACAATGTGTTCTACTTTTTCTGCAAGAATACTGACGTCGACAAGAATACGCCTGCTGCAATTATACGATCTCTTCTCTATCAGCTGTATAAGTCGGTCAAAGGTCAAGTGACAATGGAGTCTCTGAATGATGACTTGGGACTCGCCTTGGATAGATCTGGGCAGCAGAGAGCCGTGAATTTTGCTGTCCTCTGGCAGCTGTTCTCCACTCATGTCAAAAATTTGACCCCAGCAACAATCATTTTAGATGCGTTGGATGAGTGCCAGGATCCCAGCCGATTGATTCAAGGTCTGATAGGGCTTTCTACGCTGAGATCTATCAAGGTGATAGTGACGAGTCGCAAGGAATCGCATCTACACAACGAACTGAAAAATGTTTCCTCCATCGAGATAGCTCCGGAGGACATCAATGCTGATATCGCAGCTTATGTCGAAGCCAAAATCGAAGCGTCTTCCCGGCTTTCACATCCCTTGGTGCGGGATCTAGTCTTCACAAAGCTATGCAATGCCCATGACGGGATGTTCTTGTGGGTCTATCTTATGCTCAAGGAGCTCAAGTCTTGCTTTTCGATGGTTCAAGTCCAAGATGCGTTGGCAAAGTTACCAACAGGCCTAGATGGAATATATAAGAGCATTCTGCAAAGACTTCAAACCACACTTACCCGTTCCTCCTTCGATCTTTGTTCTAAGGTACTCATATGGGTTGTCACGGCTGTTGTAGGTAGCAATCTGGTCCTAAGTCGGCTGCATGAGGGGCTGACATCTCTTCAGCGCCCACTTGGTATTGACGAGATCAAGCAAGCTCTCACCCTCCACTACGAGATGGACGGTGATACTCTACTTACGGATGACCGATCGTTTCCTTACTCCGACAAGGACGTCGAATTGATATGTGGTTCATTGGTAACGATCCGCAAAGGAACTTTGCAAGTGATCCACCTAACAGTCAAGGAGTTTCTAAGATCACGACATAAAAAAGATCGTTCTGCTTTCTCTAGCCTTCTCGTTGACCCTGAACGTGGGAGTCTGCAGCTCACGCTAGTGTGTTTGCGATGCGTTGCCACCAATGCCGAGCCTCTAGTAGACTTGGGATCCAGCGCTCCACAAATAGATTGGGCCTTCGAAACTGACACACTTGACCGCTGTCAAGCTCGAGCACCTCTGCTTGAATATGCAAGTTTCTCCTGGTTGGTGCATTTGATAGACTGCAAGCTGGATGACTTACTCGAGGTCACTCCGACATTTGAGAAGACATTTAATTCCCCAGCAACTTTTTCTTGGGTCGAAACGTGTATGGCTTCGCAACCGGACACCACATTACGCCTATCGGTAGGTGTCGATGAGGTTCGTGACAGATTCTACGGTTCTAGGGAAGACCCTTGGCCTCGACAAGAAGCCAGCTCCCGATTCCTCGCCAGCTGGTGCATTGCAATGTCGCGGGTGTTCGAAGAGTATGGTGGAATTCTTGCTCGACGACCCTGGGAAATCTATGTCATAGATTTGTGCGATATCTTTAGTGTTGACCCAAGTCTACGAAAGCTGTGGCAGGAGCACGGCGAGACTCCTTTAAGGAAAAAGGACCTGCACTTGAACAAATATCGAGCTCCTCATCCACCGCAGGTAAAGCCCCAGCCGCACCACCAATTGCAACGCCTCCATATCGGGTCTTCGAACCAGGAGCCGGTCTTTCTGGTCCACGATGAGGGTCGAAATGTCTACATCTGGGGAGAAACCATGATTAGAGCTGATAATCAGGCTATTTGTGTCCAACATGACGAGACAGGACACCGTCTACCCCCAGCCGAAGAGTTCGGTGGAGGGCCGGACCAGATATGGCGGCTTATTGACCTTGAATTGAGCCCAAGCGGTGGGTACCTCGCCTTAGTCTATATTACAGAGTTTCCCAGTTCGAACGCAGCAACCGGGATCCCTCGCGAATTGACAGTTGTCTGGAAACTTGATGAAAACATGAGCTTCAAAAGACGGATGAATTGCGAGCCTTGGGCGAGGGTTGTTTTCAGAATTGAGTCCAGTCCCGCGCTTTTCATGGATGGCTCGAGAGCTGTCATGTTCAAGGATGACCGCCATTGCGTTACTCCAAGCGGGATGTTGGATCTTCTTACAGGTAGCAGACGACCGCTTCCTGATGGTATCCGTGATTACGTTGGTTCGTACCCAGATATGTTCTACAGCTGTGATGGCCAATATCTGTTTAGTTCTGTGCCTGACGCCCATGAGTCGTCCGGGGAATACTCCATCCAAGCTAGGCGAGTTGACCCCTTTAAACCAAGCCCGTCTGTCAATTTTTCGTGGGAAGATAAAAGGAGATATTTAGTCGACGTAAGTCCTACTGGTCGATACCTGGTGCTGGGAGTGCCATTCGGTCATCTTGCATTCAATTTTGGAGAAGAAATATTATACCTTTACGACACAGATTCCAAAAAGCTCATTGAACTTCGGTTCCCTGAGCCACTGAACTACTGGGAGGGCAAATTCCTTTTTACACGACATGAAACAAGGCTTATTAGCTTTCTCCTGTGTCACCCTAGTAAATTGCATGTGATGATTTGGGATTGTCTTGCAACCGCACCTAGGCTTACGAGTCATGCCACGAGCCCGGCCAACTCGCACCCAGATTTGGTACCACGGCCATACCAGATCCATGTGCACAAGGCCGCAACTTCGGCAGTGATGGTCACCAATGCGAGATCAATACAGCGGATAGAGCTTGGTGATGAGATAAAGTTCCTCGATGCTAACAAGATGATTGACGACTATTCCTATAGACTATCGACTGTCTCGAGAGATGGTTCACACTGGGCTTTGGTGTGCTACGGGCGGAAGGGTGGGAAGGTACAGATCATAGATCTGACGTCGCCCGACGCACCCGCTCGCCATTTTGACCTTGAATGGTCGCAAAGCGATATTCCAAGGGTTCTTACCCAGGGCACTAATTTTCCTATAGGTTTCAGTCCGGACCTCCGTGTACTTATAATCAACGCAGAAGTTTTCGACATCACCACCACCGAGGGCGACGACCTTTCGAAAAGGTTGACCCTAACCCCTTTCACAATGGAGGCTCTCCCAACCTTGCTCGAACCTCACCGGCACAAAATCCCGTCCTGGGGTCTGGATTGCCAGATCAGTGCGTGCAATTCTTATGTCATCTACATGGGCAGAGGCGACCAGTGGGGGGACACATCTAGATACTCTTCAGCTATCTTTTTATACCGTATAGATCTCCAGAAGAGGAAGTCAGCCCGACTTGAGCTGATACTACCCGAGGGATTAATTTCTCTGAATGCCTCTCTCCACCCGTCGCTGCCTTTGATGACGATAAGCTATGCATCACCAACATCGACCGAGCTCGAGGATATTCGAGAAAGGGCTCCTCCATTGCGTCTCGCCATATTCGACCTCATGAGATTGGAAAAGAGGGTCCTCGAGAATCCTAAGGGTCAAGCCACGAAGGCTATGGCAGAGTAAGATGGTCTCCTAGAACTCGTCTCTGACGAATGAATGCTTAAGATAACATTCAATTTAGGTCCTGGCGGAGAGGCGGCTTTCTACCTCGGCTTCTGTTCTCTGACTCTGGCGAATTTGCCTATCTCGAGGGAAGAGGCAAGCGTGAAGAATGGTGGTTTCAGTCAGTTTATCAGATGGACATCAACCCCGTACCTTCTCGATTCATCTGCGGTTCCATTTCATTGGATAATTCCCTCGTAATCTTTCACGACGGCAATAATGTCTCTGTCGCACTCGAGCTCATAAAATTCGATGACAACGGTTTCTGGATAGGCACAAGACCCGCGGTGGTGCTACGTGATATCGCCGCATACTCGTCGCATTCCGCTGTTGCTGACCGGTACCTTCTTCTTGGCGCCAACGATGACGAAAAAATGCGTCTGCTAATTGCCCCGACGGATGGACGGACTCCGGTCATCAAGACCCTCTCACTCACATTTGCTGAGGCAAGAGCGAGACTGGAAAAGGAGTGGCAGAGGCTGCACGCCAACTCCCAAGACCAAGATCTCAGCGAGACTGTCTGATTGGGCAATGGCCACTGGCACATTTGGGATCTTTTGCATGCGGGAGGAACGATTTATCCGAATTGTGTATCCAAAGTGATTTTCCAGGCATATGACTCATGATTCTTGGGAAAGTGGACAGAGAATTTTGTGAGAACTTGCTGGAATGGCCGCCGAAGGATTATTTCGGATTGGGAGTGGAACTCTTGCTGCTTGGCGGCGGACTGTGGGGCCTGGGATGGAAGAACAGTCTTGATAGGATACAGAGGCGATTTCACAAGAGCGTTGGGAGACTTAGGGGGGGCGCATGAGGTTTACTATCAGATGCGAAGGTCCGGGCCTTGACGAATCAAAAGACTCTGTGCCGTCAGTGGCGAGGTATTGGGTTATTCATGAAAGGTTTCCTGTTTCTATCTCCATTCTACAAGCTAGGCAGTACTCTGCTCCTGCCTCCGATAGTCTTCCACGCTTTCCATGACGACAACGTGGCTGCGAATGTTCGATCATTATCATGTGTCCGACCCTGCTCGCGCTCTACTAGTCATATAGAAGAGCATGTGCGAGCTAGCACAGGTTTACCAATTGTTCTCCGAGCTCACACAGCCTCCCAAAAGGCTCGAATAGCATCGAAGTCGATGGCTTCCACCGCTCTGAAGCTTATCGTGTTGCTCCATTACCATTCCCGCCTGCTCAGCTGCGGGATATGGAAACAAGTCCGCCAGCGCTCTGAGAACGGTGGATTTGTCGTCCTCGGCGTTTAGAGACTCTTCGAACGGCCGCAACTCGTCCTCACCTTCGCCTAAAGCCCGATGAGCGCGAGCGGTGCATAAGGTTACGTACACCCGCGCTTGGTTTGGGACTAACCCCGCCTCGAGTATCGTTTTTCCCCAGCGTTTTTGCACACTCATAATCGCCAGATGCGAGGATTGCTCTCGCAGTGTGACTGCTTGTTACGTGGAGTGCCGTGATGAGCGAACGGAGTAAACCTCTTGGAGCATCTTCGTCCAGTTTCAGGCAACGATGATGCCTTAAGAGTTCCGTCACATGGTCATATCGGGCAATTGCTTTACTCAATTCTCCGGCGACATATGCTTTATCTCCTTCGACAAGATAGGCTTGTGATACATTTTGAATTTGCTCCGCAGTCTTAGACCCTGATCCAGCACGATGCAGGATTTCGTCAACGCAAGCTGGGTCGACAGAACCTTGAATGGTCAGGTTCTGTAAGCCGCAGTGAAGACCGCAATTCCAAACTTCCGACTGGCTTCGTCTCACTTTGTTGGCGGTCAAGTACTCTGAACGTGTATTGCTCAAATAATGCCAGTAAGTTTGTGATGGCTGTTTGCATTTCGTGGAACTGCTTTCTACAACTCTTTATCTTTCAAGGAGGTAGATACAAGCTCTACAGAGTCGCTAACCCGCCAAATCTCTCTCATGGGTTTTGTTGTAGGCCCACATCTCACGCTGGCGCTTACACCTCGCGGCAATTGCTGACCAGCCTTGAGAAATAGGGAACTCAATTACCTCGTGGCCTGGCAGGCCGTCTCCGGCGTCGATACGCCGCAAGCTGTCCACTTCGGCCTTCTTTGCAGTATGCCAGCAGATTGTCCAGTTCTTTGAGGATAGCGCTCTTGATTTCGATCCGGACGGACCTGGTGGTATAAACCGCTGCACGATATTTGGGAGACCGACCTCGAAATTGGCAATGTTATCGCAGACAAATCCGAATCGTGGAGCCAACCATGAATTCCCACGTGTCGTCGAGTCAGCTTTGAGACTAATGAAGACCGATGCCAATACCTCCAAGGATAAGTCCACCAATTCCAACATCGAAGACACGTCCGCCCACGATGGCAAGTCCCATAGCATAGAGCTTGGAATAAATTGCTGACTACCGCGTCCCACCGCCTGCAGATGTAATCTTGCGACCTGCCGAAACAGATACAGACGTAAAGGAGCTCAGATCGATGGTCACTTCCCCTGCGATGTTAGCAGATCCGGCCCAGAACATGGGACCACCACCACGTATAGCGAATTGACAGTGAAGCTTGGCGAGTTCTGAAACAGCAACGGAGACATCGTTCGTGGAGTTGGGGGTCGATCTGCACGCAGGAATCACGCTTTGCTCTTGGACCGACCAGTATCCAAGCGTAGTGTCATTCTGCTCGCTGATGAAGACAGTAGATCCAAGAAAGGAGATTTTACTGCCGAGATTGGCTTGCAATGCAGAGCATTAATGCGATTTATTAGTGACATCTCGATGGAATTGGAGTGCGCTCAACGCAGTGAGCGCCTTTGCTAGTTAATCTAGCCACCACACTGGAATGTCCAACGAAAGGAGCCTCGTAGAGCACATCACCAAGCACTAGAGCTACCAGCAAGCATGTAGGCGATAACCAACTTCATGGTGCGACTTTATTTGGTGTCTCAATCTAAACGACAATTTGATGGCTTTGAAAGAGGGGGAGCAAAGGCTTCATACAAGACATCTGAAAGCTTGGACTTAACTAAAGGGTTTTCTATTGGGGGGCACTGCCACATCCATTCTGTGGATCCGGAGGAATCTCGAGATCCCTTGATGAGAATGATAGACTATTTATTGGTGTGCCATTGAAGCCGTGAGATTGTAGGAAGGGATCTGCAAGAAAAAAGGGCGGCGTCGGTGGTCAGGCAGCCGCACCAATCGTGCCCATCTCAACAAGCAACACACACGAGATACTTCCCCGCCTCGTAATGTCTGCCCAATGTAGTCTGATGTAGTTTAGTAGTGAACCTCTCGAATCGTAGAAGCACATTAACGCTGGGGAAGTCGTTCCTTCATTGTTCACTAGATTGTGCAGCACCAAGTACTTTCCGTATCTTCGCGTCTCTCCCCTTCGTATCAACGACCCCATAAGCTTCCTTTGTCTGATAGTAGATGTTCTTCTCCCATCCTTCGCCCGTGTTCACCTTCCCGATGTCATCCCAACAAGCCTGTACCGTACCACCAATATTCTTAAAGAAAGCCTCAATCCCACCCTCACCCCCTCCGGCCTGATAGCTCTTGAAAGGGCCGGAGACAGCCCATCGTGGACCAAGGCTATTCTCCATGACGCTATCGATATCTTCGACCGAAGCCACACCCTCATTGACCAGATGTATGGCTTCCCTCAAAAGGGCGAAGGCAAGTCTGTTACCCACGAACCCTGTGATTTCTTTCTGGAGCAAGACGGGGACTTTGCCCATGCTCTTCCAGAACTCCATCGTCCGCAATATCACTTTCGGGCTTGTATATGGAGAAGGGACCACTTCGATTAAAGGCATGACATGAGGTGGGTTCCATGGGTGCGCAACGATTAGGCGGGAGCGGTCTCTCATGTCGGTGGACTGGGTTGAGGCAGAAATGCCACTCGTGGAGCTCCAGAGTAAGGCGTCGGGTGGGCAGTGCTGCTCGACCTTAGGCCAAAGGGCGGTCTTGAAGGCGGCATTCTCCGGCCCTTGCTCTTGGATGATACTCGCTTTCGACACTGCGCTTTCCAGATTATTATCAACGATTAATGTATTGCTTCTGGCGTGTCCTAGGACATCGTCTAGGGTCACATCATAGCCACCTGTCACGTAGACTTTCTTCGTAATCTCTGCATTGGTGTATGCAGGCAGTGTGTTGAGTATGTACTCTTCAATGTCAGGCCGGGAGTCGTGGATGGTCAGCTCGAGGCTCGGCGCTCCTTGGGAAACAGCTTGTTGGAAATGTAGAGCTACGAAAGAAAGGCCAATGGTGCCAGCACCAATCAATGTGATTTTTAATGGCTCATTCTGAGACATGGTGGCATGCAGGTGATGGTCCGCCTGGTGGATCCTTCTGCGGCTGCGCTTACAACATAAATTTGTCTCAAAAATGCAAGGGTAAACGATAGAAAAAATAGCAACCATTGGGTATAAGACCCCATGGCAAAACGAAGAGTCAGACTACAGACGAGTTTTGAGAAAGATGCTTGGAAGCACTAGACACGTCCATCAATTTGGAGGCATTTCGTCACCTCTCTACATCAGATCGTTCATCGTCTTTGCCGCAGACATTGGCGGATGACCCCCACAAGATGCCGTGGTGCAGGTCTCAGGAGTTGGATCCAATGACTACGAGAGCGGCAAAGAGTAATCTTCCGCACAATTCGCGCCCTGCATGAAGGCTTCCTAGGGTCCAGCTACAATTCTAGCATGTCGACTCGCATCCCTCGCATCATCTGTCCAGTACCGGGTCCTCATCGATTTTGATACACGTTCCGGGTAATGCCATCCAGAGGATCGGGAGGGTAGAGATAGTAACGCGCCAAGTGGATCTCATTCAATGAATTCATGTACCACCGCAGCTCTTTCCCTCCCTCTCATCTCCCGCGTCAGTTGTGTTACCTTTTGTTAAGAGCGGTACTTTCGCCCCTGTAAGGAAGCTGTCTTCTACGAACAGTAGCATTAATCAATGCTCGCAGCACGCTTCAATATTTCCAATTCGATCCTGTGGTTCCTCGCTTTCATCTCTTCCGCAACAGCAGATCCCGTCTGCGACCTAATATATGGCCAGCCAATCTATAATGATTGTCGTGACCTCGTGCTCGCGTTACATGACGGTTGGCCAGGACAAACTACTGATCGAAGAGAACATTACTTCTCCATACGTGGAGAAGAGCCCCCCCCTTGGATCAATCCTGTAGCTCGAAAATTTCGAAAATACGTGCCGAGATTTGTGCTTCAAGGTCAGCCAGCTCTCAATCATGATTGCAGGCCTTCTTCCGATTGTTGTGAATCATGGTACAGGCAATTGCAAAGTCGCGATGACATCGATACGCCTTCTCAACGAAACAACCACGAGTGATTCCGCATACTGGCCCGACATCTGGCTGAACGCCAACTCGGTACTCACCCGTTGTGTGGATTTCGGTATCGGAGGGTACCACCATGTAGGTACGAAGAACCTCAGAAGACTATCTTACTATCTTTCATTTTTGAAGCTACTCAAAGCTAACTCTACTTGAGCACTATCAGGCTCCTTAAACAGACTGATACTTACACTCTATGCACCTGGCTCTATTTATGATACTCAAATTGAGCACATACTCGATCAAGGTGGGGTTGTTTGCTCTAAGGAAGCCGTGTCATGGGGCAAATTACCTCAAGATTCCGAAATCATCTCAGGATCGATCAGCTGCGGCTCTGCGATAGAGCTTGCGATGCAAGAACCGACATCAGAATGCTGCAACTCATCAACAAGTCAGATTCAATCGATCAAGCGTGGGAATGGGACCTTTTGTTTCTCCTGCGGCGCAAATTTAGAGGCTAATTCATAGGATCTTCCAACAGATTAAGATTTGGCCTTGCTATTTCGATGATCTGTAAAAGGAGCCTTTGTCATCTTGTGCTCTTCTACCAGTGTTTCTCGCTACCTTTCAAAACTTGCCAATGCCTCCTTGCCCAGCTCCCATCGTTCTCCCCCAAATGTGCCTAACCAATCAAAGCGAATGGGCTTGCACCGTTATAGTCACGGTCAGGCACAACATTATACTGCCGTGACGAGGCAGCTGAGTTCCTAGAGAAGTCAGTTCTGCGGCTAAGTACCACAATTCTCAGGAATGCTTACCAATAAATGCAGCGAGCATGGTGTTGGCAACGTGTGATACATTGGCAGTCAAAACGAATAGGTAATCATGGTATGTGTGCCAATCTTGTCTATTCTTAGTGCAACTTTGGAACCTGAGTACATGATACCAAGCCACTACCTTGCCGACCCTACTACTTTCCCAACCCTATACCTTGCCGATTTCCTAACAGTTGCCCCCAACAAGAAAAAGCACCCCTCGTTACTAGATAGTCCTTCAAGCAATGCATTTGACGCTATCGTGCAGCACTACTAACCCAGTGCCGTGATACCTTGCCACAGGGCAAGGCTTCAGTCCGTCAAGTTTAACCTACGCATATCCGCCTTAACTTCAAGGTAATTTTTCAACATCTTCTTGCCGAGTTCCTTGTCCTTTCCCTTGCCATGCTTGCTGGGGGTATCGTTGGCTCGAAGATGGTCGTCATCGGTACTCTCAACCACGATCACTGCGCCCCTGTCAGCATCTTCGCAGTCCAAAGTTATAGAATGGGTCTGATCTACATTCGTCCTTTTTCGTGGCCGTACCTGCCGCCGCTTTCCCAGCCTTCTTCTCTCTGTCCGCCGCAGGGCCTATTGGCAGAGTCATCACAACGTCCATATTATAGCATGTGGTACATGAATGAACGCCGCCGAATCCCAACATCTGACCCCTCGGCACTTCTCGCGTACGCTCAAACCAATATACTCCTTGACTTGCTTCGCCCGTAGGCGAGGTGAATAGATCAGGTTTCAGCGTGTGGAGCATAGGCCTGGTAGATCACGGCCGCGACGGTTATTCGCTGCATCTGGGAGCGTGCCTTTGCCATAGAGATGGCGCTCATCCCTCCCCTACGCCCATCATAGGTCCGCACATCGTCCACGTTATATCTTCAGTAGAGTACGAAGTGATTGGCGTTCATGTGCCGGATGAGTCCGATCCAGCGGTAGTCTACGGTCCTCCCACACTTGAACCAAGGTCGCGAGGCGGAAACGGTAATGTTATCGAGAATCTCTTTTCATGCCTGCGCGCTTATCTGCTCGAGTCCATAGCTTACGGTCAGGAACGGCGGCAGTCGATCCAGCATAAAGGTGAGCGGTGCCAATCGCTGCAAATAACGTTCGCACCCCAATTGTTTGAGACCATCTAGATTACCTGACGTCTTTGCCTTGAAGGGGAGGTTCACCCAGTCCTTCCAGGCTCTGGCTTCGGCGCGTTTCGCATTATTGTCGGTCTCGAAGCCGGTATGGTGGACTCGAAAGGCCGAATCGTCGTCGTAAGTTTTCACAGTGCAGCCGAGGCACTGGTAGCCACCCTTCTGCGTCCTACTCAGGTGTGTTGGGGACTGGCTCAGGAAGGGGAGTTGGTGGAGGGAGATCAAGGCCACGATAGTAGGCGCTAGGGGCACGAAGTAGTAGCCCTTGATACCGCTCTGAAATAGAAGGAACGGTATCACGACTCTCAGAACGAGAGTAGGGAGGTGGAGGCTCTGCTGGAGTCTCTTGTTGTAAGGTGACAGGCTCACGGACTGAGTTAAGGCGAGCCGTACTTGGAGCGATCGCTTCCGAATAGGCGGTTCTGGGATGCGGAGGTGTGCCAACAGGCATTCGCACGCTTCCTCTAGGTACAGGCCGGTCAGGTGAGCGAGAAAAGATCTCAGGTAGAAGAACCCTCAAAGATTCAAGATCGTATGTTTCATTCAAGGAACGAACATCATCAGAATCAACAGAAGAAGTGGACTCGGTCGATGTAGACTGAGAGGGAGAAGGACTGTTTGGATGTTCTTGTCCAGGCTGCTCAGATGCAGGAGTTGAAGCTGAAGTGGCAGGTACTGCGGTTGACTGAGCCGAAGGCACAGAAGGACGCAGGTGTGACATTCCAAGATCCCGTCTAGACCCCGGCGCATTGGCGATAGGGAAAGGAAGTTCGCGATAAGCAGAAGACCGAACAGGAGCAACGCGAGAATAATTCGGAGGAGGATGAGAAGGTTGAACAGGTAGCTGCTGATTTCCAGGTTGAACCCGAGTTGGTGGTTGAACCGGAGGTGCAGGTTGGGGATGGCGTGCAGGTTGAAACTGAGGCACAGGAACAAGCGTCGGAGGTCGACTTAAAGGCCACACGTGAATGGTGGGAGGATCGGCGGGTGCACCGGTGTGCTCCAGGATACGCTACGGCATCCTTCGAAAAGAAGATGGAGTATGTAATCGTGTGGGAGAAAACCGCCTTTTGCGCTCATCTGGAGTTGCATGTGGACGAGTACGGATCAACGTGACGAGGGCGTCTCTGGTCTCGTTCAGTTCGTCTTGCGTCAAATCTTGCCAAGGACGGGCGATGGTCGCCCGCATCCAGAACCCATGTCCTCACGGGCAACGGGAAGTCTCGGCGAGCGCCATGTCGAGTGCGGAGATGGCGTGCCGAGGTGGTCAGGCAGGTGAGCGCAGCGAGGCTGGCAGATCTCGTGCTTGAAAAGCATGAGCCAAAGCCCAAACAAATGTAAACACCACTGAGGCACCATGCCCCATGGAGGTGGTGTTGGACATGGCTATGCCGCAGAGAAACTCCATGACTCTTCCAATCCCTCGTGCAGGATCGTCATGTCTTCGGTCCTGCTCTAGCGCTATTGGAAGCCAGCAGTTATGCTCCAGAGCCTGTTCGGCCGAAGCATCACAGCTTGTTTACTGGGCTTCTGAATCGGCTTCAGCCGGAAGTGAGGAGCGTCCGAGCCGCCAGCGATATCAAACTTCATTGTTAGTAAGAGTATCCCCACATTTTTGGTGCCGCTCAATCGTGTCCCTCAGAGCGCTCACACAACATAACGTGTCGTCCTTGCAAAACCAGTGGTTCCCGAACAGCGAAGACTCTCTTTCGTGCTTTCCTGGAAGACGACGCGACCCCAGTTCGATTGTCTCGCCCCAAGCATTCCAAGCCGGCCGATTATATGTGCCTCTTCTTCCACTTTTCGGGCTTCGGCAGCTGTGGCATATTCCTCGGTCCACACCTGTAGCGCTTGTCCTCCGGTAGACATGGTTGGTAGTCGAGGGAAGTGATGTCGTCCTCGCTGAGCTCGTCAAAAATGTCTACCGTCCAAAGTGTGGTCTGATCCTCACCACAAGATGAAGCTCTCTTGATCTGAGCGTTGATATCTTCCTTTTGTCTCCTGTAAGCGTATTTTGTTCAAAGACTTGATGAGCTTTTCGGTGGTTCTCACTTCAATGCGGAGGTCGCAGACTTCAAAAACTACTGCGGCCATTGTTTTTTGGATTCAAGGAGACAGGCGAGAGGTAAGCGAACCATACGTGTTAAGATAGCTCTATTATATGAGAAGAAGCTAATGAACAGGAGACTGGTCGATACCAGTGGAGTGATGTTAAAAGAAAGAACTTTCAAAGGAGAAACATCAAAACGGGTATTTGTAACATCCCTTCTTCCAGTCGTCCTTGCCAATGTGCTGAGAAATATAGATACGGCTAATAAGCGCAGAGTTGGTCATCAATGAAGGCTTTCGGGTTGATAATGCCGTAAGTAGCGCGTTGCTGAAACCGCATTAGAATTCGTAGTCAGACTAGATAGAGGGAACTTACGTTGCTGATGGAATCTCTGGCAGCCTCCATGGCAGTTATTCGAGCCTTCCAATGTTGCCATTTGGTGATGTCCGTGGCTTTGAGAGATTCGCCGACGGCATCATCAATCTGAAGCACCTGGTCGATCCCGATTAGATGATCGACTTTATTCTGAGATGCGAATGCGTCAGCTGGAGACAGTGGGAACATGGAGAGCGTGCTTATCATGGTGATAAAAGGGCTGGATAAGGCCGGAGATAGTTTCGACAGGAAACTTGATGCTTTTGAATGCGGGAAAGAGATATGGATTTAGTAAACCGTGTGATGTGCTTCTCGATGGATGAGAATCATGGGATTCTTGAACGAGTTTGTGGTGATGGTAGGTATGATGACTGGAAAAGAAATCACAATGTGAGATATAGAGGATTTAGATACCCAAGGAGGATCACTGACCCACGCTAACATTTCGGCTTCCAATTGTTCTTTTGATCTCCAGATTCATTCGAGATTTTTCAAGGCAGCCCGCCTTTATTGTTGTTGTGTACACTCGTAGGCCGTTTTGGTACTGGTCAGTAACGGTAGTGACGATGAATCAAAAGTCCACGTGCTAATGGGTCATCGGCCAATCCCAGAAGATGATCATCCTGCGGCAGTTCACGTGGCATGTATCCTGTGCGATCCCAGTGACGAACCGCAACGTGGCATCTCATGCTTCTCGCGTAATTGGCGAAGCTTGGCCGGTCCGGCTTTCTAGGAGGTGTGCCGGCATGGCGTTGGTGACACTTAGATCGGCTTCAGTAGCCAACTGTTTGGCGTATTCACGGCATTCCTGCCGAATTTCCTCATCTGCTATGACGCTGCAGATTAAAAAGATAGGTCGCGTAGCACTCGGAGTGATACACTTGGCTCGAACCGTCGTGGCTCCAATGTCGCGCTTTGGGTGTGGAACGTCCAGAATGAGTCTTCGGCCGGGACTTTGAAGGGCGAGCCTCCCAAGTGATGAGACACTCTAGTCGCGCCACCTTCATGTGGAAGGACTTCCTGCACCGTGACGTTGAGGGAAGTATCAAGTGAGACGTCTGTGATCTGACTGACCCCAAGCACGTAATATAGGCTTTGATGAGGAAGTAGGCGGCGTGGGGGAAGAGGAGGACGGGCATTTCCGCTGAGGATAAAACGATTATGGTGTGGTTGAGGGATGGATGAGAGGGGAGATTGCCTTGGGAGCATTTGATGAATGGTGTCATGTGGTTTCGAAGGGTTCACAGCTTATAGATGATATTTGTATATATGGGAAGAGGGCAGCGCTGAGATTTAAGAGCTATGATGAGATGCGGAAAGCTGGATGCAGCTGCTCAGGTGTTGGATGATGCTAAGGAGGAAGAGATCATTCTGTCAGATGGCAAAAAATGAGGTGATGTATCTGTCTAGCCTCGTCCGAACATCTTCGAGCTCAGCAAAAACTTCTGAACCCTACCTATACCTCAGCAAATGCATCTTCTTCAAGAAATTCGGTCCTGAGCTTGGTCCTAGCTTTGGGGAACATTTCAAAAATGCCACTCACCATGATCAACGGGAAAAAATGATGAAATTCTTGCAAGACTTTCATCTATGTGTTCTCCGACTCTCCGTCGCGCCGCTCGATCCATCGCTCCCAACTCCCGTCAGCGCTCGGTAAAGCCGCACGTCCGTGATAAGGCATTCTGTTTTACCGAAGAAAAGATCTAGAATTTGATGTAGTCTCGCACGTGGAATGATGAGAAATGATGCGGAAAGAACGAAGAAATGAGTCAGAGTTGCGACATGAGCAATCAAGTTCGCTTGCCGACCGCTAAGGCAGCGTTGCCTATACCAGTTCCAACGTCTAGATAAGAGAGAGAAAGGGGGTATTGACGGGAACTCAGGAGGCGAGAAGGCTTGCTCTTGCTCCAAATCCGATGCTTGTAACGTCGTAAGTTTGGAAGACGCTTCGAACAATGTTCACAAAGATTCGTATTGAGGTGCTCAATGGCATCGTGTTTGTGAACATTGTAGCGATCTCAAGCTGAATGTATGAGTGGTTGAAAGTGAGAGGATCTTGTGATTAATACGCGAGTATCGTTAGGAGACGTATACTCTAAGCAGTGGGACGACAAAGTCTGGTGGGTAATGGAGGAGAAAGGACAGGACTCAGGCCAATCGCACAACTGGGGCTGCAAAAGGCTTCAGAAAACCAAATGGATGTAATGACAAGCTTGCTGGGCCACTACAATCGCACCGTGGTCGCCACACGAGCAAGTGTTCGGCTTTACCTGTGCTGTGGCCGATGAGAAACTCTTTTCTCTCCTTTTGCTCACCGTACCATTGAAAGAAAAGAGACTCCAATAACTTGGTCACCAGATTGTCTGCTTCACCATATGTGCAATGTTTCTGTACTTTCTTGCCAGTACATGATCTTCCTCTTCTGCAAATCTGCAGGTGTAGATACATGCGCCGCCGCGCGCAATGTATTTATCGGCGGTCCTCGAGACCTCCGAGTTGCAATCTGCGGTTGATGGCCGTGTTTGGCAGACCGGCCATCTGCTCTCCATGGCTATTTGAGATGCTCTTACTGGTAGCGGGGGTCCTTCGCAGGCTTGCGGAACCCATAGGGAACGGTCCAGAGCTTGTGGGCTTGACGGTGCTCCCGCTCGTCCGGAAGCTCGTTTTTGGCGCTGGTGTCATGGGCGTCGATCCAAATGTACCTGGGGGGACTTTGGCCGCAGCGTTTCACATAGAGTTGGGTGCATTGGCCCTCGAGGAGCGTTGCGCGGCTCACCACATCCTCGTCATCATTGCAGATGGTTTGCATCACGACCGCACAGCTCCCGGGGGCATCAATGGTCACGGCGCGCCTTGTAATCCTCATAACAAATCAAGGCGCCGTGACGGCTGTTGGCACGAGCGAGTAAGCTGTCGGTAAGGTAAAAAACAAGACGCAAATTTATTTAGAATAATGTCGTCCTAAGTCACGGCCAAGCTGGTCACCAGGATCTGCGAAGGGTCATTGGTGTTGTTGAAGCGATCTGGGCCGCTTCGTGCTCGCTGGACATGTACGTCGAGCGGACGCTGAGGACTTTCCATCGTGGTTCCCCAGAAAGGTCTCAACCTGGAATTGTGTCACCGACTAATCGCAGAAGATGAATATCTTTCGGCGACCCATGTCGAGGACCTCGCTGTGAAGGTGGTGGGAGTCGGGTGTTGGTACGCTTCAGAAAGTGCAGATATCTATGGAATGCTATTATGGAAGTCTGACTCTTCTCCAAACCAAAATGTGAGCTCAAAATGAGGCATCGTGAGCAGAAAGTAGATGACGAGAGCTAGAAACGCAGGATCAGATATTCGTCTCCTGCAAGGTTCAATTATTTTGCGCAAGTGAATTTCAGATACTGACAAGGAAGCCTTGAAGTATCCCCAAGTCAAAGAGGCCTTCTCAAGCTTACTCAATCATGAAGACGTTGAACATTTCTCAGACTAAGAGCAGTCAGAGCGCCAATGTTCTTGCAGATTACATCTATCAATTGCAGGGATAGAAAAAAAGAACAGCAAAATATCCATCAAACAAGACACAAATGACATTAGCCACTTCAAGTTCTCAGCAAAGAGAGTCATATCAAAGCACTGCCACAATGAACTCTTACAGCCACAAGATTGGTCAAAGATTTGTACCGTAGATCAGAGGAGGAAGTCCCATGGTAGCTTGAGTTCTAGACAACATGACGTCAGCTGACTCTTCGCTAACATATCTGGAAATGCAGGGACGGGCTACTTACGCAACGGGATCGATGCCAGTGAAGCTGCAAATCTATATGTATACTTGTGGACCAAAAGCAAGTCCAAACATATGTGAAGCAGACCTTTCTTGGCAAGGAGCGATGCAGAGAAGAGAAGGAGTGCTGAGATGAACCCATGCATGTGAATCACAGGATAGTAGGAAGCTCTCTCAATTAGCTTAAAACGACTCGGAGAAGTCAGGAATTCGGTGAATGATTGAATACTTGCCCCAGGGTCGACTACAAATTGGTTGGTCGCTAACCCATGTAAGCTGTGGTCAGTGCTTCAGGATTGACGATAAGATATCAACGAGCTTCTCATTGGCGTGGAAGTAGCATGCATTGAGGAGTAAATATAGACGTGAAGTAAAGAAATAGAAAAGTAGCCACCGTAGTCCTGCATGGGTATCTTCCTTCCCGACCATCCCATCCATCCCTTTCAAATCCATGTACATGCGAGAGAATCGAAAGAATCATCGATTCCCCAAGTCCAAATCCTCGTCTCGTGAGAGGCTCAGTCTTATGTTTGCTCCTTGAGCGCCGAACACCTTACTCCATATCAATGAATATCGCAGGCACGAAATAATGAAAGTAGAACTCGTCATTGAGAATGTTATCGAAGCAACCTGACCGTAGGGTGATGGAAGAGACAAGGTTAAGATAATAAGCCTCCGACATCCTGCAGTCCCTGTGAGCCACGCCGTCTTTGAGGAGGGAATGCGGAGGGCTTTGGCGACAAAATGGGCGATGAACTTGGCGGCGTAAATTGCAGTGCTTCTATTAGTCCAGAGTGTTGAGAACTCGGAGCTGGGCGTGCATTCGTAGTTTGTGGGGAGGGTGATAGTAAGCCGCCGATATCTTGCAGTCCAGGTGACTCGCCTCGTCGCTGAGCTGGAGGTACGGAGGGTCGAGGTGAGGAATTAGGTGGTGTAGACTGTAAGGCCTCTATCAAGTCAGAATTTTGAGAACCTGGCGGCGGGCGCAATGTGGTAGTCCGAGGCGATTGTGGCGCATGTTCAATCAGTCCGCCAATGTCCTGGAGCAGAGCATGGCTACCTCTCCTTGACCCAGCTGCATGCGGATGCAAGCCTGACGATGGTAAGGTAGAGGGCCGTTGCTGGTATACCGCCATTGATCGTCGATGACGGACTTGAGGTGGGTCGTTCTCACCAAGCAGACCGCCGACATCAAAGAATGACATACGGCGGGGTGTAGTCGGTATCTCAGTGGGGCTTGGCTGTGATTCAAGGATAGGTCCTGGAGACTTCATGTCAGTTTCATCTGTCTCAACAGATGCACGAGTTGGGAAAGTCCAACTCCTGTCAACGAGATCTGAGGTATTGATGTTTGATGTCGAGTGTAGTGACATAGCTACAGGTGCTGGTCTTGCAATAGTTGACGGTTTTTCGGTCAGCTCAGGATCTAATCTCATGCCTAGGTCGCCCACGAGATCGGCATCACTGCCCCAATTTCTTGCCGTGATAGCTCGACGAGGAGCAGTAGTTGAGCGATCCAAGCTACTGTGTCCACCGGTGCTGCCAAAACGAAAGCGCTGCTTTTTGGCGCCACGGTCACGGACAAATGAGCCTAGAACAAGTGCGTTGGAGACTGCAGCAGCGGCAAGGATTTCGAGGGAGGCCAGAAGCGAGCGGAATCGTTGATCATAATGACGATCTATCACACTGACGACACGATAAAGGGTGATGGCGACGAGTATGAGAGAGAGCGCGAAGAGGAGGACCAGCGAGATTTTTCTGCTATAGTCATCAGTACAGATCTAATCCATGTCAGATGTACATGAGCGCTTACCGCTTCGTATTCATGGCAGATTTGAGTACAATGGGTATTGGGAAGCCCACGATCAAAAGATCGGTAATGACATCGCTCGTACCCATGGTAATGAGTTGAGCAGTGCCTTGCCTGCATTTCGCTCCTGGATCTGGGACTACTTGCCAGTAGTGGCTGAAAGGTTGACATTCGGAGAGAGTCGCGATGACCACAGCGACGAAGGTAACGGCTAGGAACCAACGGATGCATTGTAGACAGAACTCATACGAATCTTTCCAAACATGACTTGTGAGGCGCTTGAGGAACTCGGAGATTGTGAATTTGGCGATCCACAAGCTTCGTAAAAATTAGCGCTGTCCTCCTTCAGTGTGCTGATATGGAAGGAAACTGACAACATCGCGTACATGATCCTGGAGACTAGGACAAGTCTACTCCCAATCTGGCGATAATGAATGTCCCGCGCTGTCAGGCCCTCAGTTGTGGTATTGTTCGTTCCCCACAGCAACACCAAGTGAACGAGGCCCATCCTAGCCAACAGTGGTATCAAGCTCAAAGCCATGATCTTATCCTCTCTGAACAGTCTTTCCGTGCGTATATATCGTCCAGCTATTCGTACCAGTATGATTGCCACTGCGAACCCTGTACACCACCATGAGACGAGAAGCGTCGGGTTGTCTTGCTTAGCATCCCGGGGTGGGGGTGAGCTCGAGTAGAGGTCGCGTGGTAGAAGCATCATCGGGAGCTGTTCACGCCCACCAACCTCCGAAGAGGGGTGAGCGTAGAGATTCGATATGAAAGCAGAGCTATGAGGCCATGGAAAGTCGCAGTGACAAGGGATGTGAGCGTCGCATGCACATGGGATTGACAGAAGCTTGGACCAGGTTCCTCCAGGTTATCTCCGATAAGTGCCGAGGTCCGCCACTTTCACAATTCGATTGTTCTGCGCACAAATGAATGATGTTGCGACGAGCACAAGTACATTGTCAATGGCGAAGACGAGATAATGGCGATGATGATTATGATGATGATGATGAAGAAGGTGAAAGGTTGCGTGTCGGTGAGGTGTAAGCAGAGAAAAGAAAAGGTGAAGGAGTTGGGCAGCAAATGGAACGGACAGGCGAGGCCTCTGCGGATGCGAGATATGCCGACTCGGGTCCAACAAGCAGATAAAGTACTCGCTGGCGGGCCACCGTGGGGCTGGGGGTGGCACTTTCATCTTTCTCGGCGACCAACGGCGACCTTTCAATTAGCGAGGGCGCTAAGTACGCCCGGGGAGTCCGTGATAAGGCAGGGCTAGCTTTGGGGGATTGGGGGGCTTTTAAGCCTCAATTGACTTTCCTGTGTGGGGGGGGGGAGCCGCGCGGGCTATGGGCTATGGCACGAATACTGATATCAATTTCACTTCCATGAAACCTCCAACAATCTATCCGCCTGGAAATAACCTACATAGTCATTGTGATTATACCGATTCCGTGGCCCATTTTCGCCACTTGTACAGTTTTCGCTCGATGAATGTAGGTAGTATCCACATCACAGGGAGTGCTCGTCTCTGTGGTAGTTGGTGGGCGAGAAGCTAGATCTCGTCCCTCGTTAGGCGAACAGTCTCGTGAGCTGGAGGTCTCGAGGAGCTCGTCCGAGCCGTATACCGACTCTTTTGTGGGTCCTAATAGCTCGGAAGGTGATCTTGTTGGTGCAGTCGTTTTGCCGTATACGCTCTCCAGCCAATCTTCAACCATCACTTCCCTCGTGATACTGGGTAAGCGCGCTAATTCAAGGATGGTAAATTTGTCTAGTCGAGCAGGCTCTGCACATAGTGATGGGTGACCTGCCTTTGTGTTGTCTCGTCTGGAGGTTGTGGTTTCCATTATGTATTTTTATAATAGGGTTCATGTGGTTATCAGATAGCCTGGTGTACTGGACACTGTGCTTACATGCTCTGACCGTCTTGTCTTGTAGTGTCTTTGAAGATACAGCTTCACCAGCTTTAGTCTTTGGTGATCGCTTAGTCGTCAACAAAGCCGGACTTTTCCTTCCATCAGCGGCAAATATCATGTATTGATTTTCTGTGCATGTCGTTGATCACACCGTCTAAATAGGCCATAGATTGGCGTTCTCTAGGCAGTACGATCAATCATCCAAAAGTCCCACAGTCCATTCTGGTATTTGGTCGACACCTTCACCCCGGATAGCACTAACAGGTATCGCAGCCAATCTGCCCTTCCATACATTTTTCCTTTTGCTTGGGTGGTCCACTGTACCACTCGCCAGAGCCGTGAGGTAAGCTTGCAGTTTCGCAAAGTTTGCTTGAGTGCCTTCAACATCTGCCTTGGTTGCCACGACAAACCAAGGCTTCGATGATATTGGTGCCATTGGCAGAGCTGTTAGCGATTTCGACCCAGAGGGTTCGATGATTATGTTTTCATCATTCCTTGCTACTGTACCATCATGAGCAGATGCAGAAGAGGTGGATCTGCTGAAAGCTTTCCACTCGACAACCCGCGATTCCGTTTGCATGTTGGTCTCCATACCTCTCAGTGTCTCAAATTCGCCAAGCTCCTTCCAGAGATCATTCAACGCCTCGACAACATCACCAGCGCTGAGGTCAACCACAAATGCGAGCACTTGAGCTCTTTCGATATGACGAAGGAAGCCAAGGCCGAGCCCCTTGTCCAAGTGAGCATTCGGTATCAGTCCCGGGATATCGGCGACAGATATCTGAGTCCTTGGTTCTCCACTAGCTCTGTTGACTTGTACTTGAGGCCTCCCACGACTATTGTCCAGGACCATGGTTCCAATGTTAGGCTGCAGGGTCGTGAAAGCCCAATCTCCAACCCTCGCCCTGCTTCGGCTGAGAGCTCGAAGCAGAGTACTTTTCCCGGCGTTTGGCATTCCCACGAAGCCCACGTCAGCGAGGAGCTTGAGCTCCAGCTCTAACGTCACTGACATGCCCTCCTCACCTCTCGTTGCAAATTTAGGGCGTCGATCTGAACTCGAAACAAAGTGCGGGTTCCCCAGACCTCCCATAGCCCCTGCAGCAAGCAGCATCGGTTTCTCCATTGGCTCAGATAGATCCAGCTCTATAGGCGGTTCAGGTTGAGCCATCATCAAACTTGACCTCCTTGGCCTTGGAAGGGGAGGGAACTCCGCAGTCGCGTACTCAGATGGCGTGGACGCTGGATAGAGGACCCATTTATCCCTCCTCCAGGTTCCCCTTGTCTCTTCCTCGACAAGTTCGCTCCCTTCTTCCAGCCTCCTATTCTCCTCCTCCTCGGCAATAGGATCATGCCTGCTCACCTCCCTCACGAAGGTCCCCACAGGTACCTGCACTAGCACATCTTCTCCTCTTGTGCCCCCTTTGCTTTTCCCTTGGCCATTCTTCCCTCGTCCTGCTCGTATTATGCTGCGTCGAGCAAGCTTGTGTAGACTTGTTTCTCCCCGTACCGCTTGGATATAAATGCTGCCTCCACTACCACCATCGCCGCCATTGGCAGGCCCAGCATCAATGAACTTTTCCCGGAGGAATGATATACAGCCGTGGCCACCAGAGCCGGCCGATAACGTCACGGTAGCCTTATCAGCGAATATTGTGCGGCCGTAGTCTGTGGGTGAGGGGTTGAGGTGTGATAATTGAGAGAGAGTGTCTGTTTGCGGCTGCTCTAGGGATGCTGATTCTGTAGACTGAAGCCGTCTGGGATACTGGCTTAGAAAAAGCAAGTTTGGAGGTCTGTGAAGCCGGAGAAGTGTAGATTCCAAACAAGGATAGAGGAATGGAAGAAGGGGGCCTTGGAGGCGAGCCATTTGTGAAGTGTTTTGAGTGATGACTCCTCTTTGGGTGTCACCTCAGCATAGCATGCATTGCACATGTGTGCCTCTAGAATGTTTTAATAATTGTCAGTCATATTTACCGCAAGATTTGGAAGTCAACTCATAAAGTAGACACTATCTCGAAGTCTCCGAGAGATCTACAAGAAATCCTGCGGCAGAGGAGCGAAGCTTTTTCAAGTCTCTCGATGATGATATGACCTCCCTGCATCAGCTTCCATGGCACCACAACATCCAGCAACATGCGCTGCTCGAGTAGTAAGTGCACATAATCGATATTAGAAGCCTTTAGTCAGATCTGAATGTCTACAGCGCGAGTCTTAAGCAAGCATGTCCAGAAGGGATCTATTTGAGTCTGAAGCCCGGAGCTTCAACGCAGTGGTCTGGCGTACTCTTCGTTCGCAAAGGTACAAGGCATATCAGATCCAGTGTTAATAGCCTTCCCATTGGAAAACCGGCTGACCCATTTCAGGCCCTTATGCGCCAGCAATCCTACGCTTCCTGGTCTCCTTCCCCCCCGACTATCCTACCCTACCCCCCGTGATCACCTTCATTAGCGACATCTTCCATCCTCTGGTCGCGCCATTGACTACCCACACATACACGACTGGATCTTCGAGCTCAGAGACTGTCAGCGCCACTGACGAAGAGCGACTTCCCCCGGGCGGCTTTAGCCTGCGGCATGGATTTCCACATTGGTTTGGGAGGTCGCAGAAGAGCGCTAAGTTTTCAGCAACGAGTTCGAAAAACGTGAGCGATGCGCACCCAGGCGCTGCAAACCAGCGTGAAGACGTGTATAAGCCACCTCCGCCGGAAGACTTGAGTTCTAGAGAGTCCTCTCCAAGATCTGCAACATTTCGCATGAGCCATGTTCGAACACGACCAAGACGTTCAATCCAGCCTAGCCAGCAGACAAAGATCACCGAGGTTTTGGAGTACATGAAAAGCGCTTTTGACGATGAGATCGCGTTGGACACACTGCCATTGGAGGCTGCCGGAAACTCGGGTGCTTGGAAAGCATGGCGGGCGTACCGTAGGAGCAATGAGGCAGACAGCAAACTTGTCGACTCGGCGCCGAGCTTGCACGAGCAAGATGAATGGAGCTGGGATGGGGTCTGGGAAGAAAGAGTTCGAAAGGGCGTAGACGCAAGCATTGCAGAGTCTACACTCTACGGGGGTACTAGCGGAGGAGATGATCTGGTAAGCTTCCTGCGTTCGCTACCGATTTCTCACACTATCTGATTTCGTGTTTCAGATCCGATTCGTCGATGTAGGCAATGATTTGACTGAAGCAGTCAGAGCAGGAGTGGTTAGTCATGTGGGCGGCTCGTAGTGGCCTGTGGGATTCGCCCTGGAATCCATGTATTCTGAATGCCTTCTTTGTTAGAGGAGGGCCATCTTGCAAACTCTCTAGGTGCGGTGCACTTACCGCAAACCATATCGTGAAATCGTTGCTCCTTCCTCGAACTCGGACGACCTCTTCTCAGTGAGAATGGACTCTTCTGAACCAACGACATCAATACCCTTTCAACATTATAGCATTCAGATAGCAGCTCTACGTGCAGTTAAGTGTAAAGCTATTGTCTACGAATTCTATGAAGGGTGTCAACAAAAGCTCTTGGGCTCCGGCTCCTATTGTTGCGCTGACTATTGTCCCAATCTTGATACTCGCCTTGGTGACATACACCGCAATTAAGTGTAACACCTGGGCCCCAGCACTGCGGTTGAGATTTCGGACCTGGCCATTTCCTTGGGCAAAGCCCAGCTTCATCTTAGGGCACAAGAGGAGCACATCCGATTCTACCGGAGAAGGTACTGGGAGTTGACCTCCGAGAGTTCGTTGATCACGAATTTGACAAGCCAAGTGGGGTGTTGACCATCTCTTTGTTTGCCACAAGTCACCATGTCTATTGCCACTGAGCTGTTGAAAAGTTCCCTAGCCAATGGCGGCTTTGGGGATCCGGATCTCACACCCAAACCATTACGAATTTCTAAGCGAGACCATACTGAAACATCGACTGCCGGCACCGTTAATACCTCGCTCTCCATACGTAAATCGCAAACACATCGCAACTTGCAGGCGCTTGCGCCAAGCAAGAGATCCTCAATCCGTGTCAATAGCACGCAGCTCGACCTGTCCCTACAGAATCCCGCTGCGCCAACCTCACAATGGGCCCGCCGAAACACCTTCCTTCACGTGCATAAGCAGCGTCATTCTGAGCCGATCAACACGAATACGGCCGCTCTCACCGCGATATCCAGGGAGCCGATTGGCTTCTCGCCTTTCAATCCTCCTGCAAGATCCCGCGACTCATGCCCTACAATGGGCCCATTGGGAAGCAGCTCCGATGCAAGCAAAGCCATTGGTGCAGTCAGACCAGCCTCTGCACGAGCGTTCACTACCGGGACTTACAGAAGGCCAAATCCATTGAGTCCGGTCCATGAGGTTTCATCGTCATCTTCAATACCATCAGCACCGCGAGGGGGTCAACGAAGAGCCGTGACTAACGTGGAGGCGTTCCACAAAGATCTGGACGCCTCTAAATCCCGCCCACATCACGGCTTAAGGAAGCAAAGTTCTATCAAGAATAGTCTAATGTCTCGAATGATGAGCGGTTTGGCGAACAGAACTCATGCCGGCCATGCAGTGTCGCGAGGTGGAAAAGATGCTACGCAGATCCCCCAGCAATCTTCCCCGGCTACCGAATCTCGAGCTCGCGAAGATACGTACGCTTCACGGCAAAGCAGTTCAAGTACGGGGACAGATACGTACTGCGCGTACTGCGGAAGCGACCACGACGATACCCTGGCGGATTTCCCGGTCCCACCAATGTCTAAAGCTACGTCTCCCACGACCGCTGGGTCACTCAGCTCCTGTAACTCATCCAGGTCGAGAAGATTCAGAGAGCTCTGCACGCCCGCCAATGCTGTCCTGATGGGTGCCGAGCTCACGTTGACCCCAGAATACGACCAGTTGAGCACCGAGAAGGGCCGGAGCATGTTTGTGTCACTCGACATCAAGGGCACCACGAACTCAACATCCAGCGTACAAGATGTCTGGTCACAGCATACGGGCCTCGATGTAGTTGTGGTCATTGATAACTCGTGAGTCTCGCTATATTATCCCAAAGCCCAGTCGCTTATCAGGGCCCCAGGCTCTATACCTCCCCGGCCGTACTAATGGCAAGTTGTGAGACTGCAAGATTCTTGGCGTCAATCTTGAATGGGATAACCGATAGATTGGCGATCATTTGTACATCAACCATTGACACGGGTGGCGCCAACTCCAGGGTTGTCAGGGATTTGGATAAAGTAGAGATGCCCATGATAAAAGATGCTCTGGATGCCATCACGAGCTCAATTGAGAAGCCAAATACAGAAGCCTGGACCGATACTATTGACTGCGCAAAAGAACTCCTACTGAAATCCGCAGAGCCAGACCCAGATGAAGAGCTACTTCAGGACACCTTCGGACATATCTTCCTTCTCACCCCAGATACTGATAGGCTTCCTTCCCAGTCACTGGCGCACGAGAAGCTGACGTTCCACATCATCAGTCCTGCAGGCGCCCCGAAGAATGATCAGTCTTCCATTCACTGCAATGGATGGAAATTGCGCTCGTTATCTGGGAACGACACACAAGTCGTGAGCGCAAAGAAGGATCTCGACCCAACCAGTGTGTCGAACCGACTTCGAGTTCTAATCCCTCAAGCTCGCAGTGGAAAGTTCTTGGGAAATCTGACCGAGCTTGTCCTGGAGGTTTCCGCGGGCCCAGATTGTGTCATTGAGGGCGTCATAGGCAAAGTCAAGTTCACCAAGCTACACCCTGGTGAAGTCTTTACGGTACTGTTCAAGCTCAGAGTTCCTGCTGCAAGGGTACAGGAGTACGCTGTACCTCGCACTCCAACACGGTCATCAGAGGCGTTACCGAATACTCAAGATATCCTGAGTCAGCTGGACAGGATGCTGGGGACTACAGACGCAAAGATACTCTGTGCGACACTCACGTACAAAAACTCGTTGCTTCCAGCAGGTACTACGTGCTCCGTCACGACCAAGTGCCACACGAAGAAGGGCCTTCCAGACCTTGATCAGAAGCCAAGCCCTTCGAAATTCAGGTTGCTTCAGGCCAGAGATTGTACCGTCTTGGTGCATAAGCGCCTCGCATACCACCTGGCCACTCATGGATCACCCAGAAACGCTTTCAAAACTCTACACAGCGAGTTCGGTGATAGATTTCAGCTCTCGCTCTGCCCAGACTACATCAATCTTCTCGCCAAAGAGCTCAAATACCAGGCCAGGATCGTGGAGCGCCTGGAGATCGGGGCGTCGCCTAAGAAGTCTTCCGCCGTCTACGCTGCCAGCAGCCCTTCTGAAAACCGCGGCCAAAGCTCCTTTGGTGCTGAACTACACAAGCCCCAGCATTGTGCCACCAGTGACATTCCAACCGAGGAGCTTTTCAAAGTGGAGCCAGCTCTAGCCGTCCTGTCCCTCAAGGAGTCAAGAGAGCATCTGCGCACAGACGAGGCGAGGAGAATATGGGGCGACCTGAGGAAGATGAAGAGACCGCCTGACCAGACTGTGAGGGGTCGATCGGTAAGCTCACAGTTAGATGAGGCCAGGAAAAAGGGTATCAAGGAACTCGCTGTCAAGAACAAGAGGAGTCTGGGATCCGATACTCTCAGGAGTATCTTCTCGGCTGGGGAGAGCATGGGAAAGGGGCTTGGTTCACCTTGGATGTGAGGTCTGCCGGGGATCAGGATTCGTGAGTGGTGGTGAGGCTTGCGGGGGGCTGGCACCATGGGTGGCGTTGCTTCAGTGAGCTTTGCTGGCTTCTGACAATTCGTGCCTTTGCTTTTGCTTGCTTCGGTCGCTATTCTTCGGGTAGTATGTTTTCAGCCAGGCACTTGCCTAGTTGCATTAAGTATTTATCTAGATCCCGTACTCGAAAGCCATTCCCAATTCGCGCTTCGTAAAGCCGTGAAAAAGTCCCCGGGGATTCAGGTACGCCTCCAGCTCCCCAACCAAAACCAAACATTCGTCATGGCCCCATGAACTCCCTGACATCCCAAACACAAAGCCTCTCATCCCAACCCGTGCTAGCCACCCACCCTTCACTCCCAAACAAGCACCAATCTACCCCACACACGAACTCCGTATGCCGGCCCATCCTTCCCAACTCCCTGCCTTGCTCACCACCAAAACCCTTTGAGCCGGCATGAGGTGGCTCTGCTTTGGCACTCCCATCTGTCCATATCCGACATGTCATATCGTAGCTCGCGCTGAGCAATGTGTCCGAGAGATGCGGACTCCACGACACCCTCCTGACCGCATAATCGTGCCCAGGAAGTATCACCAGCGGTCCCTGCCCCGGCGCCCTGATATCGAACGTCCGTATTAACCTGTCAACCCCTGCCGTCGCCACGATTGAGGAGCGGTATTTGTTCCAGTCATGCGTGAGCGCTTCATTTGGAGGGAATTGCCCCGCTGGGCCGGATGGCTGGGTTGAGGATATCTGGGTAGGCGCTTGGGCTGAATGGATGGGGATTGTGAGGGCGAGGTGGTTGGAGGCGGAGGCGGGGGTGCGGAGGTCGAAGAGGCGGAAGTGCGAGTCGCTGGAGACGGAGGAGAGGAGGGAGGGTGAGTGCGGGGAGAAGGAGGCGGAGTAGGTGCAGGAGTGGATGGGGAGGGTGATGAGGGAGGTTGGGCGGGTTGGGTTCCACTGTGAAACTATTAGAATCGTAGGGACCGGCGACGTTGGTAGCAAGGGATAGCGTACCACTCTAATAGTACCATCCCAGGAGCTCGAGCAAAATGTATTCTTGGACACTAGGTTCCAATGCACAGCAAAGACCTCTCTCAGGTGCTCTTTCCAGGACTGAACGGGGAATTCATCGATACCGATGTCGAAGAGCTTGACGGAACCATCGCCTGCAGCGACTAGGACTTGGTTCTCGTGCGTTTCGGACCAGGCGAGGTCGAAGAGGGAGTCTTGCGTGTCGAACCTTAGCACTTTGTGAGCTTTGAGGTGGATGCAGAGAGGCTACCTATACGAAGGATTGGTGGGAGATGGATAGCTACCATTTCTCAGCAATAATGCCTTTAGGCGTCAATCCCAGGACATAGAGGCGTCCATTTCCTACCAGACCAAAGTGCTGGGAGGATGCTACTGCGATTCGAGAGTCAAAGAATGGAGAGTATTTTACAGCGTAGCCATTGAAGCCTTGAGTACGGTATTCGAGCATGGCTGATTATGAGGGGATGCTTGCATATGTACATAATGAAAAAGGATGGTGTCTCATTTGGATCTGTATAGAGATTGTGGAGACATTGTGGGCATGAATAGCAAGCACCAAAGCATTGCAATCATCCACTAGCGGTAAAAGTTCGGCGAAGAAGCACAAATGCCGACACTCCGTCCTCGCTTAGGTAGGTAGCAATGCCACACAGCCTTTCTCATGTCCTTTCCATCCGCCATATCACTCGCATCCTTCATTTGCAACACCATGATCCTCCTACTATCCACTCACTGTATCAATCACCAGACCTCAAGGCCCCTGTCTCTTGTCTTCCTGGCCGCATGGTTAGGCTCATGGTCTCTACTATAAGTTAGCATCCAGGTGAGTTGCAATCTTCCTTACGTCCTTACCTTTTGCATAAGGCTTTCCGGAATCTTATCGACGTCGATGCTCTCGTGATCAAACCAGTAAGCACCAGTCAAGTTCCCGTTCTCGTCCACACAGCCAGGAAAGTGTGTGTAGATGGCACGATGGTCGCGGAAAGCTTCATTGCAATTGATGCAACGAAGGTGGTAACCGCTCTTGTCCCGATTGCTCGTACGAGGGACCCGAATTAGCCATATGTCAGGTGCTGCGACAACTTTGCCGCAGCAGCGTGTAAGTACAGGCATAACTGTACCGTCATCCGCCAACGGAGGAGACCCGTTGCTGTTCCCTGGATTTGGAGCACCGTGGCCTCGCCCGATGCTTGTGGGATGAACAGCGCTTGGGAGATTCCCAGCGCTACTCCTTGAATGGACAAATGTGGGCCTGACCCCTCTCGTCATGAGATCGAGGACGTCTCGATCCATGTTCTCATAACCTCGTCCGATATCGTCGATCGATGTCGACATCCTATCCCAAGCCTCTCCCCTGAGGCTAAGCTCGTCAGCGACTTCCCTGACTCCTGTCAGGATCGACCGCCGAGCGTTTCTCTGGTCCTCAAGCAACGCTTTCCAGCGGTCGTTGAGGGCTAAAAGCTCTGCGGTCGGCTTTCGACCCAGTGAGCTACTGTTGTTGCGGTTTCGTGCGGGAACATTCCCGCCTGAAGGCCCTGTACAACGTCAGAATATAATAGGATGAGCGTGAAATGAGGGTAGTGTACCAGAAGATTGCCTTTGTCCTTGATCTCCCCGCCGTGGGGCGATATCTCCATGTAGATATTCACGGATCGAGGGTAGTGTACCAGACGATCGCACATTGACTTGCTCTCCGACCTGTGAAACGCCACCTCTGTTCCAGTGTTGGTGAGTCGAAGGTGTGACATTCGAAGGAGGCCTGCTTCCTTGGTCTCCACCCTGTCGACCGGCGCCTCTCTGCGGATTGAGATGAAATGGGGCTAATGTATTGGAAGGCCGCATGTTGCTTTCATCTGCAGGATGCGTACTGGTGCCACTATACCACTGTTGGTGACTCGGAGTTATCGTATCCGAAGGAGGCCTGTTCCCTTGGTCTCCACCCTGTCGACCGGCGCCTCTCTGCGGATTGAGATGAAATGGGGCTAATGTATTGGAAGGCCGCATGTTGCTTTCATCTGCAACCTGCGCAACGGTGCCACTATACCACTGTTGGTGACTCGGAGGTACGGTACCTAGAGGACGCCTGGTTCCAAGTCCTCCAGCCTGTGGAGCGCGACCTCCGTGCGGATATTGATCTAACCAGAATGTGTCAACAACAGCCTACGAAGCTGCGGAGGTGCATCTCTATACCTCTCCTGTGTCCTTCCATGTCTGATGAAGAGCTCGCTGTGTAGTTTTCGAATGCTGATCTTGATGTTGTCGAAGCAAAATGTGCAGAATTTGGAGCTGAGGTGAGGCGAGCTTCGTTTGTGGATCTACCTCGCTTAAGGCCGGTATCATGCCGGGTTGCCGGAGATCCTACAAGATTCACTACGCTGTTTTCTCCTTGATCGTCGATCTCTCGTGTCCGTCACTGCCTGCTTTTGGGGTCAAATACTACCTTAGTACGACGAAGGAAAAGATTGTGGAGCCCGCTCTCCGGTTGGCGAGGTCCAGGGTGTTGGGCCTGAATTGGGAGTTGTACGTGGAACAAGGCCAGGCGGTCAAGGTCTACAAGGTCCAGAAAAGGTACTCGTGGGGCCAGCTTGACGTTGAAACAGTCTAACAGCCTAGGCTTCTTGAAACGTACCAGGAAGAAGCGTGAAAGATAGACGTACAATGAGAGTTCGATTCCCTGTGCTGAAGCCTGTCGATGATCGAAAGATTTACCGGTTTGTAGAGGGTACGGAGAAAAGGCCTAGGCAACAGAATTTGGACAGGATCGAACTTCTACATACCAGGGCAGCTTTCGTGTCAAGACAGCAGAATATCATGAGCTTCTCGTGAAAGGAGAGCGTTTGATCGGGTTTTCCGTGGCGTGGTTACAAGCAAGTTCGGGAATATGACCCTCCGTCAGAGTGTGTTGGAGAAACTAGGCCATAGGTACCGACGTTGATGTTGAGTATAGAGATCACACTGGCTACCAAGTTCCTGTTGACCATCTTCGTTTCTCCAATAGCATGCCACTCTTGATGCTCGCCATCCAGATGCTCTCGTAGAAAGCGGACAACTTCCTCCCCATGCTCGAAAGGATATCCGGCGCGTCGCCAATCATAGACAGGTTGTGGGGCTTCCGGCACGACTTCACGGTCAGCGGCCATTCCGAATGCCTATGCGCCGGCGGCGGCGGGGATTCTCCAGTCGATGCGATTATCTTCATGAATGTGCAAAACGTGGTCAACGGCATATTGTAAAAAACCCTCGGCTTCATCCAACGGATCTCCCTCGTCCCTACAGTTGCAAGTCCTCCACTTGGCACCACACACGTAGCAGAATTCGGCGCCGCAAGTGCATCTGGAAGATCCGGTCAGAAGTCGTAGCCTTACCATTTCTCCGTGAAAGAGTCAACTTACGTGATGTGGTCGCAGCCATTAATCCGCTCAATCATCCTCTTGCACTCTTGGCATTGTTGAAAGCCCGCCTCAGCCGCGGCTGTCATAAGAGACTGAGCGGCCGGGTCCTCGAGGCAGCCACCCTCATGAACTTCTTCTTTGCACACGATGCACGTCAACCTTTGACAAGCAGGGCATTTCGCTTGGCCGTCATCAACTGCTTTTGGTGAAATGAAGGTTACACACTCAGGATCGGAGCAGTAGGTTCGATTTGTCGTTGAATATTCCTCGGATTTCTTCTGGAACTTGTCGTAGATATCCGAAGATAGGAATGATTCAGCGTTTGCAAGTGTGATGATTTGGCCGCAGCATTTTGGCGGGAAATTGAACTCATGCTTTGCGGCACGATCGAAGAGCTCATTGACGCATCCGCCGCAGTAGAGTTCACCACATGATGCTGTCATGACGTTGGAGTCTACCTCCTGGTTTCTACACACCACGCACTCCATCGTTCGAAGGAATTCCACTTCCCGCCGGACAGTCTCGCGAATCCCTTGAGCACTGGCTTCACCGAACACAGGCGTCGCGGGAATTAAGATCATCATCGCGTCATCCATGTCGGCCATTTGGTGGAGGCTCACGTAGAGGTGGCTGGGGGAAAGGAGGCGTCCGGAAAGCAGGCTGAAGTGGGACGATGGGAAGGAGGGCACTGCCAGATGGAAGAAGAGCCCGAGAAACGATACCCCAAGTAGGTAGAACACCCCAGAAGTGCAATGTTGAGTTGACGAGATGTATGTTGAAGCGCTGGTGGTGCGGAAGATGATCAACACAGCCATTGTTTTTGGATGGACGAGTCCGAAAATGGACCAACGGTAGGGCTGATCGGAAGTGACGCTACGACCATTGCCATCCCTACTTCTTCGACTCCCATCTCCCGATTCTTGGGCAGAGAACCATGAACAGATTGCCATTCCAGGGACTTTTTCCAGTGTCGACGGTCAAAGTATAAGACCTTTCACAGGATTGTGAGTGAAGACTCTCCTAGGCGGAGAACTTGCGGCCGAAGGGAGAGCCAAGGATCCAAGAAGACAACACTCCATCTTTCCAGAACTTTGAGCTTCTTTCCTTTCTGCTATAGGGTTCTCCCAAACGCAAGTGAAAGTTTTGAACAACACTGAAAGAAGAACAGGCAAAACAAGGGAGAACTCATGCTCTGTAGCACGCCAGCAGCGCCCATGGACTTTCTGGCAACTCATAGTGGCATATATATGAGGGGTATTACTTTACTAGAATTTTACAAGACATCGATGAATTTAATGAAAGTATCCTAATAGCCGCGGGACGCTTTTGCCGCGTTGGTGTCAACTCTATTTGCCACCCAAGGCTTGAGCTGTCTCCTAAGATGCAAGTCGAGATAAACACAGAGGCTTCCCTTGTTTTACCCAGCGTGTATTAGGCCTGGCCTTTGTGACTGAAATTTTCCCCCAGACAAAAGTTCACAGGTACTGTCTTTATAGCTTTTTGATTGTCCTCTTTCCTCTTAGAAACATGCGCTATTCGAGGAGTGCGATGTAATCCAAATTACTTTGATCTCACGAGAGACCGCAGGGGTCTATATTGGCCCTCGAAATCTAGAATATATCAGAGCAGTTAAGACGATAAAGTTAAGTTCGCCAATCTTGACTCCCTGTTTCCAAGAATTGATGAAGCAATATTGCCCAGTTTTCTCACTCCAACAGACGAATTGTACAACATCTACTGCCTGCTTAACTGCACCGCAGTGCTTGGTGGGTCGTTCGCTTAGGACAGAGGCTTGAGCTGTACGATCGATCGTCTGTCGTGCTCGTAGGATCGGTTACCTCTCAAGCCCGACCAGCGGCCCGCTGCACGTTTGAACATGATACCTTGTTTCGTAGCCTTCTCGGTCTAGGATGTTCATCATTTCTGCAAGTAAACGTCATACTTGGAAAGCAGGTTGCGATCCTATATCCTGGGAGGAAGTCAGACTCAGGGGTAATCGCCAAGGCGCCCATGGATTTTACATGGAGGTTACTAGGATATGGGATAGATTCTATTGTAGCACAGGGTCCGTTTTCTCTGGTCCAACCGCAAACACTCCTAGAAGAGCAAACATTCAAGGAAGCCAAAAAGTGTCAACCACAGTACTTCCATTTTCAACGGCAGTGCCATCCTTATGCTTCGCCTTAGAGCCTAACTCTTGGAGGCACATTTTCTCAAGCGGAATATCAGTTCTCCACTCATAGGCCTGGTACTTATTGATCAGATCCCTCGCATCGATCCTGGCAACCTCTCGACGATTCTTTACCCGTAACCCGGATGTCTGACCGAAGTGTCCTGGCACTTTGTACCAGTGCATGAGTATCGTGTTTACTATCGCCGCGTGTAGCGCCGTCTGTTCCTGGTTCCTAGCGGGGGAAATCTGAGGAGGGGACTGGGGCGTGCTTTGTGGGATCGGCGGTTGGTTGTGCCGGATCCCCTAGTACTGTAGGTTGATCCTAGGGGGACCGCAAGGGTTGCCTTGTTACGATGGCGCGTGGATGTGTGTTTGTTAAGGTGCGAAGGACGGGTGCAGCGGTTTGTTAGAAATGAGGGGTTGGGGTGACAAGGGTTCGGGGTTGGGGGTTGTTGGAAGTATGAAAGTTTTGGTTGGGGGGTGGGGGTTTGAGGGGGGGGGGTGGGGTGGTTTGGGTGGGGGTCTTTTTTACAAGTGATACAAGGACAGACACTCTCTAAGGTAGCGGAGGTTTTCACTCTTCATAATCAGTAAAAAGAGAAGGGACCCGATACATATACTAGTGCACCCCATTTTTCTATACATGTGTACTCCCTCACATATCCGGGTACGGTCAAGGTACAGCTTCCGGGTATGATGAGTGTCAGATCCGAAGAATTCTACTAGACAGGTTTAGCAACAATATTCAAAAGAAATATCCAAAAGGGAATCCGCGTTAAGTACCACAGTCAGAAATCTCACCGATCATTGGCATTTTAATCGACCAGTCCCAGAGCTTGATACTGTGTGACCCTTTTGTGGAAGGGTGGTGACTGGTGCAAAAGGTAGACTCAAGTCGATACCAAGCCCGGTAGTGAAACTTTACGAGAGTATTTCCGGAAAACCTCGACAAAAGCATTGTACTGTAGCATAAAGCACAAAGTTGGAGAGAAGCTTTTGTTTCTCAAGTTGTGCCCCTAATCCTTCGATGTGTCCAAGCCCGGATCCAATGTCTCCCACTCGGCCTGTGTTCGATTCCCTACATCCGTTGCCGTCATCCGCATTCCTGCCCCTCCAGCCAGCTGAACACATCGACCAATCCATCTTCCACTTCTTTCCAGGCCCCCCGATCTACGAGCAATACGCATCCACGTTTACGAATCCCACGTTTGTGTTGCCTTCATCAGGATCACACGTGGCATAGTCTCCATACAGCGTCCCTGGTGGATTCGACGCCGGCTTGCACTTCAGCGCCGGCGCACCGCCATCCGAGACCCCTGTGGGCACATATTCGGGACCACCTTGGTTAGGATTGGGTTTGCAGCCGGTGAACTGGATGCCTTGGTGACCTAGAATGGTGATGGGGCCTTCCTTGCAGTAGTTGCCCGAGCAGAAGACATCACCGAAAGTTGCGTTGCCGTCCGTGCAGGGGTTGCTGTGCGAGAAGAAGGCGATGCATTGGTATGGGCTGTCAGAGTGTCATTGAGTTGGGGAACAACGTCTCTAAGAACACTATGAAAAGATGCTTCTCTCTGAAGATCTAAGAGTGTTCTGCGACTGGTAATTGGAATAAGATTATTGACCTAGAAGATACGTACCCAGCAGAAGAGCCGACTGTTCCGAAGTAGATGGTTTGAAGAGCTGCGGCAAGAGGAATGAGAGAGATAGCAACAGAAGATTGAAAGAAGCTGAATCGCATCCTGACGAGTGTCGGTTTGATAGTTTCGTTGGTGGACCTCTGGGGAAGTATCGTCCTTGCAAGTTGGGTAAAAGAATAAAATAGAATAAGGAATCCGAATTAAGCTGGAGCATCCAGCTATTCATGTACTCTCTCTGGCAATCGCCATTTTATCGAATAATAATTCTAAAGCCAGAATGGGCAATCGTGGCGCATGGAAACGGTTGAAAAGGCTCGTAAGCTAAGCGCAATCAGGATAGGATAGGCGAATCGTGTGCCACAGAAGCTTCGGGGCAAGCCTCCCGTGGAAGTGCTCTCATTGGATCTGACAAAGATTGGTCCAAGATTGGTGATGGGCTGCACATTGGCATCTACCGATGTAGAGCAGAGCGCGGCTCCGTAGTAGGCCATGCGACCGAGCTGTCCCAGGCTCTGGTTTCGGATAAGGTAGACAAAGTGGGTGGGGGTTATTAGCTGTTTGCTGATCCAGGACATTGGGGAGGCGCGGGTGGGATTGGGGGGTGTGGGGGAGGTGACTGCCTGTACGAGGGTGGTCTTTTTTGTTGTGCGTCACCCATACCCACCCGCAGCCGTCCTCCTGGGCTCAAGGGCGTTCTGGTTTAGTCTTTGCGTGACGGGATGGGGTTTTTGAAATGTTCAGGAACTATTTTCTATAATTCATAATTAGTAACATATTTTTTAAATGGTGCTATGCGACGTAGAACCACGCGCGCGCAGACATGTGACATTAGAGTCTTCACAAAAGCAACACGATTTCTTCCTACATACTGTACTCATCTGTCACTTGAGCAACAGCCATATCCTTGCCACCACCGTCCAAAATACTGGTCTCATAGGAAAGGCTACTTATTTACGTACCGTGGAACATTTTCAGTAACTCGTTAAACCAGCATGAGAAACAAAATGTATCACTACCTATACGAATTTGATAAAGTCAGGGCACGTAGTAACCGTACCTCGAAGTAGCTCTAACACCAAAAAAATGATGAGACTTCTTGATCGTATTTTTTACGGCCTCGAGACGCCGATGAAGATCCTAATTGGTAGTGTCGCATTGTGGTCGAAAGGCATTTCACGGTAGCTGGATCGAGCTAGCCATCCGAGCTCTGTTTGGAGCACGTTAGCATACACGAAAAATATATATATGCCTTTCCTTGAGCTGTACCCCCGTGAGGAATCAATCATCTTCTTCCTTCCGCCGAGGACATCTCATCTTTCTCTCTGCTTATACATTGGCCACGAAGTCATCAACTTCGATCATCAGTCTCAGCATTTGAGGCCATGTCATCCGATGTAGCTCCTCCCTATAACGGTTCTCCTCTCAAACATCCCAACAACCCCTGTTGTTACGAGGAAACCTTCAGCCCAGACAGACACAATGGTCCTGATTGTAATGGCCCCCAGACCGACCCCACGGATACGGAAATGCTTGCCGAGGCACCACAGCACGCGCAGCACAATCCACCAAACGAAGAATCTGATCACCACGAGCAGGCAGCGCTCGACGAATCGCTCTCATGGATCGCCAATGCTAATCGACAAAAGCATGCGGGCGTCCACGCGCCGCTGGCAGTAAGCAAGAAAACCCCGTTCACAACTGCAAGACCTCACATCCAGAGCAGCTGCCAGTCGTCATACCGCAAACAGCACCGGGAATGCAATCTTCATTTAGTCGCGCCTGGGCTCCGATATTAGCAGAACATGACGTTCGACCCGAAGACTTTCTGCAATTCATGGATCATTTGAATGTATGCAAGGCCGCATCGCCGCCTTTTCAAGTCCTCAATCTCGCCGGGACTGTCTTGGGCTGCACGTTCGTCTTACCCCGTCCATGTTCGTGTTTAATCGCGAATCAATCCTTGCGAACAGACGTCACTGATCCTAATGTCGTTCGTTACAGCCCAATTCCCTTTGCCGGCCTGGTCGGCCTAGGCACATCAGTCGCCGCCGGCGCAGGCACCTACGCCACCGCCCGAATCCGAATCACTCGTTATCTCGAGCAGGCGAACCAGGAGTATTTTGCCCCAAGAGGACTGCTCGCGCGGATCGCCAAGCAGAATGTGCTCCCGCAGATCGTCGGACAGCCTGAAAACGCACCATTGCTAGCGCCACTACCTAGACATGCGAGTAAAAGCAATGGCTCAATCACCCCGCCTTCTCTCCGTGACAGGAGATTGCAAGCTTTGGGTTCGCACATAGCACGGATCGAATTCTGCGACCTGCCCACTCCGCAAGAGGAACACAACATGTTAGACAAGCTGTCCGCCAAAATGACGGCGCGTAAGACGAAGAAGCAAGAAGAAAAGATAGTGAAAGATAGCATGAAGAGTCAAGAAGAGGAGTCTAAAAAGAAGGAAAAGCTGATGAAGGAGGAGGCGAAGATTAGGCAAAAGATGGAGAAGGCGAGGTTTAAAGGGAGCGGAAACGAGGCGAAGATGGAGGGAAAAATGATGGAGGTGAGGGAGAAGTATGATGAAAAGGCTGGAGAGGGGGGAGAGAAGGAGATGAAGGCTGCGAAGAAGTTTTTGTTTGTTGTTGTACAGAACGCGCAGGCGGCGGCTGCTGCAGACTCTTAGATAAGCTTCTTGTTAATCAGCATATGAAATTCTTGAAGGGAGTTTCTTGCCGTGGCTTAAGGCAATTCCACAAAGAACGGATCCGACTACTCCATGAGTCAAGCGTGCTCGAGGAGGTTTCTCCCGCTAGCGCGCGTGCCATTGGAACCGCAAAACGGTAGCTCTCGGAAACAAAGAAGGGGACACCCGAAGACATGCCTTTACAATTATTCGATGCTATGTATGCAGTAGAAAGGATGGGCGAGCTAACATATAGCAATCCTAAATATTCTTGCACTGAAAAGTGACTGCGTAAGCCCGGTCTGTTCTCCGTAGATAGTCTGGGAAGTGCATATCAATTGAAAAAGTAAGGACACGAGACAGGTATTCCCGCATATAGCGGGCCTGTAGACGGGAACCGGAAGATGAGAAGAGAGGAAGTTGACCACTCACATCGATATTCAAGGCCATCATGCAAGAGAGCAAGCAAGCAGAACAAACCCGACGAGGCTGAGGCTCCGGAGATGAGCTTTAGCTCCGACTGCGGATTCCTTTCATGCACAAACGTTGCAACTGACGCCCGAGGTGCAGAAACCCGCTGAGTTGGCTGCCGGGCAGCTCTTCCCTTCCCCGTTCATCTTGGTCTCAATCCACAGTGCAGGTCACGATGTATGATAGTTCGCCGATGGGTTTGGTCCCGGATTTTTTTGTCATGCATAGTCACCGCACATCAGAGGTGATGTGCGAATTGGAGTGGTCGCATCATCTGGCCTTTAATCGGGTGGTGTCGGTAAACAAAGCTTTAGATATCCGGGCAACACAAAAATTGTACTCAACATCAGGCCCTACCCGTCTGCCGCTAACTCGATTAGGTAATATCACGGAGTTAGTGGGATCAGACGACAAATGTATTTAATACTCATATGAGTCTGATTAAACAAGAGGTTTTTTGTTACGATGAAAATAACTAGATTTGATAGGTAGTAAGGCGGTGTTCGCATTTGATTTTGGTAGGGCAAATAATAAAACCCTTTTTGGCCACTACCTATGATTCGGCGGCAAGGCTGATCCTGGCTCAAGCAAGAAAAACATTACCCGTCAGTCGACAACAGTACTCTAGCACACCACCCGTTGTTTCTTTATTTGGACATCTGCCCAAGCCCCATGAATCCAAAACCCTCTACACAATGGAAGCCTTCATTTCCCGCAAAAGACCAAAGACTTCCCCGAATACATCAGGAATTCAAGAAAATCCATCTCCTCAAAGTAAACCCCTACCAAACGAAGACGAAGGATCCACAGATCTCAAACTCGCCACTCTATCTTCTCTGTTCCCAACCGTAGACCAAGCAACCCTGCTCGACCTGCTCGTATCCGCAGACGGCTCCGTCGAGGCGGTCTTCGACTCTCTTTCCGGAAAACCCGAGGTTGGATCCCCTCGCAAGAGACCTGCGGCAAGCGTAGGGTACCAGACTTCTCTGTCCGCGTTCCGGAGAGTTGGGAATGCGGAGCCGGGGTCACCGGCTGCGAAGCGGAGGGTACTGACCAAGAAGGGGCAGACGCTACATCTGTATACGCCAGAGGATATCGCTGCCCATACACCTTGCTCTATCATCCACAACTTCTTGCCTGCTCAAGAAGCGGATAATCTGCTCAGAGAACTGCTTGAAGAAGCGCCTACTTTCGAGAGGCAGACCTTCAAACTGTTTGATAATGTGGTGCAGTCTCCCCATTCTGCGTGCTTCTACGTTGATAGCTTGGAAGAGCGCGAGAGGCAAAAGACCGAGTATCTATATAATGGCAGCTATCTAGAAGTAAGTCTACGGTCCAGTTATCTCCAGAATATGGTTTGGGCCCTGGCTGCTGCTAATAATGCCTATCATAGGACATTCGCCAGATCACACCCCAAATGCGAACAGTTTCCAACAAAGTTCAGCCAGCTGTCAACGAAGAGATCACCAAACGCATCCGAACTAATTACCCAGACGGTAAGAAGCTCAAGTATCAATCACCCTACGAGTGGGTCCCGAACGCGGCGTTCGTCAACTGCTACCAAGGCGGAAGCGAAAGCGTGGGCTATCACTGCGATCAGCTGACCTACCTTGGACCGCGAGCCATCATTGGCAGCCTGAGTCTTGGGGTTGCTCGAGAATTTCGAGTACGGAAAATCGTAGCCCGGGATGACGAAGAGCCAGCAGCCTCCAAAGACCAGAGGGCAGACGCTGAAGGCCAGATCTCGATACACTTGCCGCACAACTCGCTTCTGGTGATGCATGCGGAGATGCAAGAGGAATGGAAGCATAGCATTCATCCTTCTTCTGTGATCGATCCTCATCCCATAGCGGGCAACAAACGAATCAATGTCACTTACAGATATTACCGCGAAAGCTTCCACCCGATGTATACACCAAGATGTAAATGCGAAGTAGCGACAGTGTTACGTTGTGTTCAAAGAAAGAAGGAAAATAAGGGGAGGTACATGTGGATGTGCCATGCGGGCCTTACACCAGGCAAAGACGGGTAAGGGCTCCCTTTAATCCCAATGGCATAAATCATCCTGACCGAGTCGATCAGTTGCACCTTTTTCCAGTGGGCTGAGTTCGACGACGACGGAGAGCCCCCCTGGGCGAAGATTTAACGTGGATCTGGGATTCAAACCTAGCGATCCTATCGTTGCACTGTTCGGTCCGCTGTCGCCGTGGTTGGGTGCATAACCAATCGTCACAAACGGACTAACTCAGGGCCGAGGGCGATTGTTTCCTGGGAGGGGTACCGGAAGGTAGTCCAGTCTCAATTCCACCAAAAGCTTACACTGAAGCTGACGGTCAGGCTCCGCACATAGTGCCACCATCCCACAGGGATATACAGGCATTCGCCCTCGTTCAGAATCGTCTCGACATACACCGCCCCTCGAAAGAGCGGAAATCCCTCATCAAGCACTCCTTCTTCTGCCTCAACATCGACTTCACTCGTATTGCTCATGTCGACCCCACCTCCCTCCATACCCTTCGGATAAAGCTTTTCACTCTCGCTCGGGCTATAGAGTCTTACATACTTCTTGCCCACAACCTGAGACAAGATGTTGTGATAAGGGTCCGTATGCAATGGCGAGACTGTTCCAGCTGGCCCAAACCACGCATTCAGCAATGGCTCGTCCAACTTCGGCTGTAGCTCTTTGACACCCAGCGGTGTATCTGGCGCTGGTGGTGGAGGGTTAGTGTAGCAGTAGTCCGGGATAGAGATGTCGTTTCGCAGGGAGGGTACCTGAGTGAAGAGGTCGTGTTGAGCTAGATAGCCTATGCCATTGTCTCCGGCATTAGAAGAGTCTTGAAGAAGATATTCAGACATGAAGTCTTTAAATGTGATGATCGACTGGCCCCATTCTGCATCCGTGTAGCTTCGGCCGATCTCCACCGGTATCAGTCTCCTGCCTCCAAAGGTCTTCTTCATGAGGTATGCCGGGCTGCTCCAAGGCCGTTCGTGCAGTGCGGGCCAATGGTTTATGGCGCCTTGGATGACCAGAGGGAGACCGGTGTTCAAATGCTTCTCGAAAGCTTCCATGGATAGAACAGCTCGGATGGGTATCTGCTTCCGGATCTCGGGTACATTGTTCCCCTCCGTAGAAAATCTATCCCCCTCCATTCTCCGCTTCTTCCTTGGTGGCCCACGGTCTTTCTCTTCAACATAGACTTGTAAAGCAGACAGCAGCTCCTCGATCATCTCTTCCCTCTCTGGCGCCCCAGCCATTATGACAGCCATATCAAGCAACCTGACAGCTTCCTGTACCCAATCTTCCCTTTCTCCTCGCCCATTCACAATCTTATTCCGATCCGCATCTTCAATACTTCCCACTCTCTCAATCGCTTCGACCCCATGCTTCACGACCCGTATCGCCTGTCCAATGCTAGCATCCGTAAACAGCCTCCGCCAGCAGACGGGGACTTTGCTGAAAGGGTAGCTGTGTATCTTTGCGTGAGCTAGCTGTATCAGCGCCGCGGGACGAGAAGGTAGTATTGAGCGCGTTGAGGGTGGGCAGTCGAGGATGGAGTCATTGGGGCAAGGCTGGTAGAGGGTTTCCAGTGTCCGGGCGAGGAGTTCTAGGAGAGGTGTGGGGAGCATTGAGTCTGCTTGCGGAGGTTGGAGAGTCTAAATTGGTCACATCATTTGGTCAAGCACACAGGGATACATTATGAAACTGTTGCCCCGGCCTCACTCCTGAGGCTTGGCAGTCGGCAGAACGAGTACAGGTCTGCCGCGCCAAGCCGAGAGCCTCGGAGCTGCGGAAAAACCCTCTTCCTAGTTCCTACAACTAACGGGTGGGTTTCCAGCAAATGCACGCTTCTTCAGGCAGAAGCTCTCGAATAAACACACTTATGGCGTCCCTATCCCATTTCCTTGGGCAAAAATTATTGGTGCCCCCCGCCACCGATCCAAAGTGTCATTCGAAGGCAAGAATATCATTGTCACAGGTGCGAACACCTGTCTAGGCTTTGAAGCTACCGCCAAGTTCATTGCTCTTGACGCGTCTCTGGTTATTCTTGGCGTTCGCGACCTCAGAAAAGGTGACCAGGCCAAGTCCGTGATCGAGGAACGTACAGATAAGAAGGATCGAGTCGCAGTATGGCAGCTCGACTAAACTCGTGATAGATTCAGGCTTTGCCAAGCGTGCCTAGTTCACCTCTTAATGTTGTTGTACTGAATGCTGGTGTCTACATGGTCGCGTTCGAAGAGTCCAAGCACGGCTGGGGAAAGACGCTTCAGGTCAACGTCTTGAACAATGCTCTCCTTGGCCTGCTTCACTTACCAAAATTGGAGGCTTCCAGGACAGGAACCGTCCTGCCAGTCCTGGAATTTGTATTCTCCGGAAATCACGAGAGGGTCAACCTCTCTGCTGAGCATCGTCGTGCAGATAATCTGCAGCAGTCCTACAACACTGCCCACGACTACAGTCCCAGTCAGTAGTACGGAATCTCCAAACTCTTCGTCATGTACGTCATGCAGACGCTGGCATCTTTTGCCAAGTCCGCGGACGCCGCTTCCGGAAAGCCTGACGTCGTCGTCACCTCAATTTGCCCCGGCACATGTAAGTCCGACCTTAGTAGAGGGTATAATAGCTTCTTGATGAATGTTGTCAAAACCATAGCCTTCAGGCTCTTTTTGAGGACTACAAAAGAAGGATCGAGATTTCTGGTCAGAGGATTTCCATTGGGGGAAGAAGCGCATCGAATTTTTTGGCAACACCATCAACTTAAGCCGTGAGCTGTGTATTGGGCTCTAGTATTAGAACTGCTCATTTGTTACTTAGGCCATCGCCCCTCCTGTCTGGTATGCAAGGAGCGGAGTTGAGGCCGAAGGCCTGGTCCGAGGTTGTCGAAGGGTTGAAGAAGGATCTGCCCTGGGTGACCGACGCTGTTGCTGAGCTCGAACCTCAATGACAATGTTTCTGTTCAATCGAATGGCTGATTGGGCTTCATCCGGAGAAATCAATTGAATGTTGTGACGCTCAATTTTACCAAGTACCATTCGCAAAAGTCTTGGCGTTCAGGACATTGTGTGCCAACCTCTTGCACAGCCTAATATGGGTCGCTTCCTACACCCCTCAGAAGTGGACTCACGGCAGGTGTGACACTACACTGGAGGCTTATGTTGAGCAGTCAGGTGATACTTTTCAGGTTTATGAGATAAGCGTGGAAGGCGGCGGAGGCGGTGCAGGATTGTGTGCTGAGGAAAGGTGGGGACGAAGGGGATATCTATATGGGATTTGTGAGGACGCCTTGAGTGGGCGGTGAGGCAATGCGTAATTGTGATGGGAGCGGTTGGACAGCTCGTGCTCTATACATTGAACCAATTTGCTGGAGTAATGGAAAGAGAAAAGACCTGCGAACGGCTTCTTAATCAAGATTGCTACATATTTCCACTTCATCGAAAAGTCTTGTTGACAGATAATCCAGGGAAGACTTGAGCACAAAAAAATAAAGAACCAGTTGAGTTATCTGGGATCATGTGGACACTCTTGTCTCAAAGAACGTTACTTTGATATGGTCCAAGAATGGACTGGTCGCGCTCGACTACGGGCCATTAGATGTACCGAATCGTAACTGCTCATGGCCCACGGTGTTTGATCCCGCGTAGACTTTGCAAGTCCACGATTGGAGTCCAATCACGGATACCGATTCGCGAGCCTTTTCCACACCAACGCAACAGATTTGACACTCCATGGGGACGATAGATGCATACAGGACCGCGAAGTGGTGCTCTGAGCCTATGAGTCCGCACGTTGCATTGGTGTGAGTTTGAGAAGCGGAGAGTGCGGTTGTATTAGTTTGGAATGACATAGAAGATTTAGAAAGTGGGTGGTGATGCGCTAGGGTATATCGCATAGTGAGACACGCGGGTGATTATTCGGTCTCGAAGACTTAGACAAGTGAGTGCCGAAGTCGCAATCATCAGGCCTGCCAATCATCCACGACAGGTCTTGTTCTTGTCACATCAGCCCCAAAGGCAAATCGATGCAGGTGGTTTTCTTAGTGAGAAATAATTGAATTGATCAAAGACGGGGATCGAACGAGCACAAGAAAGAGTCCAGGCACGAGCTGACCTCAGACCGAGGATTAGGACTATGTAAAAGGTCTGAAATCTTTGCAATTCGACCCAAAAGAGTTCTGCTATCAAATCATCTTGGCATCACAATGTAATGTTTTAAATCCCCTCAGAATAAATACGATGCTCACAGACCAGCCCAATAGCATTGTCGGGTATGGCGAGATAACTATCGCAGCAATCTGTTTCGAAGTTCTGAGCGCAAAGCCCTTGTTACCTCACGAAAATTGGAAGTCAGTGGAAATCAATTGACATCGTTAATACTAAACGTCCTGTGGACACAACCTCTAGCTACATGATTGTGATGGTAGAAAATCCTATCACTTAATGCCGAAACAGAGAGACCAGATAGGCCAAAGGTTGTGTTCCAAGGCTGCCGGTCCCTGTTGCTCGAACGATTAGCAAAACTCACACGTAACTGGTGCTTCGGTGACGTACTGCGCAGGGCTCGCTGGGCCCCCAGCACTTTTCTCTACACATGGTATACGAAACTGTCGCCGGTGTACGCTTGAAAGAAGTATCCAGAAGTGTTCGTGATTTCCCCTCCTGTGGGTGGGTAAACGAAGATTCCCTCGCCTGCAGGTGGGTAAATGACGAATTCTAGTGCACCAGAGCTGAACACATTTATCCACAATATGGTCATGGGCAGGAACTCGCTTTCCGCTGTGAGATTGAACGTGTGGTTTTGGGTGTACTGCCCTGCGATACTTTCCGTGATAGCGGCGTTCGCGTTCGTCCAAGCGGAATAGGCGTTTGAACCCGTCCAGAGAAAGCTGTAGTCATCAGTCCCCGAATCACTCAAACTAACGCTGTATTCTCCTTGTGGTCCATAGAAGTATCCTTCCAACACTACAGCGTAGGTCGCCACATCCGTTTGGTTGATTTGGCCTGGAAATTGGTAGTAACCAGTCGAATTGGTGTTGAAGTTGATTTCGTCTGGAAAAGCCCCCTGGATATTGATGTCGGAGGCGTTGTTGTTAAATCTCGACGCATCCGGCTGAGTGCCCCTATAAGCGTCTGCCGGGTCTTCAAACCCAAAGTATTGCATACCGGAGGTCGGCTGAACCACTAGGACTGTGACCTGGCCGTTGAATCCTGTGTTTGTGGCTGTATATACCGTAGTCGTAGCTGTGTACGAGGTCGTAGTTGTGGTCGCTGGTTCAATAATTTCGACCTCTTCTTGCCCGTCAGGGAGTATTGTACTACTGGTATAGGAACTTGATCCCGAAAATATGGTAGTTGTAAAAGGGGTTGGCTGCACGATTTCCTCAATCTCTGTCTGGCTTGCGGAATCCAACAATGTTGTATACAGCGATGACCCGGAGCTAATCACAGTCGTGATAGTGACCTGAGTGAATGATGAACTGGATGAGGATATCCCAGGGCTGGAAGACGGCACCGTTGCCGAGCTTTTAGAAGCTGAAGATGAAGATGCAGATCCGGACCCCGATCCCGACGACGAGGACGAGCTTTTACCCAGGGACAATGCTGCTACCGAGGATGTGACATTGCTAGACAAAGAGCTGATCATCGAGGGCGCACTGACACCAGACGGCGGGCTTATCGATGTAAAAGAATTGGAAGAGTTCGAAATCAAGGCACTCGTCGAGGAGTTTGCGGAACTGGCGGGCAACGTTGGGATCGAGCTTCCATTACCGACAAGGGAAGGAGCGTTGGCAGACGAACCAATCGACTGGGACGAAGAATTGGAGCCTGAGAAACCAGTACTCTGGGTAGTTACCACGCTGGTTGAGGAAGAGTTGGAGCCTGTGGGGCCAGTACTCTGGGTGGTTATCACGCTTGTTGAGGAAGTATTGGAGCCTGTGGGGCCAGTACTCTGGGTGGGAACCGCGCTTGTTGAGGAAGAACTGGAGCCTGTGGGGCCAGTACTCTGGCTAGTTACCACGCTTGTTGAGGAAGAACTGGAGCCTGTGGGGCCAGTACTCTGGCTAGTTACCACGCTTGTTGAGAAAGAACTGGAGCCTGTGGGGCCAGTACTCTGGCTAGTTACCACGCTTGTTGAGAAAGAACTGGAGCCTGTGGGGCCAGTACTCTGGCTGGTTACCAAGCTTGTTGAGGAAGACTCGGAGCCCGAGGGGCTGGTGTTCTGGCCAGTCACCACACTCGTTGAGGAAGACAGGCCACTGCTAGGGAGAATGGACGAAGAAGGGGCAAACGAGGCGAGTCGATCGTTCGGGTTGGCCTGGAAATACCCTGGGCACGTGTCCACTAGATACTGTCAACTGTGCTGCTCGTTATCTGAGTGGGAAATGTACTGACCTGATGCTTGCGTCAAGGATATAGCCGTACAATTGCCTGGAATCGGCGCCAGAAAATATGCCTGGATGGCGCCCGTAGGGTCACTGCACAAAGAAGCAGTGCCGTTGACGAAAAGACTGTTCTCCCATGAGAGTGTGCCTGCGGTCAATTGCCAGGTTGTGGAGATATTGCCAACGTTGCCAGAGGGAGCAAAAAGTGCTGATATTACACCCGGAGAGCTGGAGTAAGTCATGGCAGTCCCAGCATTTGCTACCGACAATTGCCCAGCCGAGTCCAGGTTGAATAGTGGTGAATGAATGCAAGCGCTGGTTGAGTGACCGTCGAGGGTAGGGAAACTTTCAACGTCACGACGAAGCAGTGGGCTGTTACCTGGGGCTTGATAGCTGATCAGAAAGCCTACCGATGTTGACGAGGGAGTACTAGGCGCTGCTGCGGAGGCATCCGGTTCTCTGCTCCAGATTAGATGAACCCATTGCGAACAGAGAGGTGAAATAACGCACGGTTTGTTGGGCATAACACCAGAGCCTGCTAGTAGGCCCGAGGGTTCAGGGCCACCAGGGTTGATGAAAGACATGGGCCCCAGGCTGGGAAGACAAGTACCAATAGACACAGTCACCACATATTGACCAACGGCCATAGTAGATAGTAATAAGCTGCAAAAAACCAAATTCAAATTTAGATGCCCCATTTTTGCAGAGATTAGAGATTAGATAGAGGAAGGATGCACAGATTAGATAGAGAGGTTATGGAGTGAAGATAACATAGAGTGGTGACTGGTCACAGCAAATGGAGCAACTTTTAAATTAAACCTGTATTTACTGCAGGAATGTGAACCAATTTACCAAAAACATTCACTAGTCGCAACTGAGATGGCCTACATTCCTTCAATGAATCTAGTCGTCTTCAAAGGGTTCTCGACGCTTGTTCTGTAGCTGAATCAGTGCCGCGCATGCAATCGAGGCCGTTGCTTACCGGTCAATTTTAAGCCTGTTAGAATCCAACAATTAGATGTAGGTGCTTACCAGGTAGTCGCGAAAGGGTCAGCTCCTTCTGTCGTCAAAGCCCATGTATGAGGCTACCTAGTCTATCCAGCACTTATACATCGGATTTTACACTGAGAATGCGATCACATGCAACAGTGAGAAAGAAGCCTGGTCCCGGTCCGCGACCCGTTTCAGCTCTGCTCGTAGTACCCTCCTTAGGACATCGGTTGTAGGTGCTTGAAGAGTAGTACCCGATCGCAGATGTCCCTCGCCTACGCGCATCGAAGCTGGGATTGATCTGAGTTCGTCCAGCTCGTTGACGGCCGTTGTGTGCCTCACAGGTATCGCTTCTGCTAGCATCCGAATCCCGTTGAGCGTGTTCATTTGCTCTGTGAAGTTGTTTGACTCGATCTGAGCTACTTCATCTAGCTGCCGAATTATCGAGGACTGCTTTTCAAGTAACCGTTTCGTGGTAGTCACATGACATTGCTGCATATCATCCCGTATGTTCGACACATTCTCGTACAGTTTGATGCCAGTTTTCCTAGCGCAAAATGACGTTAGCACTATGGCGCATAGTACAAAACCGATAAGTGAAGCAGAGCGAAGCATGTATTGGTTCGGCCTTCCATGAGTACGGACTTGCTTGTCATAACGTCTCAGAGATGTATCAAATTCATTTACTGCGCAACAGACTGTAGTCCAGTCATTAGGGCTATCTGCCGGCTTTCTAGCCTGCGGACCACCCCAGAAAATCATTTATCATCAAGGACCCACTTCAACCTCTGGCTTATCTTTCCCTGGGTGCCTGACGACGATAGAAACTGATGCAAGAGGTCCAATTCTGTGTGGATGTCCAGAAGCTCCTTTTTCACAATTTCCGCCAATAGCTGGTGTTGCTCAATAAAGAGCTTTGACGACCCGTATTCGATCACATACAGCCGTAAATTCTCAAGCACTGAGTGTACATTTTGCAGGATTTGTCGTGAGTGCTGGACGGCGTTTGGGGCATCTCTCAAATCAACGACAAAATTAGAGATGCCTCCGCAGGCACGAATCATGACATCGGCCAAAGACACTACGGCCGCCACCGTTGAGAAGGGATCAGCCATAACAATGTCAAGAAGCCGAAGCAAAAATATCTGGGACAGCAAAGGCAGTATAAGGAGAATGGTTGCGTTAAAGGGGACTTCATCGAGGCTGTACATCTGTTGACAAGGCTGTAGGCAGATTTTCATCGCTAGGCGGGGGTAATGAATCAGGCATCGGCGTTATACTAAGTGCATCAGGATGTTAAGCCAATAAGTATTAAAGTGTGGGTGGGATAAGGCGCCATGAAAGCCGGGTTGTTGTAGGACATCGTTCAACTCTGAACTTTTCCGCTCTCGGTACAAAATTGCACAAGGTCACTTAAATCGTAAGGTATTGGTTGGTTGTCGAACTTTGAGGCAAAACACGGTGCTGCGGATCCAATTTTTTCAGTGAGGCTCGCTGATAAGGCTGCATGACACCTTGCATGGCGCCTTGTCCCACCCACACCGACTTTACCTTGTCTGCCTACGATGAAAAGCTGCTTCCAGTGCATTCTGTGATATCTTGTGCTCTCCACGTTCATCCGTCCTGATTGCTACCATCTTTTGGTCCCGTCGAAACCTCTTGACCGAAACCCTCTTTACTGTCTCGAGGTCAAGAAAGGGCCCGTTGCGCTTGATTCAATGGAGCTAGGTTTCAAGGCAAATGCAGGACCCCTAAACCAGATCGATGTACAACTTTTCAGTCTCGAGACTCCCGTGTATTTTGCGTATAGAGTCCATAGGTAGTAGACTACAAAGGCTAGGGCTCGATCTCTCCAGAAGGTGCTCTTGTCTTGCAATGCCAGCCTTGTAGCTGTTGGCACTTTCAGCCTTCCTGCGTACGTATTGAAACGATCAGAATATACTTCGTATGGAGCTGCAAGACAGCCGGGTGGCCGCTTCATTTCCATCAAGCTGCCCAAAGCCTCGACCAGCGCGAGTAAAGATGCAGGTTTATGCTGTATGCGTGCAGTGACCACTGCGCTGCTGTGCTTCCTCGACGAAGAGACAACGAGCGCCATCCTAGTGGCCGTCCTACGAGGTCAATTTTCTACATTATGATCAAGAAGATGTCATGTTAGAGACAGACGGTCCTTTGATTCCGGCTGTCCACCACTTCGTGAAAGGAGTGGCTCGTGAAGAAAGTATTGACCGGGGGCGAGAATCTATGCTCGGAAGCTTGATTCACAGAGTCAGCGGGTATCGAGCGCATCGCGAAATGACATTCAAGCCGGCGAAAGCATTGATCTCCATGAAGTCGAGTCATTGTTGGCGTGGCTTTCGGTTTCTTTTGGGAAACGTGACGCCCAAGTCTACCCAACTCGGAGCTTTCTCGTGTGGGCCATTGCCTTTGTTCTAGCAGACTTGGGGTTTGAGATTGAAGTCTCCACAACAGCTATCACAACTACAGAGCAGTATAGTGATCATGTGAAAAAGAATGATTCACTATCAGCGCCGACTGTCTACTACGTTGGGGCTTCCGTAGGTCCTACGGATCCGCAACATGTTCCTCGGCATGAAGTCCAGGTTGTTCCCAAATATCGTTATATCCCTATCCACGCGATTCCGGCAGTCGAGCTTCGCAATCATCTTCTTACAGAAGAGCTCCGTAAAGAGAGAGTGTCCTTAATCTGGAAAAACACTTTTGAGCATGTGCAGAGATATCTGACTGATCTGCCGCACATCCGGGATATGACGGGCCTCTCGGGCCCATCAATAACCAGCACAAGGACTGCTGCACAGGGCGAACGGGCCACAAAACCGAAGGTCCTCTCCCAATACCAGCGTAGGGGGATACTGGAGCGATCTCGCTTTTGGACTCGCCCTTCGCCAGAGTCTTTGGAAGCTCTTCTTTCACCACTCATCTCCAAATTCCTCCCAGGAGACTGCCCTGACTGCACATCTCTATGGGATTCCGATCATTCGGTGGACAGCTGTTGGAGTGATGAATCTTTGGAGCTGGAAGGCGTCTCCTCGACCCACAATCAGCATCCGCGGCTCTTCCTCAACGCTATACTGCTTGCCACACGGTATGCCATTGCTTGTCTGTTCCTCCGAGACGGAGATTCTTCGGCGGCCACAGACACCGAAGTCGTATTTAGACCTTCCAGGGTTGAGTCCGTTGGAACTTGCTTCGAATTTAGAGATTGGTGTGAAAATATGATGAGCATTGGAGCAATTGCATTGGCTCAGAAACACTCAACAAAAGTTGATGCTGGGCTCGTTCGTTTCAAGAAGAGTCTCTTCGAAGCTATTTCCGGGTTTGAAGGTGGCCAATTTGCGAGCCCTGGAACATTCGGATGCTTTGCAAATGGCGTCTCTATGGTTTCTTTGTTTCTACTTCAGCCGACACATCCAGCCTCGTAGAGTACCTGACCTTCAACACACAGTTCGGTCAAGCCCTGGACCTTCCCTTGGACGACAACGGCTTGATCGAGTCCGTCGAACACCAGACATCATTTAAACCGTACGAGTTTTCTCCTGCGGCCAATCTTCCTCAAGGTCCAGACTCTCCGGACCATGAGCCGTTAACTACGCAGAAGACTAGGCCGTCTTGCTGGCATTCCTCAATGTTCCTTCGGCCCCCGGTGGTTGCAGCCAAAGCTCGCAGGCATTCACCATATTCCATGTCGCACTGTTCCTACTTGTCGCCAAGATTCCCCCACAACAGTACAGTCAACATACGTCAATCCGGGGCTCGACCAGGACGAGATCTGGAACCAGTTCCCTACACGCACGCTCGTCACTTGGGACACTGCCATGTCCGGTTGACAGCAAATGAAGCCTTAGCACCACACAAACGTCACTACATATTCGTCAAAGTTACAGACGACGAGTTCGAACAGGCACTGGCCCTGACTATGTTATTCGACCCGTCGTATTTGTCACAGAGGCCCGTCATCGAAAGGTTCCTTACCTCTTGTTTGTCTTGTGGAGTTACCACTGCTCGAGAGATCACGCGGTCCAAACATTGCTTGCCCAGCGAACAAGGGCGCAAAAACCCAGGGCATCAGCATGTTGAGGCACTAAGCAACTTCTGGAATGGAGATTCGGGACTAGGATTGGGATTCGTCTTTGCGCGTTCGATAGTAATCACGGCTTCGTTGATATGCCTTGGAGTGTGGGCGAGAATTTGTTCCCTAGCCTTTTGGTTGTAATCAACTCGAGAAGGAATGCACCCCATTGCATCTTTACGCATGTATAGATGCTTAGATGAGCAAAGTGACTCGGGTGTATATGGACTGGGGTTCTTATGTGATGAGCCGACACTGTAATACTGCCAAAGTGGATTTTCCGTTCCATTAGAATTTTTAAGGTTTGACAGCTTTAGCGACAGTGCCAAGAATTGATAGATCCCCGCTAACTCTGGGCAGTGCAGTTGCTCTCTGCCACGTTGGTCCGCCTCGTTCAACGACTCAGACTACTCGAAGGATAACATTGCGTGCCACCTCCTCAACCAACAGCAGACGGCCTGTTGTACCTACATCATCAATCTTCACTCCTGGCGCGAAGGATTCTGGAAAGACCAGCGCTACTGCTGCCATGCGGCGTAGCAGCGGTTCCACCACCTACGCTTTGGGACATATCACAGCATGGCTCGAAACCTTGACGCCTTCGCTCGCGGAAGAAGGAGGGTTGGCGAGCACAACGTCGCAAATTGATTCGCTTGGCTGATGAGCGGGCACCAAGCTCCTCGGGCGGTGATGAGCTGAACAGTTAGCGGAAAGCCAACATTTGAGCTTTTCGGCGTCTACGGAGAGCGTGAAACAGCCGGTGGTGGGCGGTATCCTTTTCACTGCCTCCTCGAGCGTGAACTTGTAGATCTGAACGAATCTATTCTTGCCCGCGTCATGTTTCTTCACGCGGCTCCGTCTTCGCTCCTCTAGAGCCGTGCAGCGAGTCTTCTCTCCTGCTGCCCGACATCTCTCCTCCCCTCTGACCGATTCCCCTGCTCTGCGATCCTTCTCATCAGAACATTGCCCATCCCTCCGCATCCATCAATAATGTTTGCCGTCACTCTCCTCCTCCTGACCCTCTACTCCCCCCTCCTCCTCCTCGCCCAACAAGTCTGCTACTATCCCGATGGCACGGAAGCAACAGCCGACACACCATGCAACAGCTCGGCGTCGAACACCCCGACCGACGCTTCCTCGTGCTGCCACGACAGCTCAAACTCCTACTGCCAAGACAACAACCTCTGCACCTGGAACGGAGCCATGTACCGGGGCGCATGCACGGACAAGTCATGGAAGAGCCCAAACTGCCCCCAGCAGTGTACCGAAGGTTCCACACCCCCCCCCCTCCTTCCCTCCTCCTTTAACAACAACTGACACTCCCCTCCCCAGCTCAACGCAACACAGCCATGAACATCTTCCCCTGCCCCGCCACCGGCGTCTGGGAATGCGAACGCACCAGCGCCTGCGCCTCCAACTTCACCCTCCCCAACTTCGGCCTCCTCCTGCGCGACTCCCAGCTCCCGGGCGCCCAACCCGACGGCATCGGGCTCGCCGACCCCTCCGCCTCCTCCTCCTCCTCCGCCGCGACGGCGACCGTGACCGTGACCGCCGGGGGCGCGGCCTCGTCCTCCACCCCGACGGCGACGGCGACCGCGTCGACGGGCTCCGACGCCTTGGCCGTGGGCCTCGGCGTCGGGATACCGCTCGGGGCGCTCCTGGTGGCGTGCGTCGCGCTGCTGGTCCGGCAGCAGCGGAGGTTGAAAGCGGAGAGGGCGGTGGCGGCGCCGTTGGGGGGCTTCCCGGAGGGGAAGGGCGGGGGCTACAAGGGGCGGGAGCCGGGGACGTACGGCGCGCAGGAGTTGCCGGGGCAGGGGGCGGTGCCGGAGCTGAGCGAGAACAAGAACCGTGTCCATGAGTTGGGGGGGAACTATATGCCCGGGTCGCCGCCGCCGCCGCCGCCGTTGTCGAAATAGTCGGTGGGGGCAGGGTGCGCGGCGGGGTTCGGTTGTGGTGGTAGGGTCATGGCTTGGGAGCGGTGAAGTGGGAGCCTGTTCGGTGTGGAATGAGTGTATATACTGTATATAAAGTTTCCGTACAATCCCGTCAATCTTTCTGGCGCCATGATCATCGAGCTCCAGAAGTTTGGTGTGTGCTTCGATGGATTTCATAATCAAACACGGCGTCACCCCACCGTCAATCCCACACAGGTGTAATACAGACACTGAACGCCTATCGAAGGATGGACTCCCGTAACAACATGGGGTATCTAGTACGGTCAAAGTCGCCTATGCCAATAATGCACGAACCGAACCGGGAGACCGGCAAAAGAGCGCTTCGAACGTAATGCAAGCAATCAATGCTTCAAAACCCCAACGCCCCTACGACACTGGCTCTTGCAGTCAAGGGAATCTCCGCCACACTGGCAGCGACATGCATCTCTTGGAGCCGAAACAGCCAGGGATCAGTGCTATGATCCGTACAGCGCCAAAGTATCGAGAGCATTCAAGGGATCGCCCCGGAAGCCAACTTAGCATCCTGATACGTCGGCAACTGACCACTCAAATCACCATACGTCGGAGCCGCCATCTCCAGCTCCTGCGTAGCCATCGGGGATGCGTAGTCCGCTGCCAAAAGGTCGAATTTGTAGGACGCGAACTCGGCCTTGAACGTCTTCTGCGCACAATCGACAGAGAGCTTGACGGCTAGTCCTAGCACATTTCGGAGTCAGCATTCTCATTCGTTCATGAAAATCTGAGTAATGACATGTTTGGGGAGTGAGGAAGGGTGCTAGATTGAGTAAAATGTTCCTTCAGCATGTCTCAGGACTCAGAACGCAATCTCGAACAGGAAGAGACAGCTCCGAAAAGTGCCTTACTGTATGTGCGTCTGATATTGAACGTGCTGAATGTAGGTTTCTGGTGCCAGGGGACCTTGATCCGCATTAATTTCTGCAGGTCCATGGACTCGGTTACCGGTGGTGCCTTGTCCATATCTGCAGAGTAGTCGATCGACGCGATGTGGAACTCGTCACTCCAGTCCCTTTGCTCATCGCCTTCGCGGAACATTTCGTCGCGGATGCATTGGATGTAGGTGTTGGCTTGCAGCTCTACGATGCATTTCCGTAGCGTCACTATCGGGTGTGATTGTGTTGTGGATGCTTCAATGTCGTGCTCCAATCTGAGTATTAGAGGGAGTGAGTGGGCCAGAATTCCAACTTTGGGGAGGAGCATATGCAATTTAAACACCGCGACGGGAAGCTTGGACGTGCGGATGGACTGAAGCTTTTCCTTGAAGGTGATAGGTCCATTTTCGTGACCGGGCTGGAGTCGAAGACTGTAGCAGGCTATTGTTTGACCCTTTTCGATGAAATCCGGTTTGAAGGTTTCGATGTCTCTGGTCGTGATAAAATCGAGCGTCTTTTCGGTTTTTAGGTCTCCCAGGGAAAAGATCTTCGTTCTATTGCCGATGAGGGACGCTTCGAGTTCGTATTTGACGAAGCACTCGCCTCGCCAATTTGAATAGAAGCTGTGCTTGTCATTGGCGAAGGAGGGAGGTAAACTTTGTTGAGGATTGATGTCGAAAAGGCCATGGCGCTGCTTGAACGGATCGGCGCCGCGGGCCACACAGCGGGGTGGGAATGTGAAGCTGAATGGCCAACTGTGCCCATTGGTTTTCATGGTGTTGGGACCCTTGAAGAGAACCTGTCTGTACTCCAGTAGAGGGGCTCTTCCTCTGTAAGTCGAACTACTGTTATTGCCATTCCTCCGTACCACCTTGGTTTTGCATCTGCCGACAAGGCTTATCGTGATGATCTCGACATCAATGTCTACATCCCCATGCAGGGAGACGGTGCCTGAAATTGTTGCGCCAGCCCTGCACTTGGTGTTCGGTATATTGATCCGGATCGACATTGTGGGACGCGATAAGGGATATGTGTCCTAGGATGAAGCGGGAAAAATTCACCAGACCCTGGACCTAGATTGATAGTGAGAAAGGCAATTATGCTGAAGGGAAAGTTCATAATGATAGAAGAGGTGTGGCAGAGCATCGTAATGTGAATTTAGGCAGAACCCAACGAAATCTCAAGTTTTAGATATGTAAAGAGGAAGAAAACTACTTGGCGCATACTCCGTGCAGTGCAACAATAATAGTACAAAGGCGCTCCGGATCATTCTCGTAGCCTACCACATGAGCCTGGGTAGGCGCGTTGTTGTATGAGATTGCAGTGCTGCACATTATTATTACTATTTTTTTTTCCTTTTCCCCACGTTGAGGTCAAAGCGGCTGAATCAGAAATGGTTACGTGCAGCCCGAGCTGCAAGTTTGACAGCTCGATGGCGCTATATCGAAAGACTCGGAATGAAAATTGAGCCAGACGGAAGAAGACGAGGAATGATTCCACGTATCAGATGAAGTGAAATGATTTCTATGTCGCGAAGGAAGTAACAAAGGGTCAAAGCGCAAGATTTTCTTGAAGGTGACGGGACGGGACTGACCTGAACAGGCGTACCAGAGTGATGGCCCTAAGTTTTTCTTTTGATTGTTTGGACTTTGAAGCGCCGGTTGATGCAGCTAGCTCAATGATCGATGATGCCGCGCGTTGATAAATGATAATGATACTATCATACGCTCAATGCCCTGCTTCTCACATGGTGCCGGGGGGGAGGAACTGGGGGAGAATGACTCTCGCACAAAGATTAATTCATGCAGGAGGCAGAAATGGGCAGGCTACTTCTTTGACAGAGTGCTGCTAAAAGCCTAATACTATGAGGGGTATGTACTGTATGAGCGTACTTTATCTTAGCGAATAGTGGGGCCTGGATTAAAGTGGTACCTTGTCTTAGTGCCCGCTCAGGCTAATAGCCGAGGTAGCCAGATTCCGTTAACACTTCAGAGATCTGAATACTCTAGCATCATTATATATCCCGGTAACCTGTCCTGTAGGATCCAAGTCATGCTCGTCTTAAGCCAGTAAGAAATCAATCCGACATTCGGCTCCTGTACGGGTCCTCTTGGCTGCCGTAGCTGATCCTTGGGAATTGCGAAATAGGAACATGAGGTGGGCATATTTTGCACGTCTCGGTTAGGGATGACCAGCCCTTGAATTTTTGGAAGTCTTGGCATGTAATTTTGCTGAAATTTCAGAAATGATTGAAGTGATGAAATACATTAACGCGATTAGATAACTCGCTAATGTTCTGATAGGATAGAAAAGTGGTAATATGGCCGGACTTGGTTACTAAGCATAGTCAACTAATAAATCATCTTGAATCTGCCCAGTAAGTGGGTCTTGGCGTACTTGACTATGAAATTCATGAAATCGAGCTAAATCGACTAATTACTGCAATTTCAGTATCGATACATGTTTTTATGAAATTTGGCATCCCCAGTCTCGGTGCAAGGCTTGTGGGTGCGTGCATAACGTGGGGGAATGGCAGGATCAAAAGAGGCCAATCGAGTAGCTGGAGCAGAGCATCCCTCAGGTATCTCCTGATGCCTATGCCTGTGCCTGCCTTAGTCCCTAGTTTCCCTTGCTAATTAGCCTAGCCATTCAAAACGTGCCTGTACTGTAGGCTGTACTGTAGGCGGTAGGCTGTAGGCTGTAGGCGGTAGGCTGTCGCTCAGGGTTTGCTGCCAAATTATCGGAACGAATTGATTAATTAACTGGATCACCCTCGCTTGCAAGGCGCCAAAAACTGACTGTTGTAAAGTACGAGCCGGTCGTCTAGCTCGGGGTGGCGAAGATCGTCATCTTTGTTGGCCTTGACCTAATCCTTTGGCTGACTTCTCCCCCGCCTTTTTGACAGAAGACACCCACACCTTTCTCGATTGCGAATCAAACCTGAGACACGGTTGGATTCATTACTGCATGAACCCTGAATGTTGTTCAAAAGGTAAAACTGATAACTGAAGTACCTTACAAGTCCAAAGGTCCTTCAACTTCACGGGTTGCAAATAATACAGGAATTGGTGTTCTCGGATCGACAGTAATCATCAAATGGGCGGCTGAGGATTCTGCTGCTGATGACGATGATGATGATGATAGTGATGCTACTCCTTGGAAAATCCCATCTGCCAGCTAGCATCAAGCAATGATAACGCTTGACGGCAAGATAGAGGGGTATGTGGTTCTTGTTGGTGACTGTATGCCACCGTACTCGACTGAAGTCCACTTTCACGCATAATTTCAGGCAAGATGATGCACTGCGAAGCTACTAATGTCGCAATGCATTCATGCGACGCTGCGACGTTTTTACAGCGCAAAGCACATCAATCCTGGGGTTCATGAATTGCATCATAGTCAGTAAATGCAGATTGCATGGGCTAGAGGTAGTCAGCTCTCGTGGAGTAGATGAATTAATTGTCTTACTCGTAACAAATGCTATCACTTGGAGGCCCAACCAGGCTCGAGCATAGAAGCCCAGTCGTCCACGGTAATTGGTCTTGTTATCATTACCGGGTCTCGACTCCTAACCGATCATGCATCTCTCGAAACGCCTCATTGTAAGAGAGTCCTGCCGAGTAGTGCAGGCCACGAAAACATTCCGAAATCATCACTCTACCTTGCCGCTTCCTGCTGCTGCTTACATGTGGTTGAACGAAGGAATATCTACTGGGATGGGATTGTGAGCACGTCCTGAAGGCATACGAGTGGTCGGCTGACTTGCATTTCCTAATAATCCACTACCTACTTGCTCAGACAATTCACCCGTGCATTCTTTCCATTAAATCTCAGGACCCCACCGAATCCTTTGAGGGGGCGGACGCAGGACATATGCACCTTTCTCCTAGCTTTGTCCGATGGTTGCAGCAATCGAGCATTAGCCCTTAGCCGCTTGGGGACTTTTTTTCATTTTTCGAGGAATTGGAGCTCAGCGGTTTGAATGGACCCCTGTTGGACTTGGCGTCGGCTGGGCAGTCGTCCCAACCTACGCCCAAAACTGCCAAGTTCATCCGCTGATTTTCGGGGGCTTTAGCTCCAGGGCTGCAAGCCAAAAAAGAACATCAGCAAATTCCCTTAGCGTCGCACACCATCTTGCCCTCATGATCATTCGCCAGAAGTTTTGGGGGGGGGTCTCATGCATCTTGCATTGACCACTCTCTCAAGCGGCCTGCTGCATGAGTGAGCCATTATTATAGAAGCCTGTTGTTGCCTCTTTTCATTCCTTTCTTTTTACTTTTTTCCTCCAATGCCCTTGACAACCATCGAGACATGGGCCTGACTCTCCACTCCCATTCTTCCTGCGTTGTTTCCATCCTCCACATACCGTCCATGTCATAGTCACCCAACATCCACCGGACCTTGCGTGATCTGACTCATTGGCCTTGCCTCTTCTTACGGAATCCTTCTTACCGTAATCATCTACTTCTGTTCTTTAATACTCGACGTCGTCAGTCCTTTGACAGACCGGCTCTTCCAGTCTTTCAGCTTCAGTCAATCCCTCTCGCACCCTCTCACAGTCATCGCCCACGACTGTCATCAAGCAATCTTCTTCCAAACCTTCCACCATGGAGCTCAACTGGGCCCCCGATCACTGTCTCGCTTGTGACAAGCAGACCGAGTGTGAGACCTACTGCTCTCAGTCCTGCCGCCTCGCAGATCTCGAGAAATCTGCAAATTGGTCAGGTTCCACCTCGCCAACCACACCAAGCTGGACCTCGTCCGACTCCAACAGAGGATCAGGCTTCTACCTATCACCCGCCTTCAACTTTGCTGCCTACAAAACCACTCAGACAACGCCTAACTGGCCCACTTCTCCACAAACATCGTACTTTTCCACCACCACCACCACCACCTCCTCTACAACCCAGAATGCTCCCTCACGGACATTGTCGCCCTCTTCATCCCGCTCCTCGCTCACCTCTACCACCACCACTTCGAGCACCTCATCACATCAAACCCCACTTTCAGAACAAGCCCGCAGCGAGCTTCGCGGCTACACGAATTCTTTCGATAGTACACGCAATTGGAGGAGGCGGATGACTTGGTCATGATTTTTCATCTACATACCGTTCTCGCATGTCTACGGACAATCCAGCCCACAGCGGCACCGGGCGCTCTACACGTCTTTCCATAACGCAAATTGCGGCGCAGCATAGCAAGCAGTCGGCCTTTTGTATACCAAAAGCAATAAGCAAGCACTTATCATTGTACGCATTAGACAAGGAGGATAGGAGTCAGTCATATCTCTTCTCCGGTGGAGTTATAAATGACGGAGGGATTGCAACTTGCAAATCAATGAGCACAATTTAAGGGTTGGCGAGGGGATTTTTAGGGATGCATATGCAGAGGGTGGTCTAGCACTTCTTCAATTCAAATACCCCAAACGTCATAGATGTACATTTCACACCACGATCAACCACTCATACAGAAATACATCTCAGTAACTAACCAATTGCTCTACGCGACGTGTCTCCGCAACGTCCAAAACTCTCATTTCCATGGTATTCAACAGCCCAGCGGAGATCGTTCCACCCTCTGCATTTCCACCACAATCGCACCAACCAACGCGGGAAACCCCAGAAGAAAAAAACCAAAATCCAGACCCCCACCAATGCACGTTTGCCAACCGTCGCGACGCAGCATTTGCAGATCCACCAAACTCAAACCGAAAACCACTCCGCGAAAACCCTTTTTTCTTCCCTCTAGGAAAGCATGATGGGCAATAAAGCCGCCGGGAAAAGACGGCAGCACCCACAGCCTGCCACACGCCCGTCCATCGATCGCTGGTTCAAGTACCCTCGCAAATCTCTACTCCTCGATTCGTTCCGCGGTACCAAACCCCCCGGTTCCGTATAGGTACTCCACATTATTATGTGTGTTTGCATTTTTTTAAAAAAAATCCTTTTGGTACTTGACTAGCCCTATGTTACTCTCGAGTAGCACACACACACACACACACACGCACTACCTACCTCAATTCCAACAAAAAACAACAAATCTACCCTATCGCCCCACGCCATCTGTGTAATTAAATGAATCTGCACCTTCCCCCCCCCCTTCTTTCGGCTCTAGAGTACCTAGGAGAAAGAAAGAGCAGGAAGTACCTTGAGATCGACCGGCGTTTGTTGCTACTAATGCACAGCATGACGGAGCATCCGCTTCGATAGGTTGGAGATCCCCACATTTTTTGCCATCTTTTTGGGCGGTGTTGGCCGCCAAGAGATCTGGGCCAGGGGGAGGTGCGGATGCAGTGGGTATCTTACTTACCGGTATCGCGGAGATTTCGTTGGTGGCTTCGGCGTTGGGGGGGGGGCGGCGTCATTTTCTTGTTTTCTCCCTCTTTTTGTTTTTCAATCTGCTGCTAGCTTTTTCGAGCCTGGCTTGGATGGATCTCGTTCTCGTTTCCTCGTTTCCTACTCTTCAGCTTGCGTGTCAGGGCGCCGAGGTGCTTTCTACGTCTCTCTGTCGTTGTTTGGCCCTTTCAATGAGCCATGATTACGATTGTTACGATCCACAAGTACCACTATTATAATCATCGTTCGCAGCACCTACTCCTACTCCTCCCCCCTCCAGAACCGATCCTCGACTCTCGAAGATCACGACCCCGAGGTACGGAGTTACCTACATCACTAGCCAACCTCATGCAAAGCGCACGAGACTCTCTATTCCCCCCGAAATAGGTCCGTCAGCGACCAAAAAAAACCAAAACAGGGATCCCCAACCAAACCCTCCCACGCATCCAAACGGCCTCTAACACCGTCTATCCGAGCCTTCCGGTCCTCGTCCCCTGCGCAAGCAAGGAAAATTTGGCTTGGTTTTTTAATTCCCCTCCTCCTAACGCAAATAACTTACCCACGTAAGGACCGAGCGCTCGCTCGCTCAGGGGCGGGGGGGGGGAAGTTCGAAAAAAATTAGAAAAATTAGAAAAATGCACTAAGCTAGCTCGCGGGGAAAATCAAATGGAAAACGGGGTTACACAGATCCCCATCGGACCAATCGTTTGTGGGTTGTGGCGCTGAACCCGTTTCCGTCAGGGGTGTGTGGGAGGGGATCTACGGTCAGATCGGATGGTTGGGCTGACCGCAGATGATCAAGATCGGAGCTTTTGAAGAGTGAGCTTAGGCAAGTCAGGTAAGGGTATGCTGACGCAGCGGACATCGGAAGAAAGAATGCACCAGCGGTGAATCGGAGGATGGATGGCACGTGGCGGTGAAGGCGAGGAAGGGAAGGGAATCTTTCCTGCAAGGGCATCATCCATGATCTTTACATTCCAAGACATTTTCGCCGGACCAGGCTCCGCGTGTTCACAAAGGACTCGTGTGACGTGAGATGCGAGGCAAAACACGTCATGGGTAATGGGAGACTCCGTTACATTTAGTGTCTGTCCGTCTACCAGAGCTCGCATATCCAAGCGCTAAAAGGACACCGAAAGGCTTTTGGCCTCAACTTCATTCCTGGCCGCAGAGCAAAGCCTCAATGTTCAAATCATCATGCTCCGTCGCCGACTCGCAGCCCGGTCTCCTCTGCCTACCGCAGCCTCTGCACTTTCAGCGCCAAGCTCAAGCACACTTCTCGTCCCTGACATCTGTCCCTCTTCTGTCTCTGTTCTCTCTGCGGGTTGTGCCACAACGAGTGTCTCTCTTCGTCGATCTCCTCGTCTGGATATCATGATAGAGCCTTTTCCTGGCTCAGAGGATGCCGGCACGCTGGAATGTCTTCTGGATGATCTCGTCGTCTTGGCTAGCTCTTCTTGGCCTGCATCACTGGCATTCATGCCGCTCGGCTCGACAGGTGAGCTGCCTGTGAAATCGTAGATACTCATCCTTTCTGTTGGCTCTCTTGTTTGCTCTCCCTTTCCGATATCCCCACTGGGCTCTTCTTCCTCTTCTCCTCGCCTTTTCAGTCTTTGAGTTCCAGCTGTAAGTGCTGCAATTGCGGACGCAGCGCCGGATGTTAGCTTCATGGGGTCAATCACGCCCTCTTGAAGTGCGGGCACAATTGTACGCCTTCGTCGTTCAGTGATGACGCTGGCCGGCAAGTCTGCCGCTCCAATTTTATTACCAAGCGGACTGGTGGGCTCTGGTCTCCTTCTCTGGTCCGTTTCGGGAGCATTCGTATTCCATGTAGGTAATGCATCTGCATCTGCATCTTCTTCTTGCTTGATGAGAACCGGGTTTGACGCATCATTTTCCGCTTTTGCCATCCGTGCTCGCTCCTCCGCCCCAACAGCATCCACGAGCTCTTTCGTTGGTCGGCGCATCTTGTCGCGGAGGTTCGGCTGAGCGTAATTAACACTACCTCTTGGACGCCGTGAAGCTCGACCAAACGATCCTGTACCTGTGTCTGGTCCAAGGTCGGGCGGTGGAGGCGTGTCTCGCGAATCGGGTCGTGCGGTTGAAGGTCCCGGGGAGCCAGGCGAGAAGAGGTCGGACGGTGGTGCTGGCGTCTCCGGAGGGGCTTCGAGAGGCTTCCTGACTTCAGCGCCTTTGATGGCCGTCTCTATGTCTTTGGTGATGCCTGGGTTTCTGGGTCGGCCTTTGTCCTTTGGTCGACTTCGTTCTCGAGCAATTTTCGCCAAATCATCCTTGGCTTCTGCGACCTTGTCCTTGCTGGTGCGGCTTGCTTTGAATGGCGAGTTCGTTGGGTCAGTGTTCACACTCTCTGCATCATCGTTAGAAATTCCTCAATTTGGAATCATTTGCAAGACTTACTTGGCCCGAGAGCTTTCCGACCAGTTGCCGTGACCGTTGCAGATGCTCCAGATGCCTTGTCTTTGTAGTCTTTGCCGGTAATGCTCGGTATCGCAGCTTGAGAGGCTTTATCACTAGCTGCCTTGGTGGCTCTGCTGATGATTGGCTTTGTATTATCATTGTCATGGATCCGGAATTCTGAACCTCTGCGGTTGGATTGGAAGTCTTGTTTCCCGGACTCGTCTACTACGGCGGGTTCGCCGTCGTCGTCACGAATGCTAAGCTTTCGCTTTGCGCCGGATTTCAGAGGCTGACTCATTGGCATGGCTGTACCTATGGATGCTGTGCTCTTAGTGAAATTCACGTTGGTGTTCTTCACGTCCACATCTCTTCGATGCGAGCTTTCCCGTCTCTTTCTTCGAGTCTCAAGATTGGCTGAAAGCTTTGGCTGCGTTTCCATGGTACTTTCAGCTGATCCTTCGGCGGATGATCGGTCTTGTGTGGGATCAAACTTGATCGGATCTCCTTCCTCGAAATGCGCAACAGGTGGCGGCCCAAGGTCTGGTGAATCGGTAGCGTTCGCAGGGTCCGCAAAGATATCAAGCAACTCTTCAGCACTGCATAGTGTCAGCATTGAGGTACCAGATGCGCAGGAATACATACTCCATTGTTCGTCTTGGGAAGTACTTATCCTCGACGATTGGCGGTAGTCGACCATCTGCACCTCCAGTGACCTCTGAAAGCGTGAGGACATTCTTCCAGTTCCTTTGATCCGGAGATCTTTTTGGTGAGCTCCGGTTAAGTGATCTCCTCCTTTGGGCACGTGAACTGTCGACATTCTTCTCGACGTTTCCCAGCTCTTGAACCAATCCTCCTAACTCTGCCAACTTTTTCTCCAATTTGCCCTTCACAATGTCAACACCCTCTAGCACCGCTCGTCCTGCAAATTTCTCGGCTTCATAATGTAGCTTGATAATCTGCTCTCGTAGGGATACATTTTCAGACAGTAGTCGAGTGACTTCGCTTTCGAGGTTTCGTATGCGGAGGGATTGAGTCGAATTTGCTCTTCATAGGTCAGACCTCGTAATGGCAAGGATAGCAGATAGCGAACCTTGCAATCTCTCGATTTTGGCGAACGAACCGACGTTTCACTGTCTATAGTCAGCGTATGAAGAGGTTATCTGTGGTGTAACCTACATGCATCTATTGACTCGACCGAAGGTTGTGGAGGCTCGTTCAGTCGAGCCATGGATTGGGTATCCTCCAGGGTTTCTGTGCTCTAGTAGTCGTCGTAGTTTGACACACTTCCTCAGAATGTCGAGTCATCAGTCATTATCGAACATTTTGATGTTTGGAGAAAATGTAAACAATGTCGGAGACTAAGATTTGTTCCCGCCGCTAGCGGCTTCATTCAGCCCTGTCGCGTGGATCCAATTCCTCTCCTTTATTCGAAGCAGCACAACAGGAAAGCCATTGTTGCTTACCTTATAAGATATCGAACAAGATAAACCTAGCAGGATCACACTAAATTGCTTGTTATTCGAACTTGAGCCACCGAGCCATGCCCTACCAACGACCCCCACAGCCAACCCCGGGCCTACGGCATCCGTCTATGGGGCCTCACGACTCTGCATCAACAGGACAATCTCGAATGCTGGTGGCAAGAATCAACGAAAAGAAGGCAGAGCTAGAGAGTCTCAAACAATTGCGGGATTTGAGTGGAGGACTTGCAGCGCAGATGCAGGCGCTAGAAGAAAAGCTATCTACGTTGTCAGAGGGGACAGAAGGTAGGACTCCCCGAGTAGATGGTTTTTGCCAAAATCTGATAACGGGTACGCAACAGCGGTGGCAGTAGTCCTATCCAATTGGCACAATGTTCTAAGAGCGATCAACATGGCATCAAGTAGGCACCCATGTCAATCCACTTTAGCCACTGCCATGCTGACGTACGGCTAGTGAAAGTACCGAAGCCCAGCACAGCCGAATACGAAGAGAAGCCCGGCGATAATCCTGAAATACCTCTGCCTCAGACCATGGTGCGCATACCGATTGAGTCCGAGTCGACCCCGGAATGGCACAAGGAAGAGTAACCAAGGATGAAATAATGCCACAACTCCAGCGGTTCGTGCCATGCGAGCCCACGGTCATTCGGATCCGCACCCTTACTTTGTCACTTGCAGCGGAGTGACACTCCTATGAGCAAACGCTTGGGAGAAGTGACTGTGCTAGCGCGAGCGCGCACGCGCGTAAAGAGGTCGCGCTAGACTCGGGTCTAGCCGGTTGCTATGTAAACATTCCCAAATACCCTCGAGTCGCGCATCAGACGTGCTATCAATACCGCTGCATTGACTACAAGAAAGAGATTCTTCGCTCACAGTGGAAGCCGCTCAGGCTTTTTTGCAACCGTAGTATCATTACCCTTCCATAGCTTACAACCATGCCTCGTGTTACTCGCGCCGCGCTGCGCTCTATGGAGCAACAGGATGAATCAGATGTCGCATCCTCAACACCTTTACCACAGACACCGATTAAAGGTCGTGTCCCTCTTGGTGAAATTGCGGGCAACAAAGGTACCGAAGGCGAAGAGACCAACACTTCTGAAGAACAAGTGGCGCCAGCGAAGAAGGGAAATGGGAAAGGAAAGAAAGGAAATACTGCAAAGAAAATTAATGAACAAATGAGGGAGGAGGCTGAAGAAGTGCGTGTTGAGGTCTTGGAAGATGAGGACCAGAGCATACACAGCTCTGCAGCCAAAGAAGCTTGCCGAGATCTCTTGCAGGATGGCTCCCAGAGTATGTTCCATGGGACACCAGCTTCCAGTTGTGCGGCCACTGATTCATGTCGGACTAGATACACACGAAATTGTTATCGATAATGACCGACCACAGACCCCACCGTCCGCTGCCGCCAACACAGCTAGCCGACAATTGTCACCAAAACCTACAACACCACACTTCGATTCTGAAATGCAGAAACTTGATGATATGACAATGCCGGAGAGCAATGAAGAGAAAGAAGACTCCTTTGTAGCAAAAATTGAGTCTCGAACACCTCTCAAGATGACAACCAGTGAGGAAATGGATATGCTGCCAACCGAGGATTACAACCAAGATGATTCGTTTGTGGAGCAGATTAGGACTCGGACTCCTGGCAAACGCATGTCACGTATCGAAGACTCCGTTGAAGCCTTAGATGCTCTTGAGGAAGAGATCGAAAAGGTTGGGGGATTGATCCCTGCAAGCACCGACGGCGTACAGTCCCTCAAATCGAAGAAGCAAGCAAAGGCTCGGTCGACTACTATGGAGAAGAAAGTTAGCGGTTCGGTAAGAATGAAGAAGGGCACAGGTGTCCAAAAGAAAATCGCAACGGGGAGACCAAGCACAGCTGCCGGGCGAGCGACGTCAGATCCATCGGCTGGAGCCCCCAACACGAAAGCACGATCGAGCGCGAGTCTTACCGAAGAGAAGCCTGGAGTCACACTCCCGAATCCTGCTTCTGCTCGGAGGATGGGCCAGCCCACGCCCCAAGCTACCTTGAAGAAACGTATCAGCTCCGTCCACAAAGCACCCTTTCAGCCCCACAAATCTACGAAGCCGCCTACTCGCTCCAACTTTGAGCTTCCTGGGGATGCGTTTGCACGTAAACTTAAAGAGCAACGCGAGGAGCGGTTGAAGCGCGAAGAGGCAGAGGTACCCAAGCCACGAGTGTTCAAGGCTCGTCCTGTACGTATTAGCCATGCGCCTGAGGTCAAACTCACAGCAGCAACCAAGGCTCGCCTCAGCATGGCAAAAGGAGAGCCAGTCAGTGTCCGTGAACCCAGCAATGGCGGCGCCAAATCTAGGCCTGTCACGCGTCCTAGTGCCATGGCTACCGCCAGTCCATCCAAACGCCTTTCGACACTTTCAGTCGCCAAAAATTCTACCCAACCCACAGCCAACGGCTCGACACAGCCATCCGCCAATGGCTCCACTCGCCTTGCCCGCGGTCCGTCTCTTAACCCCTCGATCACCGCTCGCGCTCCCAGTGCACTGGGTGCAAATCGTCCGGCGCTCACCGCAGACGAAAGTGCGCACCAGAAGCTGAAGGGCAGAGAGGTCTTTGGCAGAACTAAAGTCGAGATCATGGAACGTGAGAAAGCGAAAAGGGAGAAAGAGGATGCAGCAAGGAAGGCGAGAGCTGATGCAGCGGAACGTGGTAGGATAGCAAGTCGGGAATGGGCTGAGAAGCAGAAAGCGAGGAAGTTGGAAGCGGGAAAGGCGAACGAACAGGGAAAGGCTGTGGGAGCTTGAAAAGACAGGACCTGGGTGTTCCGGGGAAGATGAATCATGAAAGGGATTAGCATTTTCGATCTTAGCGTGGCTGTGTTTATGAGAGCTTTTCATCTTGCTGCCGATGGACGATCCCCTCTGCACTTCATCAAACAGGTATTCCAATTCTGGTTTCAGAGGAGAAGCTCATCACAGCATGCTTAATAGGTTTTTGGCTCAATTGATTATTGCACGTAAAGTTTCATCCAACTACCTATCAAATCCAGTTATTAGCCTTGGAGCTTGCTGTATGGTCCGGCACGTCAGAGGAGCTAAGAGATCTTAAGGGAGCGTACATTTACATATGGGTGTACGATCGAATTCTTCGATTACGACAACGGTCAACTACGTACGAGCGAAAATCGGATAACGAGACGCGTCAGATCGAGGGTTAACGCGTCCCCCTCGAAGAATTCAATATTATCGATATGACGGCGAGCCCCACCCCTCTCGGTCGGATAATACCTCCCCCCCCCCCTGATCGATAACTCTTCCCAAAAAAAAAAAAACACCCCCCCCCCCCCAAAAAAAAGGCCCCCCCAAAAAAAAAAAAAAAAAGGATTTTTAAAAAAAAAAAAAGACCAGACAAGAGAGCTGAATCTAATGTGCTTGGAAAATACCCCCTTGACAGCGGAGTTAGTGAGCAACAAGTGATGGCCGTACACCTCTCAGCCAGCTATCGACGTGTAAATAAGCCTTAATTAGATCTTATATCCCTACGGGAATCGAAGGAGAACTCAATTCGGGTATTCCCGGCTTCGATTTGACAAATGTCACTATTCTCTCTCTTACGTTCTATATATAATGGAGTACTAGGTATCTGAGGGTACATAGAACAGATAGGCTAAAGCTCGGCCCGAAGAAACGAGGAAAAAGCTTTAGGGTACATTGCAGAGTGTAATAATGTCTGGTTGCAATAGAGGCTTTAGAATTCCCAATATAATGTACATAGCCGTGGTTCTACGGGATCACGATTATCTGCCGTACCTTAAATAGGGTACGGATGCCGGATATAGCCGTAAGGCCGAGTGGGTAAAAACGGTTGCACTCTGGGCTACGCCTTTCAATGGGAAGGGGTACGAACAGAGGCACGGCCCTCCGATGTAGGAATTACACACACACACACACACCTATCAAATCCAGTTATTAGCCTTGGAGCTTGCTGTATTCGAAAGACACTGACGAAGTGACGAGATTAGAACTTTTCTTCGGTCACTTATTTGCCTCCATGGACTTTCTTTTAGCTGCTCCCCTTTGGAATTAAATAGAGGAACGATGCGCACAGAAGAGGATACCTGCCTGTACTCGAAACATCATCGACTGGACTATTTCAGCCTCGATCGGCGGACGGTCCAATATGTCGCCTAGGAACCCTCTTTTTACATGTCTCTCCGATGTGGCACTTACGTACCAAGGATTGACCTTTTCTGATCTTCCTTACTCGTATCCAATTACAATATTCAGTCTGGACGGCAGTCTTATGGCAGGTACGACATTCTCGAGAGAGGCTTCTCGGCGGTCTTTGAGTTCTCTTCAAAGAATGAACATCTTAAATTTATGATCAGCTTTCGCCTTCCCCTACAGGAAAAGGAACATTCTCGCAACCTACCGTCAGCATTTCTTATGTCATTCGAGCAAACAGGACCATCCTTAGACTTCTATTTCCCGTCAGAGCAACTAGCAACACCAGTTGTATCCCTACTAGTCCAAGTCCGACTAAATTGAACTTAGTCACTCGCGCATTCTTCAGTCATTACAATTTGGCAGCGACTCGAAGGATTGGAAAGAGTAGACATCTTTTAATATTGATGGACACGCTGCGTTACTTGGCGTATCACCGAGCAAGTCGTAATTGCTCTACATCAAAAGCGCCAGTGCACCATGGTACTCGTACACAGCCACACACTTAGCTCTGGAACCTCTAGTAGCGGCGGTCATGTTCAGCCACAGGCCGATTTACCGAGTCACCGATTCCCGTGAATGACGCTTCAGGGTCTTCCTCCTCTTGAACCATCGTACCGTACCTGAATCCATCAAAACACCATCAATCAATTAAAAAATCACATGTCAAGCAATGAGGACCCTCTCAGTTTGATCCACTTACACCACCATCAAATCTAATGAGCCAATACATATCCTCATTCCTCATCGATCCCGTCGTTCGCCAAGCCCGCAGGTTTTCCCGTTCCAATACTGAGTCCCCGCATCCTACAAATCTACGGCCATCTCTTACTAGCAATGAAGAGCCATCCTTTTCACACTTCGAATCTCCGGCGGCAGCAGCTACGGCAGTGCAGGAAGAGCCGCCTCATGTGAACATCGTGACCGATGTGAATCTCTTGACTACCATCACTGGTGATCCCGAAGTTGTCTCACCGACATCTGTCGAGGATAGAGATCATCATGCTTGGCCACGGCATGAACTGCCAAATTCGACTGCATTTCCTTTGGCAAATACAGACAACCTTGAGCATTCAGTGAATCCAATATCATATATTGTGACCGCTGCAGACGAGGTCTCAAATCCTCTACTCCATAGAGTACCTGATAGATTAAGGTCCACAACATCCTCGTTCAGCAATTCATCACGCTCCCTTATCGATGCAAACATGTCACCAGCAGATGGGTCCGACCAGTCGTCTAGAACAAACACACCGGATACTAGGGGTCGTGGTGATAGTGCCGGCAGTGGAGTTGGAGATAGATCTTTGCCAGAAGACGATGGAATGGGCCCTATGCGGAAGCGTATCATTGCAATACAAAGAACCGATAGCTCAAATGAGGAGAAGGCGAGATTGGTACATGGCCTGATGACGGAGAAGCACAATTCTTCACAACAAAGCCTACACGGACCTCACTTCCCTAGAGCGCATTCACCCGGAAGCCGTCGTAGCTCGGATCGACCGTGGACACCTTCTTCTCCCAAGTCAACTGAAAGCTTGAGGCAAACCTTATCACCGCCAACGTCATCATCATCGAACGGTGATGAGCCAAATCCTTTCCAGCTGTCACCTGATGACTTGAAACCTACATATTATCAGAAGCCACTCCCAGTCTTAAAAGATGGAGACCATGAAGGATCGTCAATGGAAATCGAGGAGGTGACGAAGGCTCTAGGATGTGAACATTATAAACGAAACATCAAATTACAATGTTCCGCTTGCAACCGATGGTATACTTGCCGCTTCTGCCATGATGCGGTAGAAGATCATATGCTCAACCGGAGGGAGACAAAGAATATGCTATGCATGCTTTGCGGCTGCGCACAACCGGCGTCGGAAGAGTGCGCGCTTTGTAGCGAGCGAGCGGCCTGGTATTACTGCGATGTGTGCAAGCTTTGGGATGACGATCCTGAGAAGAGTATATACCATTGCAATGATTGCGGCATATGTCGGGTGGGCAAGGGCCTAGGAAAAGATTTCTTCCACTGCAAAGTAAGTACATTGAAACCAGAGCCTTTGCTTTACTGGCTAAGAAATCTAGACGTGTTGTGTATGCATGTCCGTATCGATTCAAGACACCCATCGCTGCATCGAACGTTCCACTGACTGTGACTGCCCTATATGCGGCGAGTACATGTTCACGTCCCCTCAAACTGTGGTGTTCATGAAGTGCGGTCACAGCATACATCATCGATGCTATTACGAACACATGAAAAGTTCCTATAAGTGTCCGATCTGCAGTAGAAGTATTGTCAATATGGAGTGGCAATTCAGGCACCTGGAGCGAGCGATTGAAACTCAGCCGATGCCACCAGAATTTCAGGACACAAAAGCCTGGGTATACTGCAATGATTGCAGCGCAAAGACATCGGTCAAATACCATTGGCTCGGATTGAAATGCGCGGTGTAAGCGAATATTCAATCTTCAAGACCATGTACAAGAAGCTGACATCTTGAAGTTGCGACTCTTACAATACAGCGCAACTGCAGATTCTCGCTGGCCCAGATAGAGGTGGAGAGCCTGCACAAGCGCAGGATGCTCCTCAGAGCATTGCAGATCCCTCTATTGTCTCGAGGTCGAACTCTCGCGGGAGATCTAGGCAACCCACAACCATTTCGCGCCGGCCAACAACTTCCGCTCCGCCGTCAGGTAGCATCCAAAGTCTCCTCGAGAGTAGTGCATGGCCGAACCTACGGGACCGCAACGCACACTCTGTCGCTCCGGATACTGTACCTTTCGCGCAGCCAAGCCCGGCGGCTAGTAGTAGTGACGCCGACGACTCAATGGATACAGATGAAGACTGGGAGAGTGAAATGGAGTTTTGGGGCGGTGAAAGTCCCAGATCAAGACACACTTCTCCAACCCTAGATCATGAGATGGCTATTGGTGACGGCAGTGAAGAAGAAGATGGCGACGATAGCGCGGACGAAGATATGAGTGATGATGCAGAAGAGGATGAGGCTGATGAGTACAACCGAATGGACATTTTCGGACATCGGTAAGAGGATGACGACAGCACGGACTCAAGCATTTATGGTTACCTTCGAATATACCCCTGGGAAGGCAGGATGATTGCGGACTGCATTGGCGTAAAGCGTTATGTATATTCGTTGCAGAAAATATTGATGATTCGGATGTCGAGCATGCTTTGCTTTTGAAGTACTGAGTTCTCAAAACAATGGAGCGTCGATTGTCATTCATTCACTCAAGATATCTCATACAATCAGAACACTTGAAAGGCGCCTACCATGACCAGAAACAGATAGTACCGACCCCCTAATTCATCCCCCTAATAAAAACCTCCCTCATCCCCCTCAAAAATGCTCCCAAATCCCTGCTCTCATTCAATCGCTCGACACAAGTCTCCACCTCCCACTCCTCAACTTTCGGCCGGCACCCTATTACCCTGTATTCCCTCCTCTCCGTATCAAGCTCAAACCAGGCTTCCTTCTCCCAGTCCCGTTCATCTAGGTTGCTGAATACAAACTTGAGCCTATCCACCTGCCCGGCTCCCTCGATACTCAGTCCCAGGTACGTCTCCCAGAAATCCAGTTCGGGAACATTAAGTCGGGATTGGGCATCTATTTCTTTCGCATAGGCTTGTTGGGCAGAGCGTCGGGCGGCGATCTGCTTCTTGTACGAGCCTATTTCGGACTTCAAACGGTCCCGGTGTTGGGCGTGTGAATCGCGTTGTTGGATTATGGCTGCAATGGCCGATTGCATCTCTGCTGTTTCCACTTCCTGGGCCGAGAGAGCGGCAGCGTGGTGTGACGATTTCTGGGCCAGGATTTCGATGTCCTTGTGCTTCATGCGCTGGTCCTCTGCGTACTGTATCAGCGATCCCGCCCCTGCGGTAGAGAAAAGCGGTTTGATTTACCTTGTAGCTCGGCAACATTAATGCAAAATTGGTTTCGTTCCTCCAGGACCTGTCTGCGTCCTCTGGCAATGAACTCGTCGAATCGATCTGTGAAGCGTGCCATACGCTCGCGCAAGTCGTCGAAGCCGAAGGTGATGGCGGGCAGGCTGTCGGCCATTGAGGGCGCGTCTGCAGTGGAGAGTGGGGCGCGCATAGCGCTGGTGGAGAGAGATGGTTCGAAGAGAGTAGACATTCTTATGCGGCGTAATGAGTAGAGGATGTTGCGGAGGCTTTTGATGCTGTGGATCGAAAGGCGAAGATTATTATCCACCGTTTGTTTACTTTTCGCTAGTGCATAGCAACGCCCGCTACACCGCTTTGAGCTGTTATCAGATATCTATGCGCTGATTGGCGCTTGCCAAACTTTGGCAACCATTCACTTTCAATTCACGACCTGTTGAGAAGCGAGATCAGACCCTTTCCATATTCCTTACTACGAAAGTCAAGTTCGTTATGATCAATGTTCTTACTTTTAGGATTCACAGCTGGATCAAGGCTCGACGAAAACCCGGATGAGTGAGGCCCGCCCTCTTGACCTTAATTATGGTCATTTCGGCGAGCCTAGCTATGACTCCGAAAATCATGAATGGCACTTTCCTCGGCAGCCAGGCAGAACCCGAGAACTGAAGCTGATCGGACAACCAGTGAGAGCACTGCAGTCTCCCTTGCTTGGCCGTACCGCGCACATCCAGAGCGCTACCGAGCGCGCTCAAAACATCAAAGATATCACGCACCAATACCCCGAGCTGCTACCTGCCTCATCTCTACTCCCTGCATTGGCGCAAGTATCAGAGGTTATCGAAGACGTCACATCTAGCCATGATCCAACTGTGTCAGAGCTGCTGGCATTCGGAGAAGCAGTCGACTTAGACAACATAGGCCATAGGTCTGAAAGATTGCCCATTGCTGCTGTCGCGGGAGGTGATGCAGGGGAAGCGGTGAGGCTTGTACTGCTGAATCACGAGAAGCTGGGTTGGGAAGAAAGTAAAAACCTACGATTGAGTGCGTTCAGCGCCAAGGGCGGAGAAGAAGGATGGTGGTCTGGCAATGGTAGCCCTATACAACAATTGGTCTTTGGGGAAGCTGAGGGTCGACCGAGTTCTTGGCTTGCTGTTCGATGCCATGGTGCTGTGTCGGTGCTTCGACCTCAGTTACGGCGAACTGCTGATATGCTGCCGTTTGCCCACGCAGCCTCAAACCACAATCCTTCATCTCGTCTGAATGTCAATCATATTGTCACTTTACCGATCCACCAGGTTAATGACGCGCCATATTCTGATATTGCTTTCAATCCGTGGTACAACCAACAAATCGCAACCGTCGATCAAAAGGGTGGTTGGGCTCTCTGGGATATTGAGAAAAAGGAGAAGCAAGCCAGAGGGAAAAAGGTTTGGACAGTCCAAAAGATCCGGGACGGCGGGTTGCTCGGTGGCTTGCCTGAAGGGGAGACCCTTACGTCCAGCGTCGCAGACGGATGGGGTACAGTGCTATGGGCTGGTGACCTTTCTACAATCGTCGTCGCCCGTCGAAGGATGCTTGCGGTCTATGGTATTGCAGGCAAGCCGAGACGACTCGTTGCACCGAGCCTCGTATCGACGACGACCTCGGAGTGGATTCTCGATGTGAAGCGGAGTTCAAAAGACTCGACTCATGTCTTCGTGATAACTACATTCAGCATCTTCTGGCTGCAAATTGCTGGCTCTGCTGGGAACCGCAAAGGTGAAGAGGTGGCAGCGGGTGCGAAGTGCTTACTCTCCTGGCGTCATTTCAGAGACCCCGAAGACATCTCTCTGCGCTTGCGGGTTGCTGAAGACTCCGAGAGTGGGGACCGTGATGACGATAGAGAAAGTAGGTCATTCTGCATGTGCTCGTACATTTGCATTTGCTTATCATACTCCAGCAACCCTCGTCCTACTCTACTCTCGCTTGACTGGTCTGGCAAACGCCTTTACATTTCGGTATGCAAGGTCTCTCTCGAATTTAGCACCCTCCGCTTCAGATCTCTACCTCCTCCCGCTACCTAAAGATGCGCCGGATATCATGGCCTCAAGGGCAAACCATCATGGCTCGCACAGAAGCTCTAGGATCTCAGCAATAATTCTCAAGGCTATCAAATACGAGAGTCCCAAGGGCTCTATCGTATCTGGGCTGGGACAAACCTACTTGGAAAACGATGTAGCGTTCTACCAGCTCAGCTTACTCACTAACGACCTGGCCTTATCGGAGTGTCTGTACGCGGAGGTGCAGACCGATTTCAAAGCAGAATTATACCCGCCGAATAAAATCAGCCGCTCAGAAATTGCAAGAACTCCAGCAAAAGTTTTCAGCGACTTCTTTGTCCCCAATGGATTTGTGGATGGAGATTATGAAGACTCGCCACACAATGGTATTGCTGAGAAAGATTCAGACGTTGAGAGTCGGGCAAACCTTGCAATATCCAAAGAGGATCCTTGTACCTTAAACTTTGAGTGGCTGGAGAACGAGATCCATAGCACATTGACCGAAGCACCTCCCGCCGCGGCCTTCCACGAAGTTCTAGATCTCCTTCGAAATGAGGTAGAGGACAAGGCTGCATTAGGAGTTCCGACTATGGAGACGCTGTATGTAAAACTTTATGATCCAAGGAAGGCTTTCCGTACTCATGCTATCTTTATAGGCTTCGCATAGTGAATGCGAGCGTTTCAGTACTCGATTTAGACAAGGCGTCCGGTGACTTCATCGACTTCTTGGACGACATCAAACAGTTGACTTTTGAATGTGAGAGTGGCAAGAACACGGACGAAGAAAGACAATTGATGGTCTCGACTATATTGACACTTACGTTGCGGGCAGGTCTGGGTATCCGGAATACCGCTGAGCTGTCTTCGATCTACGAAACCCTGATCCAAACCTGGATAGTGCCGTTGTCACGTCGAATACCTGGCCGGGTACGAATTGCGTTGGAGAAGTTATTGAGAGACATGGCAGGCAACATCTGTCTTGCCAGCTATGCAATGCATATCGGCTTGGGGACGAGAAGCAAAGATGACGAGGATCAAACCCAAAGCTTGGAGGCTGGCGCACGGTTTGTGCTCCCCGTTAGGAGGCGAACATCAGCAACCAGCTTGGGCAAGGGCAAAGAACGCTCAGATGCAGTGCCTTCACCGCCACCAGCATCATCACAGATGTCCGAGGACGCTGGTTTCATGCCTTTATCTGCATTCGCGGCTCTACCAACACCTGAGCCGACGCCATCGCTACGGTCTCGAAGCTCTGTATCCTCTCTCGCAGGTTCGGAAGACCCAGCGAGCCAGCGACTACGGGTGTACGCAAGTTTGACACCCCAGCCAGCTCTGCCCGAAAAGTTGGCAAATCTTCTTGACCACTGGCAAGTCGGTGGTGATCCAGCCAAGTACGACTGGGAAGCAGCTCAGCAAGCCACTGTGACGGAAGACGAGAGCGAATATGATTCGCAAGGAAGGCAGCGTCGACGAGCAGAAAAGCGACCTAAGAGGCAAAGAGAGAATACCGCTGGACCAACATCCCAACCAACACCAAAACGACTTGGAGGCAGTCAACCTCAGCAAGGCCAGGATACTCAAGATATGCAGGGCAGTAGCCAGCAGACAGAGAGAGTGGTCACCATGAGCCAGGTCGAGTCTGGGAAGTTCGGTGGTCGTCCTGCTAAGAATAGGAAATTGAAGGTCAAAGCTAGACCTGCAGGCTTCAAGTGAATGGTTTGAGAGAGCACTGCGCTGGTCTTGAATGCACTTGTGCACGCTGCGGTTGCATGTGATTAGTTAGGGGTTGCCCGACTTTTGCACATCGCTCTTGCGCATATGAAAGCAAACACTTATTTTGCTTCATTTCATCAATCTTCGCACAAAGTCTTTTTGCGCATGCTGCCATTGCTCGTTCTTATGGGCACTTCTTTTTCGCCTGATCCTGTTGTCGAAATCTCTGGCCATGGGATGACGGCACAGCCTCTGCTAGGTTGCTACAAATTGAGCAAGTTTAAACCACCACAGCGGGTCAAAGTCTCTCTACTAAACACACAAGCTAAAACTCATCCATGTGATAAGAGGAACACATAAACTCCAATATCCTACAACACGCGATATACTCTTCATCACTTCTTCTTACTTTGTACTTTCTACCACTTATCTCTGCTTCAAATAACATCCGCATGGATTACTTCTCGCTCCCCATAGGCCCCTACAAACACCAACCAGCCACCCACATCCTCGCCCGAACGCCCAAACCCACCTACGTCGACATCGACCTGCCACTTCTCGAAAGATGTCCTCGTCTCCCGACTCCAGCCTCCACTCCACCACCAACCCTGACGCCAGCGTCCACACTAAACACCCCTCCGCCTTTCTTCCGCCTAACTCTCCCCTCCCGACCATCAGCGGCGACATCCCAGGCTACGGCGCCGTGCACAGATACCCAAGTGACAACGACATGCGTCCCCGAAACGCCCCCACCGCAGCAGAGGCCACCGCCATCACGGCGCTCCAAATCGCTGAAGAGCGCCATGCACGCGAAATTCAAGCGCTTAAAGAAGAACATACCCAGGATCTGGAAGCGCTGAGAGAAGAAACGAAGTCCGTCCACGACATTGAAACGATAGAAGTGAAAATGGCGCTGTACGCGGAGCACAAGCGGGACCTGTCGGAGTTGAAGGAGGAGAGGGAACGGGCCTTTGAGCATTCCAAAACTTTCTTCCTCGCCACGCGGGCGCGGGAGAAATCGCCCGCTCGCTTCCCGACCCCGTCGCCCGTCGCCGGTGTTCCGAGGGAGCTTCGTCCCACCTGCGCGGCCGCTCCGGTGGAGGCGACTTCTGTTCCCGGTCCCGACGCCGGTCCGGCTTCGACATCCACAGCCAGCTCCACGGCCACAACTTCGCCCGATATACCGACCAGCTCGACCACCACCACGGCGCCGACCTCCCCCCCGATGCCACCTCCTCCCGACGCCCGTCGCGGCTCGGCTGTTGCCGCAGCACCCCACGTCCACTTTTTGACTACGGGCATCACGCCCACAGAGGCGAAGGAGGCAACGGGTGAGGGTGAAAAGAGGGGGGGGGGTCGAGAAGGCGCTGTGAAGGTTGTGGTTGGGGCGGGAGAAGGAGATGATGGTGGGGAGAGGGAGGGGGAGGGAGGAGTGGGTGCCGCTGTAGTTGAGAAGTATTTTCTACCGTGCCGATTGGAGTGGAGGGATTAAAGGGTGGGGAAAATGTCAACGGGTTCTGCGTGAGGAGATTTGCATCGCTTGGGCAAGACTGCCAGCTGGTAACAGGATGCTCACTCTGGTAAGAATTCAGCGGACTTTGATGTTTGAAATTACTGGGGAACGCGCTTTGGATGGACGTGTGATGTTCCTATGCAAGCACTAAATATTACACGAAGGCCGCCTTAAATCTAGCATCCTACCCTTGCTTGGATCATGGTATCCCCAACATGCACCCTTTGAATGCACCATTTCGCCTCGAATATTTCTCGTGTTCCTTTTCTGTTTTCGAAAATCTGAATCCTCTGCTCCACTGTTTTGATGTTAATGCGTCTAAGGGACACCTGAAGGTCCATGGGAATTGCTATGCCCCATGCTCCAGGAAGCATCAAAGCTCGTAAAGTCCCCAGCCGTCCAGACCGTCTCCGAGATCAATCGAATAATGAGTGGGTGCGGATGGCCAGCCATGGTCGATCCCGCCTTTTGCATACTCGTTTCTCAGCTCCTTAGCTAGTCATAGCTCATCGTCCTGATCAATCTCCGAAGGCTTGATCAGACCTCCGACTTGCTTTGCACGTTCACGCTCGGCGTCCTTTACGGCCTGCTGGGCCTGTTCTCGATCTTCGGCGTAGAGCTCGGCGTTGTCGTCGGAGAACTCTTTCAACTGAATCAAGAAGTCTCGGATATGGAGCTTGAACCTGGAAATGTCGCCGCTCATGGTGAAGAGACCGTCAATAAATTGTCGGATTTGTACACTAGAAATAGTTAGTTGGTGATCATGGAAGAGTGTATTGAGAATTGACTTACACTTGGAGATTCGGGAATGCGCTTTGTAGCAGATGACCGATGAAGTCCAGGAGAAATTGTCGGTTTGATGTGCCAGCAGGCGATTGCTCTGGGGTATAGACCGGTTCTGTAATCTTTCCGGTTTCCACAAAATAGAACATCCGTGAGAGCAGAAGCGACTGCAGCTTGAAGCCTGACCCAGACGTTAGCATACTGAGGTAGCGTATGGAATTACTCGCCTTACCAGCTTTGTGATCCGAGTCGGTCAACACGAAGAAGACATCTTGCAAGATAGTGATATAAAATTGTTGGAAGAACATGCTCGATGTCTGTGCATCGGTGTGCTCCGCCATGTTGTCCATCAATTCGATGCACATACTTAAGCCCGTATTCTCCACCTCCCGGTTGTCGTGCTTGCTTGCCCACATGCATGAGTCGATGACGAATTTGAATTGCCGTCCATCGAGCTTCAAGAGGGCAGGGAAGCAGAACAAGTTGATTGCTTTTAGCAGCTTAAAGAACTCCACTCGGTGCTGAGGATACTCGGAGAAGTCCTTGTTGATCATCTCGAGAGTGCACTCAAAGACATTTTCCATGATAGTCGGTACTTTGTCGGACATGAGTCCCTATTGCCTGTCAGCACTGTGCGTAAAGCGTCACGAAGAACGGCTCTAACCGAATACTTCGATGTATAGACGGTCCAACGTACGTTTAGTTTGCTAATGATTGTGGTCATCACGTCCAAGACTTCAGCATCTCGAGCATCAGGGACATTCCTATTGTAATCGACCAATACTGCATCGAGCAACGGGGGAACCATGTTAGCATTGACCGCCTCGAGATCATCAGCCTTCTCAACATATATCTGGATAAGCTTCAAGATCTCCTTTTTGATGGTTCGAAGGCCACGGACTTTGGGCATCTTCGTTGCAATGATACCTTCGAAGCATTAGCAGGTCCATCAGCACAGCTTTATCAAAGATCATGGCTTACCATCTCGGACTACACTGTCGGAGATCATCTGACTTGTAGCTCGATACATTGACAGCATATCGTTGTATATGCGTCCGATCTGTGGGTAGAAGTAACTGCCAATTGATGTACAAGCTGCCACGTTGGTCTTCATGATGTTGCCGACCACTTTGATGGTTTCACCATCCTGTAGGCACGTAGGGTCCTGGTTTGCCTGGGAGATGATTGTGTCCCAAGCCTGGTTCGGTAATGACATGAGCTCCGCAATCAGTCTCTCCTGCACACTCTTCTGGCCTTGGGCGCTGATCATGTGCCCGCAAGCTTCGTAGAATGTATGTACTTGCTGGGGGCTCAAGTCCTGTGTAATCTTCCGCAGTGTCCGAACAATTTCGTCGATGAAAGGCTCGCTCTCCCCAGCTTGTAGAGCGACGAAGTGACGCTTGCATTTGCTGGCGATTTTGATGAAGGTATCGCACGCCATATCCTGGACACCTTCGTGAGTCTCGTGCATGAACTCGAACAACTTGTTGACCACTGTCTTTAAGAATTTCCAGTGGGCTTTCAAAAACCGTGGATATTGTCCCACGATATACATGATGTTGCTGGCAACCACTGCTTTGTTATCCTTGCCTCGCTTCATCTCTGTCAAGCCTAGAAGGTCTTTGATGACGGTCACAAGAAATCGCTTCTCCGTCTCCTCGTTCATGGCCCCAGATATTGATCCGATGGCCCAGCAGAGAGTATTGCAGTTGGCCCATGACCATTCGCTGCCGTCCACTTGTCTGGCTAGCTTGTCGGACATGATATTCTCCGTATCGACGACATCCAGATGAGTAAGGTAGACGAGGCACTCTCGGCTCGTCTTGTATAGCTGGATCGTATCACTCTCCTTTACGAACTCGCGGACGATCTCGCCTTCATCGTTCTCGACAATCAAGACTTCTTCAGGCCGAACCATCTTCTCGATCATGACTTGTCGTAGATGTGAAAGCACTTCCGAGTACTTGTGCTTGCGTAAGGGGTAGTTGGCTAGGACATTGGGGTGAGGTGCGCCGCCATTGGCAAGGCCGCTTGAATTCATGCTAATGAGGGGATTGATGTCCGTGATAGGTAGTTGTTGCATCTCTTCGTAAAGCTCTTGCACCAGCTTCGTCCAGTATTCCAGGCATATCTTGAAGATTTCTCGATCATCTATTTGGGATATCCGTATAAGGTAGAAATGTGCATGATTAAGGAAATCCCTTGTAGGTAGATTCTCGATGAGCTAGGTAAATTTAGCATAGAAATCGAGAAGACGGGACGCACTCACGTTGAGGTGGACGGAGAAGAAATTGCACAAAAATAACGCTAGATTTTGAACGAATTCTTGGTCTCGAGAGGCACTCTTCTCGTAGGATTCCTTTAGGCTGACGGACAACGGGATGATCTTCGATACGGTCGTCATGACCTCCGTGAACATCTGTACAAGCTTCTCGTCGTATGAGTATGATGACCCTATCTGGAGGCCTCCAATCTCTGTCAAGCACTTGAGAGATATGTTGCGGAACTCGGGCGCCTCCAAGAATCTGCTCCGTAATGTGTCAATAATTGGCGTCTCGAAGATGAATCCGAGCGGGATCCAATTCAAGAAACGTAGCAGAGTCTCCAGTGTGGCATTTATCAGGCTTGTTTGATTTGCAGTGCTCAGGACCTCCGAGCATAGCTGAAAGATGTTCGAGAATTCCGCGCACATGGTGCTCTTCAGATTCTTCGTCTTCGCCGCGGTCATCTGGTCGGCCGAGTAGTCAAACACCTCTTCTGAAAGTAAGCGCAGAATAGCCATATTGTTCTCGCAAATCGATAGGTTGGTGTGACAGGAGGAAATGATCTCGTTGATGAAGGTGGGCCAGTTGTGTGGCCATTCTTGCTTGAGAATGGAGACGAGTACTAGGTTGAGCTTATTGACGAAGGTTCGCTCGGTCTTCAAGCTCTCTTCATTGCTTGAGCTCTGGATGATAAAGTTGACCACAAAATTCCGTATGCCTACAAGGTCAAGTCAGTGACGGCAGACCTTCTAGAAGCTACGGGGTATCCAACCTAGACACTGTTCCCTAGGTAAGACTTTCCATTTTGTCATGATGACATTGTCGAGGACTTGTAAACCAATATCTGAAGCAGGTTAGCATGGCCCCACCACGTTGAACCTTCTGGCTTGCTAACATTTGGTTTGGGGGTATGATGCCTCCTGCAGTATCTTGTCCACTAATAGCCAAGCATCTGGGTTCTCTTTGAACTAGAAGAGGATGTTAGCGGCCATCCTGCTGGACAGTGAGAGAGGACTGAGTATTACCTGGTTGAGTGTGTTCTGCGCTTGCTTTTGCTGTATCACCAGTCAATTTCAGGACCGCAAGAGTGTGGTGGCAAGAGCTGTGCCCAATCATACCACTTCACCGCGACCTTCATAAAATTGCTTGACCGTCTGGTCGAGCTCCTCCACGGAGAGAGACATAGTGATGCGGCTGCTCGAGATGAGCTGTTATCTCTGGAGCTTTTGCAGCTCACGAGCGGTTTCAGATGCAGTTGCGTTGTAGAGATTTTTATGATACTGGTATGCGACAGGACAGCAGTTTGTGCTGTGGGTTGAAGTGGCCGCGGGTGGGGCACAGGAAGAGGTGTTATAGGTGGGGGGAGGCTTAGATCCAAAGGGTTCAACAAGTAGGATAGAAGGATGCAAGTGCGAAAGGGTCAGTCAGGTCCCATAGGTAAGGACTGAACTTGAGCTGTTTAGAGACGGGTTCGTGCGAGCGGTGTTGCGAGACGTGGTAGGGTTGTGTGGACAGGACCGCGTCGAATCAGTGCTTTGAGGCTCTAAGACACCCGAGGGAGTGACGTCTAGCGTGGCTTGGCAGCAATTTTTCTTTGCCCCCCCCAAAGTAGGCTAGTACGCTCCGATACTTTGTAAGAAACCATACATGAGTACGGAGCAACTACCCTAGTCTCGGAATTACTGGAAATATGTCTGGGCTTCTGCTGTTCTACAGTCTACATTTCATATAGCTCTTGCACATAAAGGACAATCTTGTTGGTTCCCAGTCGGAGCTTGCTACAATATACATATTGGTACAGCATCCATACACATGACGTTTCTCATATCTCTACGCCCAGGCATGCAGCCATCCTGTCAGAATCGATCTACCAATAAACCCCCGCGTCCCCCTCCAGAGCTCAGAGCTCAGGGCAAGGATCAGAATCATCGTCCGCAGGTGCAACAGCTTGAACTTTTGAAGGTGCGGCAACTTTCTCAGCAACTTTTTCATCAGTAGCCACATTCCCACCCGACACTGGTGAAGGATCAGACGCAGGGGTTGCCGGAGTCTGAGACGTGGAACCTGCATTCGAGGATGTCGAAGCTGAGCAGCCAGGATCCCCTGGGCAGCACGATGGCGAGATGGCTATATTCAGCGTGGGTCCCTAGCAAAGTACCATCAGCCTGCTGTCCTCTGATCCTTCACCAAATGCAAAGAAACGTTAGCACTTACATTCCCAAACGCCTGGCCCGTCAGCGCCATATAAGCACTCGTGTCAATATCCAGTTGATTCGTACCCGAATCCCCACACCTCTGAGTCGACGGCATATCCGTCTTGCAGTAATTTGAGGGGCTCGTCGACGCACACGCATCAATGATCTGAACCGTCACAGTGTTTCCTACACCCCCAATAGAGCTCCCTATACTACCAGTGTGCGTCACCGTGTAGCACGTGCCACAGTTGCTTGTCGGGCAGCTTGGGTGCGTCCAGCCTGCGACTGGGCTTTGGCCATTACATTCTACGCAGATTTTGGAGTCAGCAAAGCCTATTCGAGGCGGAAAGTTAAGTGGCAAGACAGGTCTTGGGAGTAGAAAGGTCCTTTTGCTCCCGAGACAAGTCTTATGACTCGATCTTACTACCGATTAAGGAGACCCAGCTCCGAAATGTACGTACCGGAGAGATCCATGCTGCCGGAGCATGTTCCACCTGAGATATTAGGGGAGACGTCGGATGCAGCGGCGCCGTAAGTACCGCTTTCACCTGAGCAGATTAGAATATTCCCACGAGGGCAGGTTGCACAAAGGGGTTCAGAGGAATTATGATAAAACACGTACCAGATTTCGCTCCACAATTGGTGTTGCCTTGAGCAGAGTAGTCATTGAACGTAGCTATCCCGACGTAGCTTTGCCTTTTATTGAGAACGGAAGCCGGATGGGCAGCAGCAAGACCTGCCAAGGCGAGAAACAGAGCCAGCATGGCGTGCAAATGTGCTCAGTGAAATTCAAAATAAAAAAGGAAGCGGTTGTAGACGCAGGACGAAAAATTTCCACCACGATGGACAGCAGAAAAGAGTGTGGGTCCTACCAGAGGCAGCGTCGAACGAGCGAAGCTGAGAGTAGGACTGCAGCGGACAGGAATATGAATACGCAAATCGAAACATACCAAGAAAATGGGAATCATCGAGACTTTGAAGCTTGCTCCCTTCCGGATCAGTAGCTCTTGAGCCGCCAGCTCACCCTTTCCGAGTCCTGACACAATGTGACACCTACGTACGTCCCGAGTGGCATGTAAACGAGTCCAATGAAGTAAGAGCCCCCGACCTGCCATTCCTGCGCCTTGCGAATCCAGATGATCAGCTTGTAGGGCACCTGAGCGCATGCATGGCAACGAAGTTCCGATAGGATGCATTTACGGCCACACGCGGTCAGAGATCTGAGACCATCTCGTGTTTCGAAGTCGAAACAGTCAGCGTCGTTTTGTTGCCAGGATTGCGTAATGGATGAATGCCAATTGTTTTCCGACGTGCATTCACTCGCTCATTTCTAAGGTTCAAGGGTTGTGAACGGCAAATAGGATAGAATTGAAACACCAATGTTACTTGGTGGAAATGCTGGTGCACGCTTAGAAAAGTGGATAAAAGCGCAAACACAGACACTATTGGCGCAAAACGCTCGCCAAGATCCGTGACAAGCGCTCTTCCTGCCCCTGCTTAGCTCTTGCCTCTGAGCCTCGGCTTCTTGGACTGGCCATAGTCCTAAGAGTCCTTTACTCTACCTTCACTAAATGCATGACTATTATCGTAGTCTATCTGACACTTTTACCAGCGGAATCGCCGCATCAATGACAACGGACATCACAACGCCAAATGCAGTTGATGATCTTCGCTAGTAGGCAGTAGAATGCTTACATGTCAATCATTTCATTGAACCTCAGAATACCATTACCCTTGAGCATGCCATCCACGCCCTCGGGCATCCGATACGAACGTACTGCAGAGCCATTTGGCGAAGTCTCTTCCGAGGTATCTGTAACGAGTACAAGCCCAGCGACTTTTACTGATTCAATCAAGGGAGGTACCTCATTCTACGAAGGGTTGTTAGCGAGTGCACTCCTAAGCAGCTATCAAGAGCGCGTGATGAGAGACCGCAAGCTTACCAACAAGCGCGCGCTGCAGACTAGTCCCATGAAGTTGTTGCTTTGTGCAATTCGCACCGCTTCCTTGACAGACATTGAGTGATGTCCGCTGCTTGGAACTACAGCGCCTTGGCCAATGGCACCAGGCCTTGCAGCTTCTCGCTTCGCCCCCAGATCATTGCATAGCAAGACTGGATCTGAGACTTGTTAGCAGCCGGAATCATCATCAGAAGATGGAATCCATACAATTAGGTTGCTTCCAATTGAGAGCAGTACAGATATCCGCATTGTAGGACGTAAAGACGATGGACCTCATAAAATCAGCATTCTGCTCCTTTGTCGACCGAGCATGATCGAAGACATCTTTCAAGATAGCGTCTGCGTAGTTGTTGATGTTCGGGCTAGGGCTAAGGCCTAGAGCTCGCTCCTGCACAATGGTTGGAAAGAGAACTTGGATATCGACGTGTATGCTGGTCGGGAGGTAGGCGAGGACATCTCGTAAAGTGACAAAGGACGTAGCGAGTGTCACATAAATGGTCGCAATATCTTCAACTGTCTTCTGTGGCAGCGTCGTTAATATCTCGTCGCGGCTACCATGTTGGGATCCGAGGGACAGGTATTGCTCATGGCTCATTCTCGCAATAGGAAACTCCATTCCATAGTGATTGATCGACCATCTAGGATAAAGCACAGGTACGCCATCGCTGGTCAGCTGCACAAAAAGCTGCACATAATCTCCAGACAAACTGGAACCCGTGATGAACGCATTTGGGTGGGTATCAAGCTGACTTGTTGCTCTCCAGTAAGTAGCAAAATGGGTGATATCTAGCGGTATGCCGTGGAACGGTTTGATAACCTGGAAATTGAAGCTAATCTGGCCAATCGCCCGCAGTCGGGGATCGAATAATGGTAGACAGCAGAGACCGGAGCTGCTGGCGATGGCACTGAAAAGGCTGGGCAGAGCCACGCTTTTGGCTATGACTTTGGATCCGAATGTAGGGAAGATGTCGAAATCAATTGCAAAAGAATCCAGATTGTCGATTTGAAAAGAAATGATCTTGAAATCTTCTTGTATCGGGAGCATGATGTTCCGAGGTATCACATCGGAAGATTTGGAAGAGATTGTAAGACGAGCCGCCGGGTATTTGCTGTCATGGTAGAACACTATAGCATCAGATCCTACTGCTTCAAAGCTTAGTTGGATGAAAGTCTTATTGTCCAAGAAGTTGTGACCGTACCGACGGAGTGGAATGATGGGTGGCGGGAGAGATAGATCCGGGATACCATCTGCGTCCAGTGGCACAGGGGCCGAGCTCGCTGGTACTGGGGAGATAAGAGAATGTTCCGTGGTTAATCGAGGTACGTCCAAAATCCCAGCATCTGTTGAACTTAAAAGCTTCATGCATTGAAGATGACCTTCCCAAGTTGCGTAGTACATGGCGGAAAACCCCTTCTCATCCAATATCTGAACATCAACACCTCGCTCCAGCAAGGTTCGGATGCAATCTACGCGACCTTCGGAGGCCGCATGAAATAAGGGGGTCCATTGGTACAGCTTGTCGCGCTGGTCTAAATCTGCGCCATAACGCTCCAACATTAGAAGCGTATCTGGACTCTGACCTGATCGGGCAACAAGATGCTGCGGGAAGAGACCTTCGGCATCTGGGAGTAACTTTGCCTGCTCCTCAAGCAGTAAATTCGCGATCGCCACTGATCCATACTGACAAGCCAGATTCAGAGGAACATGATCCGACTCGCTTTCTGGATCAATCCGGGCACCGTAAGCGAGGAGCTTTTGAGCACAAGCAAATTGGTGGTGAACGATGGCGTGGATCAACGGTGTGAAATTGTCGTGGTCTAGATAGTCGATGGTGTTCGGCCCACTCTCCATTAAAGCTCCAGCCATGGCGACATGACCGTACATGCAGGCATAGTGGAGAGGTGTTCTCCCATAGACATCGACACGTGCGACATCAACCTTACTGCGTAGAGCAATATTCATGACAAGATCTCGACCGGATATTGCGGCTTCGTGCAGGCAGTTCCTCTCATTTATCTCGTCTTCGGCATGAACATCCACCAAACCACTCTCGAGGAGTATATTCAGCGACTCCTCAGGAGCTTCGGGGGTAGCAGCTAGAAAAGTCCGTGTAAATCTTTCCCTAGCATCCGGTGACTCTTTCAGCCGCGAAATCCAATCCTGGAGGCCGCTCCGATTTCCGGTGTTTGCAGTTTGAAGTATCTGGGAATCTGTGTCACTGTTGTCGGTTCCGATCGACTGGCCAGTCACTGTATGCTCGGCCGGTCTGCTAGAATCGTATTGGACTTTCTCGCCCTCGGCCCAAGCGCCGAGCTCAAGCAGACTGGTTGTAGCTTGGTCCGAAAGGTCGCTGATCACATCTCGATTGAAGCAGGGCTGGACTTCAACAGCACGTGATAGGTATAGTTCTTTTGTCCGTGACTATGAAAAAGGGGTCAGCCGAAGCTGAGCGACGCAAAGCCGAGAAAGCGGACCTTGGAGGTTTTGTCCCACTTCGAATTGTCAGCAGGCGGTACTTGTTGCAATTCGAAGGCGCGTCACCCACTTTCTTGAGTATTTTAGAGAAGGCAGTAGCGTTGAGCTCAATAAATTGCTTGTAGCTGTCAGTCATGTGAGAATAGTGTCCACACGTAGAGGTGCTCACCTGTAATTTGTTTAGATCGTTTCCAAACTGTTGGAAGCCTTCTTCGAGGGTGATAAAGCTTGCAGATATCTTGGAGGCGGTCGCACTTCTTGCTTGCATGACTCTCTTCTTGTCCAGGAGAGTCTGGAGGCGGAGCTTAAGCTATGAAGTCTTTAGCCACTGACTCTCCAGAAATCCTGTCGTCGAGCAAACCTCAGCCTCTTTTTGAAGATAGAATGCATTGACTTTCTCAAGCTCTCGTTCCTGGCGGGCGCTGTAAGCTCGCTGTGGAGAACGTCTGCTGGTAGGAATACCGTACCAGTCTGAAGAAGAAAGTTGCTTTATTTGCCTGCAGCAAAGCCTGAGGGTCAAGGTTCTCGGGGATTGTGTTGGTAGCATTTCGGGGTAGGAGGGTTGGCGTAGCGCTCAGCTGCTTGATGAGCTATTCCAGTGTAAGCGACAAGGTCGATATGGTTGAGAAGTTCTCTGAGACCTTCTTGAGAGCTTTATAGTTGACAAAGCTTGCAGCGTATTCCGGTATGTCGAGTTGCCGTTTCTGCAAATGCTTGCCGAACTTCCTGGAGGCCGGAATCGGTGTCAGGCTTCATAAACGGTTCGGAGACCTGTAGGCAGAGTCCAAGAATAGGAGTCTTCAAATATGAGATATTGAAATTGATGCACGTACATTGTTATTGACGAAGGAGGTTTAAGAGGCCTGCGCGAGAAGTCGCAGAAGGAGAAAGGTGGAGGGAAGTAGAATTCAATGGAGTAGTACAGTGAGGAAAGAAGGGTCTAGCCAAGCATCTGCATCGACACGATATGGAAAGGAAAGCAGGCAGTATGGTGAGTACCAATGACAGCAGTACTACTTTAGATACCGTATCTTGCAGGAGGACCACAGGCGACACCAGCGATATCCGCACTCGTGCACTCCAAATTCAAGGTACGAGTAGAGTACCACCAAAGCTTCACAAAAGCTCTTTACACCCATGGAGCTCACCAAACTCAAAATCCATCTTTACCCCTCCTTTTTCACAGCGCGGGGCGATTTTGGCGCTTCAAGGCATGGTTCAGATGGTTGGGGAGGAAAATGGGAAGAGGCTCTTTGAGTCAGTTGGATAATATCAAAACCAATCATGCTAGCAAATTCCTGCACGTTTCCGTCGGGAAAGGCTTCTAGCGAGCTTCTAGACAACATTTTCCACAGAATCACTGCTTCTCTGAATTCTGAACCACGCATTGTCCTTTCCTACATCAAATTTGTAGTGTGCTTCGGAAAAAAGGTCTAGCTTCTCGTTGGCCAACTCTTTTGGCTCTCATGAAAGTATTGATGATGATTGTGATTGACTGTCTAATCCGATAGATACATGCTTCCTAGGACTGTCCTACCAAAGCCCAATCCACTTCTGGTGCACCCGCTAAATAAAACTTCGATAATTCAAAGGAAAGACGCAATGATGAGAGTCGACTTTTGCAACGTGCACATGGATCTCAGCTGAACCGTGGCGCGATAAGTATGATCAATCAGTATTAAGCACCCTATGTGTCTGCCCTGACTGGGCTGGGTCGATGCTGACAATATTTAAACAGACACTGTAATGATTGCAGATGTGAAAGCTGCTCAGGTACCCATACGCCCAAATCCGCCGAAGAACCTGGGAAATAAAACCAGAACGCCACTCTGACCACAGTCGGGTGTTGGATCAGAAATTTTGTGCAATGCCTGCGTTTCCTTGCTGAGGGATAACCGAGGGGTTCTCGATCCGAGTATCCCTTCTAGCTGATACGTCTCGGATGACTGGCTGTCCACCACCATAGCTTCCGTCCCCATATGGTCCATGCTGTGGCATGCCTTCATCGTAGAACATGCCTTCGTTGTAGTATTGCTGGGCAGGTGCACTCCCAGGTACCGCGCCTTCACCGGAGGTGTCCGATCGATGTGCTCCAGAGTAAGCCGAAGACGCATTAGAGGTTCCTCTATGAATGTCTTGAGGTTTGCCATTTGTGGGCACGGTGCCAAGGGCTCCAATGGTTTCCGAGTCTTCGCTCAATGGTCGATTCTTAATTGGGCTCCCAACAAGAGGGTCATTAGACTGTACGTCCGAGCTCTTGTTCGTTCCGGCGGTTGGTGAACCGTTGAGATAACGTCCGTTTTCACTGCCACTGGTAGATCTGGCCATGCCAATGGGTCCTTGACTGCTTGCGAGGGTAGTAGAGGGGTTTCGGTTGGTCGATGTTGTGCCCCAGCCTCGATAACCGGCTCCATCCGTCTCTCTCATCTCTGATGGTTCATCTCCCGAACTGCTGGCACCTCCAACGACGGGTAGTGTGGGATCATTGTTAGGATTGAACCCGTATTCTTCCACTTCTTTCCTCCGCAGTTCCTCGCCGTCCATGCGTTGCTTCCGTCTCCGCCAGAGGAAGAGAACGGCGAGGACGATCAAAGCAACGGCAACAACGGGTACGACAACAGCTACAGCAATCTTGCCACCCGCAGAGAGACCCGAAGAAGTGGAGGTAGAGGAGCCAGCTGTTGCAATGGGAGCTCCGCTTGATTTGCTGGCTGATGATTTGGTTGCAGTCACACCTGTTATTGCCGAAGGAGTCGCAACTGGAGTAGACGATGTAGAAGTCAGGGTGATTGTTTTGGGTTGCGGTGTTCCATCACTGGTCGAGGACGTAAGCACAATTCTAGTGACTTGAAAATCCGAGGTTGACGATGATGATGCTGTTGGAGCGGCGGCTGCAGCAGCGCTTGTGGAAGAAGTAGTTGACGCAATGACATCCGAAGGAGCCTGTGAGGTTGTTGATATCGAAGTCGAAGTTGTATCTACAACAACGGCGCTGCTGGAGGTTGTTGGTACTGGTACTGCTCCTGGGGTATTGGGCAGGACCACCTGAGAGGTCGAAGTGAATACCACTGGTGTTGCAGCTTAACGTAATCAGTGCAAGGCTGCGACAGAAATTTCTTCAATCATTTTACTTACCTGTACCGTTATTGGTTGCCATTGTGGGGGGTTGTTTTTGTTGACTCGGTGGGCTCTTCTTGGGCGATTGTTAAGCGGAGAAAGCACTGAGTCGAAACGAGTGTTGATAAGAGGCAGCGACTCAATGCTTCCTCGGAGTAACTGTGGACGATGGTTCAGTAGATCTTGTTGACAATAGGGCCAGGTGATTGGTGTCTCGGGATAATGTCTAATCTTTCTTCCCCCTAACCAAAGACTCTTAGTAAGCACCTCGTATAAGGACTCGACGTGGCAACGGCGAACGCGCCTTGCTCTCACCCGGAAAGAGCGGACCTCAGAAACGAGCTGAGATGATAAACAATGATGATGGAAGTGGTGAGATGTTGACGCTGGATGGGAGAAAAGGGAAGCTGTGAAATTGACTCTATTCTCCAAATCTTATTTCCCACGCTTTACCCGCCTTGGCAGGGTGTATCTGCCTATCTGGTATGGAAGGACGTAGCTTTATATCCGTGGCAAATTCTAAACAATAATGACGCTTCATGTTTCTTTATTTGATGCTAGAATGATCTAAGGAAGTGATATTTAGTGAAGGTATCATCAAATGTTGATGATGATGCTGTCTCCGCTATTCCTCTCTTTGTCTCGATATGCTACTTTATCTAAGAGTGATCGCCCTCACCCACCGAGCAAGGGGCTAAATTTACTCCACCATGAAGATAGTCTGCTGTCATATTCCCTCATGAATGGAGATGATGCTGTATCCAGAGTGGATCCTTTCTCCACAGTGCGCAAGATGCCGGGGTCGAAACCCTCGCAAATAGTCGCATGCTTCGGGTCCAAGGACTCGACTCTGTACTGTTTTTTAATAACGTATTGAATTATTTACTCGATCATGTAGTCGCCCTCAATGGTTCTGCCGCGGCCTGAACTCCTGATGTCATCGTGGGTATCTCTGGCCATGGCTTCTTGATTGCATCCGACAGCTTGACCAAGCATCCATCGGGTCCAGGTATACAGCCTGAAGAAACCATCAATAACTCGTACCACGGCCGAGGAAGACTTGACGACATACCATACAGCACCACAATGCCCTTCTCATCATCAATTTTCACGACCTTTACATTCTGCGTGGTAACTTGATGTCCTCCCATTCGACCTGGCATCTTCTTTCCTGGCAGAACCCTTGACCCGCCACCTTGAGATTGTCCCGACGAACCCATTGTTCGATGGGTCAATGATACACCATGCGAAGCTCCTTGACCCTTGAATCCCCATCTTTTCATGCCACCAGCAAAACCCATCCCTCTTGAATTCGCTTTTGCATCGACGAATTGCCCCTCCTGAAACCATCCTGCACCAACCATTTCACCAATACCCAGTAGACCCTTCTCATCTCTGACCTTGAACTCTACCAGATGTCGTTTGGGGCTCACGCCATTCTCTGCGTAGTGACCCAGTAAGGGACGGGTGACATTGCTTGGATGTTTCCAGCCCGATCCCACTTGAACTGCGTAATACCCATCCCTGTCTCTAGTCTTGTGCGCAACCACCTGGACTCGATCCATCTGCACTATGGTAACAGCCTGTCGCCGTCCGGTGTCGGTGTCGTAGACGGCGGACATTCCCTTCTTAGTGCCCAAAGCTCCGGTTCGTAACGGTGTGGTATAGGCCTTTCGCTCAAGTGCAGCTTCAGAAGAGGCTCCGAGTCGTGGTAAGCCTTGACCCTTGTTGAAACGATTATATTGAGGGGTCGAAATGGATTTTATGCTGCGTTTCGATGTATGTTTGAAGGTTACGCGCGGGAGTAGAAAGGCCGGAGGTAGCTGCCAGCAGCTGTGGCAGACCGCTGTAGACATATTTACGAAGTAATGAAAAATAGGGATTGTGAACATCCAAATGCGAAGGACACACTTGATGAGTGTTCCCCGTATGAGTTCGATACAGCGAGGACAGCAGCGGAGCCAAGCCTTTAGCCTTTTAATCCGTCTCCAAAACTATAAGTGTTGACTCGCTTTGATACTGTACTTCAACACGATCGAACGAGGATCTCTCAAAACCTATGGACAAAAAGTGTAGTACTGGATTCTAGCCTGTTGGTTCCGCTTCCAAAGACGTATTTTTGAACGGATCTCCCCTTCCCTCATCCAACAATTGTAGTTTTCTCCCATCCTCCGTCTCCAAGCTCCACTCTTTCGTCTCAAACTACACTCATAAAGTCAGCCCATCAAAACAGCCTTCCCTTACAGAAAGATTCAACTCACTTTCCCCATTCTCCCCCTCCTCTCGCTCTTAAATCTCATCACTCCCCTCCCTTTGGTCCCCTTTACCCCAAAATGGATATCCACCCTTCCATGCAATTGGTTCATTTCTCCCCAAATCCATGGCCACATGTCTCGGAAGTATATCTCATCACCTAGTTCCCTTCTACCTACTTCGCTCGTGCGTAATGCGTATAACGTAGCAGCTACAACCGAAGAGGACGATTTCTGGTAGTTGAAGATGCAGAGGGCGGAGACGGTGAGGATGATCACGAAGATTGGAAGACTTGGTCCCCAGACGCGCCAGGGACTAATGATGGCCGGGAGCGCGCGATCGGAGCGGCGACTCATGAGAGGCCCGGAATTGGGCTGGGGAGCGGCGATGAGGGTGCGGTGGGTAGGGAGGCGGGCATGCTTGAGGAGCGAGGATTGTTGGCGCAGGAAGTGCGGTTGGCAGAGAATAAGACTTTGCCATTTACATAAGAGGGAGCTGGCTTTCTGTGGAGGCATTTCGTTGTGAGAAGGAGTATTGCTCAATACTTAAGCTGCAAAGTGCAGAGGTAGATAGGTATTTTCGGTGGAGTAGAGAGTCTTGGCGCGGCCGGCTGGAGGGGACCTTACTCTGCAACCATCGCGCGCAACTTCTACATCTAGCATGGCAGCGACGAGATTACGGGAAACTTTTCAGTACCCAGCTGATAACAGCGACGATGATGATACACCGAAAAACCTTGACGAAGAAGGTTATTATTGCTGAAGTTGTAAAGTGTGCATTTGAACTGATGCTGGCACCTAGAGCAAGAGAAACTCATCGCGAAGCTGAGAGTCGAGGATGACGAGCGCAATGAGGAGTATAAAGTAAGCCTCTTCACTGCGGTATGGTAGCTCCATTCTGAACCCCACCAGCGCATCTTCCTCGCGGTCCCCAGTGTCTCCGCCATGGCATACATCCCCACACTGATCATGTCGAGTCTCGTTCAAGCCAAGCTCGTCAGCCTCCTCTGCATAACCTCCCTCACCGCTACCGCCTATATCCTTGCCTTCGTTCCTATTACTAGGCACAAATCGCTCAATCGAGTAAAGTCGAAGAAGCGATTAGAGCCTATGTCAGGACCAGTCCATCAGTATATCAGCTACCTCAATGGTACCCTAAGCTTGCTCTGCGCCTTGAATTCTATCATCTTTAGAGACAAGCAAGGCGTACATGATGGGTTCTGGTTGCTTTGTCTGTTACCTGTGGGTGGGTGGCCTCTCTCAGGTGACAAGGCAGTATGACCTAACTGATGCGCAGTATCATTCGCATTCATTATTCTCGCCAGGCGATTAATGCTCTCTGTGGATGTAGATGAACTCGAAATCCTCAAGTACGGATACAAAGGCGCCTAGAGGCCGACAATGAGGGAGGCCGTGGCGAAGTTGGCCAGTCTGTGATTGATCCTCGTCTGATACCAGCGTTATCCAGATGACTAGAGCCTTAGCACCGAGCAGTGAAAAACCTCCACTTGAAGTCTTCGGTACTTCCCAATCGTCGTATGTTCGGTCCACTAGATCAGTCTATGCCTGGTGACTCGCGTTTGGTAGTAAAAGTCGTAGGAAGACACATTCCCATGCTCTCATTGAGCATCTTCAGCGTGATTTCGAAGTGCTGTATGGCAGCCTGGCTTTGTTCAGTCCTCGTATTGGCTGTCTTCAACGACAGACTTGTGTTCTGTTAGCATAATGCACGTGCATGATAACGCGTCAAGACGCACCTTTTCCTGTACTTTCCACTATTCACGCTCCAGAACCAAGTATGTAGTAGACTCTTCAAAACCCTATGCTCTAGTCCTTTTTCTCTGGCTGCGCCTTCTAGAAAGGTAACGGTGTTAGTGATTTTCTGGGCGTCAAAATCTGCTGCATTCCCTGTTCTGTACGCGTTGTCAAGGAGGATTCTCAGGGTGTGTCTTGCAGGTGCTGCATATTGTACCGCGTACATTGCATGGCGGTATAGATGTCGGTAAGATCTCACAATCTCTTGACTGCTGGGAGTCATGAGGACTCGGTGAGTGAGTATTCTTGCTTCAGCATCAGGCGCGGGTTCGCGCCAAGCTCTAAGTGATTAGAGTAGAGTAGTGGCGGGACAAGCCGGGTAATCTTCCCTGTTGGTGAAGGCCAGATCCTCGGATACAGCTGAGGTTCTTGCCAAAAACATAACCACAAAAACTGCACATAACCACTCACGTATAGCGTCGAGGTTATCTAAGCGGAGATTTTGCTATAGCAGATTGACGTCTATATGGTTTAGACAGCGAGAAGAGTATCAACCCAAAAACACAGGACTATGAAGAACTCAAAAAGCCAAGTCTGCTCAAATCAAGTGGGCCGGACACTTTCAAAGTCTTCGCAGCTGGTGTAACTGTTTTGGTTGCATTGGAACAGCATGACTCGTGTACATGCACGGCATGCCTCTGCAGGCCCATCAGCCGCTGATCGACACAGGAAAGCTGATCAGAAAAGGAAGGCATCTTATAAAATCATCCTCGAGGAGGTTGCTGATAAGCAGAAAAAGCTCAAGACTGTTGTACGTAGATGAGCTTGGGCGCGGACTTCTGCCTTGTATTCTGATCATTTCAACAGCTATATCCCGAACAGAAAGCTCCCCGAGGCTATACGTTCATTCCTGCTGGAGATCCCCAGTTGACGAACCGATGTAAGAAGTTGGCAAGAGAAGACGGCTTCACAGTCTTCATCGTTTCGGTAGGTTTCAAAGCTCAATTAAGGAGTCATTTTGACACTTTACAGACTAGTAGGCATCCGCGCCAGGGTTTGTCCAGAGAGATTCATAGAGTTGGGTTCCATTTCCCAAGCGTCACCGTAGAGAAGGCGTGCGACAGCCTCGGTGTTACACTCTCGAACTCTGGCCGCGTTCTGCAGTCCAATTTCGCACACCTAGAAGACGGGCAGGACCACGATGGCAGACGGCCAACAAAGCAAAAGAAACAGAAGTCCAGAACTCGGAATGCCCACCCAGTGCTTGATATATCTCTTCCACAAGCAGTCATTGATACTTCAGCTCGAGAAACGATCAGAGACCTATTTCCTAACATACCTAATCAAGACTTACACGTCATCGTTGGTAGATCTTTCCAGAAGGTAACATGATACTTTTCGATCCAATTCCAAACGCTGACAATTACAAGGGTAAGGGTCTTGTCGGTACGGTTGCTGATCTAAGTCTCGTGAGACGTGCGCAGCTTGCCGTAATTGCTCACATTCGTCACACATATACCGATTACGACTCTCTCTTAAGGCAAGTCCAGTACAATGAGGCTCGTCGAAGGGTCGAGAAACCGTGTCTGGATCGTCTGATCCGGTGGAGAGGGGATGACGATGACGCTGGAGCCATGGACGACGTACTCCGAGAGGTCATCGTGATCCCAGACGATGACGAAGAAGTTAAAGGAGATGAAACGCAAGAGAGCCTGCGAATGCGGCCCGAAGAGAGTGAACGTGATAGCAGCGTCGAATACATATCAGAGGCAGATATGCAGATTCAACCTGTCGACTATTCCAACGTTAATCGTACAGTTGACCGCGGCGACTCCTACAGCCCGGATTCAGACAATGAAATCCAATACCTGGGTCGCAATCAATTACGCAACGGCCGGCACATTCGAAATGATCAACATACGCTGGATCGCATGGGAGTACATCGACAGAGAGTCTACGAAGAGGCGCTGGATCGTCGCAGGAAGCATCCGGAAAGTTTGGATGTCCATAACGGCCATTCCTCCCTACCGCTCTTTGCGGGCTCTGGACACAACAGTTTCCAACCGTTATCACAGCAACCGCAAGATCGAAACCATTCGCCGCATTTGGTCGAACGTCAAGACCACACGCTAGGGCGAGCGCCGATCCAGACGCGCCTAATGCCAGTAGCAAGGCCAGAGGTTAATAGAGCTGACTCTTCCAGCAACGCAAGGGATCCCAGATATGTACTAGATGAACAGGTAAGTTCGGTCCACAACTGAATTGAGCAATAACGGTGCACAATGGATCTAGAGGTAAGCAGCCTAAAAAATGAAGAGTACTGAATTATGCCAGGTCGCCTATTCGTCTCAAAAAGATTGGCGTTCTCACGACGGAAGCCTAGAGCAGCCTAAAAAGATTTATCACGCCGGGCAAGACCAGCCTTATGATAACGGGACGCGACCACTTGAACTGCGTCAGGTTCCGAATAGAGTCATTGAGGCAGGCGAGAGGCTTGTAAGCCTGAATGACCCTAGCCAAACGAATGGTAGTGATATCTATGCTCACGATCTCGAAATGCAACCACGCCGGCGCCCTGAGATGGTAATTCCTTCTATTGAAAGGGACCTTCCTGATAAGCAAGCCGACCAGACATCGATCCATGGAAAAACGCGGCAAGTAAGCCCATTTGGCTCATACCAATCCCTCAATCGTGGAACGCAGCAATTGCTCGCGCCTTCGAATATAAATCTCGATGATTATAAGGAGCTACCAAGTAGCAAAAGGCGCAGGATCGATGATCATCAGCCTGTTGATTCTCACAGCCAAGGAAGAACTATTTTAGTTCCCATCGAACAGATAGATGACCGCCGACTCCAGTATGAACGGCCTCATGAGGCTGTACATCGTGATAACACGGGGAACATTGTTTCGGATAAGAGAATTGTACCACTTCCTCCGAAGGAAGAACGCACGAGGCCTCCTATCAGCCGTCAGGTGCTTCAGCTATTGTCCCCCCGTACACAAATGAAGAAGCGTCCGGATCAAATAGATGATCGTGGGGAACGGTATCCGCAACCCATCGATCATTATCAGGTCCCGCTTTCTCGTTCAGAGAACGTAGAGAACTTGCAGCTTCCTTCATGTGCTGTTTTTGCACCGCCGAAGTATTACAATGACTCTCCTTTTTTTTTCGAGTCTTCTCAATTTGCTCCTAGATATCATGAAAGTAGTGACCTGGGTTTTTCATCACGTCGCGCCATTGGCGTTACTGCAGATAGTGATCAAGTCTATACAGACTCTGATGGAATGATGCGTCGGTTACAGCCCTTGGAGGTAGCTGAAAGATCGATGCCGTCACGATTTAGTGACATGTTTTTCGATTATGGGCAGCGCGACGATGATCGCAGGCCGGACCGCGTTGCCTACGTTCCCTCCACTGCTACGGCTGATTCCTACAGACATACAAAGCCATCAAGTGGTGCGTTGACCTATCCTTTTGCCACGGCTACGGATAATGTCCACGGACCTGCTGGTCACGCAGTAACTCTGTTAACTTACGCACTTGATACAGCCAAAGACACTCTCCACGAAGATACGGGGCCTCTGACAAATGCGTATCCGCGCAACATTCGTGAGCGCCAACCAGCTTCGACCAACTTCGATCACCCGCCAAGTCGTATGCAACAACTTGATGGGATGCCACAGCGACCGGTCTGGTCTGTCCAACAAAATGCATCGTCACATCATCAGCTTAACCAACATCATGCCAAACCAGATCGAGCCAACCCTTTCGAAAGACATGCACTGCCACATGCTTCAAGGGTAGCTATGGAACCTTGGTTTGATACAGTGCTCGAACATGAAATTGGACTTAGCTAACCAATGTCCAGGGACATCAACGTACAGTCAAGAAATCGACCGTTGAATGGACCGGCTGAAGGCAGACGGCCCCACAATCATGTGATTGCTGGGCGCCCTGAAAATGTTCGACCGCTCCGGCGTGAGTACGATGACTCTAGACTGGGACAAAGAAAGGGAGTCGACGATATCGTTGTGCTTGATTGATGGAGTAAGTTAATCGACTAAGGGGTTAGGTAGCTCCCGGCTGTAGCTGCTGTTGCTGATATTCTACGAAGCAAGAACTCAAGTTTTGTATTACTATTATTAAGATCGATTCAGAGAATGCGAAGGCGATCCTCTTCTACTCGAGCCTCGGCGTTACTGCTTGTTTATCAGCACCGGGCGTCGGAGGGTCTTTCTAGGCTTGTATGACAGCTGTGAAGCAGGGTGGCGGTAGCTCACACATTGGCGTGTTGTGCTGATTCTTGCTTGATGAGCTAGCGCTGAGAGGCTCCAAATCTCTCAATGGCACATTGAAGCCGCTAGTATCCAGAGGGTCAAACGACTCCGGGTTCTGAGCAGGCTTGACAGTTTCAACTGAGTATTATTTACTTTAGCCTTGTCACCGTCGCAGACTCTTGAGTCTTGATCCTCATCCGAAGCCATGAAGGCATAATTGTGCCAAGAAAATTTCATGCACAAACGGTTACGTATAAAATTTTGTGCATTGTGAATAAAAGCCGCAACTCACTGGTGCCACCACTAATTTCTCCAAGCGTGGTTGTTTTTTTTTTGACTTGGCTAACTGCGGGCGCGAGAAAGTACCTTACCTCTTCCTACCCTAAAAACTAGTAGAGTATAACAAGGTCACTTCTGGCTCTTCAACAAAGGCCTCTCATTTCTTTATACATTTATATTACTCCTTTTCGCTGCTTTTTTGGTGTTAGGCTATCTATATACGATCTCCTACAGTCCCACGTCTCATGATACATCAATCTCCACTCCTCTTGGCCCTGTACCTGCACACCCCGCCCCACGTCCCAATTCTCTGATCTGTAACGAACGAGCTTCTATCCACACCTCCGCCATCTTTCGGTTCGCTGCACTTCTTGCCGTCGTCTGAAAAAGAAGGGCTCAACGCCGAGCAGATAGCAGAAGTTCACCTATGGTATGATCTGAGCAGCCTCTGATGGATTACCCTTGGTTCTTCATCCATCTGCGACTGCTAGCAGGCCTCGGCACTACACACAGCGCAAGAGGCTGTGGCCTATGCACCAAATGAATATGGCCGATCGTCAAGACCGCCACAATGGCGATGAAGCAATCTCCAGGGACGCTACGGACCAAGCTTCGAAGACCAAGATTCCATCAGCTTTGGCTACGAACCCTGAACTCACCAAACACTGGGCGAAGTACTATCGTACAAGCATCGCCTCCGGGATGAGCATCATGCTCTCTCAAACAGTTTCTGTAAGCTCCTAGTGTCGAGGTTAATTGCGATCATGCTAATCGCTGTTCAGTATCCCTTGGACAGCGTCAAGACTCGCATGCAAGCGTACGTGCATCCACAATGACCACTACTTCATTGCCAAGTCTAACATGGCAGAAGATACGGCCGCCACCGTACTATTATAGAGTGCATGAAAGATGGATACAAGACGGAGGGGATCAAGGGCTTCTATCGTGGTTAGTCCAAAACTTCTCACTGTGTTCTGATGGAGGCATCCAACCTTTGAGACAATTGATTTACGCTGTACCTGTGATTGGCCTTCTAGAGCACTGCTGGCGCAGTCTTGACATTGAAGGCATTGGTATTCTGTTACCTTCCAGCTGGGGTCGCGTGATCAAATATTCCATCTCCTTAGGAGCTTCTTAGTATCGAGGCTAATGTTGCATGTGTCTCATAGGCGGTTTGGGCCCATTCTTCAGCTTTACATTCGGGAGGACCTTGTCGTTCTCCGTGTATCAAAAGGCAAAATACAAGTACTCTGCCCTCATCGGGCAAGCCACTGGAGGCGACGAGCCATTGGTCATCGTTAATCGGCCTGGGAGCATCCCTACATTAGCAACAATAGCATGCTTTGCGGCCGCTGGTGCTACCGCTGGATCAGTCATCTCGTTTTACGCTGGTAAGTCTTGGGTTTGGCACGTCATGGCACCTCGAGATCTAAAATACTTCCAGCCCCTTTCGAGATCACCAAGATCGCTGCGCAAACGTCCGAAATGATGGCGAAGGGCAATAAATCCAGCATGTCCGATGCGCTCAAAGATCCGATCAAATCAAGCTACCAACAGAAGGGAACGATCAAGACCGCAATGAATATTCTCAAGCTCCGCGGCTTTCCTGGACTGTACGCTGGATTTCGAATCCATATCGGTAAGTCCATTAAACCACAACAAATCACGCTTCCTCGGCTCACAGGATTTCTCTAGTCAGAGATACTATCGGATCAGCGATTTACTTCTCGACATACGAAAGCACTAAGCAGATGCTCGTTAAGCTACAAGGCAGTAATTCTCCAACCTCTCCTTTGTCCGTAGCTATGGCTGGCGGTTTTTGTGGTTTGGCGTCTGTGACCTGCGTGAGTTCTGAGGGTGGTCAAGGTTAATACTGAAGGGCTGACCTTTCGCCAGACTTATCCTTTTGACTCCGTAAAAACCGAATACCAGCGCAAGTGCCTTGAGAGAAACACTGCGGTGAAATACCCGAAGCTAGAGTGGTTCAATCGCAAATCTTATCGAGGCAAGTTGCCAGCCACTATCAGCATTGAAATAGTATGTGCTAATGCATGGATTCTTTCCCAACAGGTTTTGGCCTTGCAATGGCACGCTCTTGTGTTACGAACATCGTCTTTTTTTCCTCTTTCGAGTTAATCAAGAAGAAGATTAACCAGCTACCGGATCCGGTGCTGCTCGATTCAGTGGACTAGATCCACTATCAATCCGTTCATGTACATACCTTCGATTTTTTGGGCGTTTTCACATACGGTCAGCGCGTGTCCCTCCATTTTGGCAGAGACTCAGGGGGGTGATCCCATCATTTCTGAGGCGTTTTGAAGAGGGTAATACCAGAAGCGCAAAAAGGATACATCAATTAATCGAACTGTATACACACTTATGAAAAATGTCCCATACGTTGAAAGGGTTTGGGGTAGACTGGATGTCTAGTCGAGAGCCCTGGCACGGTATGTATGATGCCTTGAATGTTACGAACCTCCTTTTGCACTGATACAAACCAAAGAAAAATCAAATCCTGAATTGAGCAGTCTCTACTGGCATTGATCAAAGAATGTGATCCAATCCTACCCTGCCCTTCGAGCCCTCCCAGCCAATCCGCCACCAATCACCACTTCCTTCCTAAACATCATGTAAACCTCCCATCTCCAGCGCCCTCCCAATCTTCTCACAAACCATCCCCCGACAACGAAAATGGTCTACTACTTCACCTCCAACGTGATTGACCCCCCAGCCACCATCTACGTAGGCAAAGATAAATTCGAGAGTCCGTTCGCCCTTTCCCCCCCCCGCACTCGCTCTCGCACCCAAGGCTGACCCCAGCCCACCCGCAGACGAAGAACTGATCAAATTCGGCTGGGACTGCGATATCTGGTGACGACAGACTTCCCTCCCCCCTCCCTATCCTCTTCCCCAACCCTGAATCTAACACTCCACTGTCAACAGGGTACGTCCGTCTCTCCCCTCCCCCCCGCCCCGGCCCCCTCCCACCGACAGAGACGAAAAAGAGAAAGAACGGCAAAAGGGAAAGGAAGCGTGAACGACAATGTTAAAAACGAGAATATCCGTGCCGACAGTTCCACGCCGACAACCTCTCCTCCGCGCACATCTACCTGCGCCTCACGCCCGAGCAGACATGGGACGCCTTGCCCAAGGAGCTGGTGGACGAGTGCGCGCAGTTGACCAAGGCGAATTCCATCGAAGGTGTGCCCACCCACACGCACACACGTACACCTACACACACGTTTGTTTCATTCCCCGCGTGTATACAAGCGAGGGAGAGAGAAATGAGGTATAGAGACCGCGGGGCTGACGATGGGACCGTATGATTTTCCGTGCGCGCGTAGGCAATAAGAAAGACAACGTCACGATCGTCTACACGCCGTGGGCGAACCTGCACAAGAATGCCGGCATGGCGACGGGGCAGGTGGGGTTTCGGGATCCGAAAAGGGTAGGTTTCTCCGCATCTATATACACACATACATCCATGCCCCCCCACCTCCCTCTCTTCCCCTTCCCACATCACCCGCTCGCTCTTTCACGGCCCTACACCACACTACACTACACCACACTACACAACACGACCCCAGCAACCCACCCCAGTCCGATGCGGTCCGCTAACCAAACCCCCAACAGACCAAAAAAACCCTCGTCCCCACCCGCCTCAACCCGACGATCAACCGGCTGGAGAAGACGCGCCGGGCGCGCCCCGTCGACGACCTGCCCGCGGACAAGGAGGCGCACCTGGCGCGGCAGCGGGCGACGAAGCGGGCGGAGAACGAGAGGCGGCAGAAGGAGGAGGACGGGGTGGCGCGGGGGCGGAGGGAGGAGAAGGAGAGGCGGGAGAGGGGGTATGAGGATCTCATGGCCGAGGGGGGCAGGAGCAACGAGGAGGGGTTCGACGAGGATGATTTCATGTGAGGGGGAGAGGGTGGGGGGAGAGGTGGAGAAGAGATGGTGGTGCTGGAAGAGGGACCGGGCTGTCGCGATGAATACCAGATGCGTGAACTTTGGGACGAGAGAAAAGGGTTCGAAGAGGTGTTGCTTGTTGTCATAGTACACGGTTGCGGGGCAGCATCAGGCATGGAGATTAATTATAGCGGTCTCGCTATCGATCTGCTATCGAACCATTATCTCTCAAGTATGATTACATGAGAAGTGAAGTCGACCTCTCCATCCAATATTTCCGATGAAGTCCTCGGATCATCCCCCTAGCTCTATATCTTTTGTCGAAACACTGTAAATACCAACATGCTGTACAAAACCATGTACGTCTCTTCATTATGGTCCCACCGCTCGATCAGGGTGCGCGACAACTCTGACGAGATGCCATGCGATCGTGCCGGAGCGAATGCAAATGCAAAAAAAAAAAGGTTCTATGATGCATGCATGTTCCATTGCGGCTTCAGAGCTTCGTTGAGATCCTCTTTCGTACCCACAAACTCCTTTGGTATGCGACTGACACGATATGCACCAGCGCGTATGCTCTGGTTTGTCCGTGCCGATACACCGCTATGGTTGCTGCGGATGGAGCCGGAGTCGGAGGCGGTCTCGTTGTTCCTAAAGCGAGGAGGTGGGGCGAAGTCGAGCGCGGTGAAGGTGCCAGAATTGCGGAGAAGATGACTACAGTCTGCGTTAGTGTGATGCTTTATGACCGAGGAATGGGGAACTTACGGGCTAGGCATTGGGGCGAGGTCATCGAATGAGGAGACGAGGGGCATGTGGGCTGGAACGATTGGCGAGTATGGCCTCAATCCTCCACGCGGGCTTCCTGAACGACCAGCTTGACGCTCTCTAGCGGTAGTGGGAGGTGCAAAGTCCATTGGTAGGAAGGTGTCTTCTTTCAGAAGATGAGGAGACGGGAGAACGTTCAACGGCTGTGGTGGGGGAATCTGTTTCTGTGGAGTGCCACGGCCAGAGGGCCCGAAGCGACCAGAGTGAGACGAATGAGCTCGGGACCTTGGAGGCATCGTTTTACTGCTACCAGACATTGTAGCAGCATGTCGGCGTCCGTACCCTGGCGGTGCACGTGGTGGCGGTGTCATCGCTCGTCGACCATATGGCTCGGCATACGGTCGACCGCGAGGTTGATCATTTGGTGCGGCATACAGAGGTTGAGCTCGGCCAGACACCGGATCGAAGATAGCTCCATCGCCAAGATACTGTTGGTCATAGTCCTCATAGTAGTCTCCCGCAGCGCGCTTTGGCCCTGGTCGGGAATCATCGAAGTATTCCTTGTAGAAAGATCTGATTCGGTTCGCCCGTTGTTCAGGGTTATCTGTGGGATCATCCGGTGGGAGAGGTCGAAAGCCCATGGATGATCTGCGGGGATCGAAGCCTGGACGGTGTCCTTCTTCGACGCCAAGACTGTGTTCATGGATAGGAGGCATATAAGCTTGACTCGATTGACGGTTTAATTCGTGCTGCGAGGCCTGCGAACTGCGCAGCGATGGGGGCACCACTTGAGAGCCGTCACCATAATCGCTTGCATCGTCCAGAAAGTTCTCGTAATGACCTCGCTCTGTAGAGGAACGCAGAGATTGCTTTCTTGGTGGTCTCGACAGGGAGCTTCTTGTGGAGGGAATCTCTGTGATATTTGGTGGCGACGACCGCGACGTGGGAGGTTCTGTACTGACGTTTGGCGGAGGGCTCTTTCGACCAGAAGTTTTCTGCAAAATCGAAGAGGGGCCAGGCTGTTGGAGTGAAGTAGAAGGAGCAATCTGCTGGATCGTGGACGAGGGAGTCGAAGGGAATTCATTGGGAGTCGCATATTCACTTTTTGGAGATGCAAAGTCTCGGGTAAGGACATCCGTGGAGGGGTCTCTGCTATGGATGAAAGCACCGAGATAATTGTTGCTCTTCCGAAGATCCGCACCATTTTTATCTATGTACGAATCTCGTGGAGTATCGAGCAGGGGGAATTTAGGGGCAACGCCTGCGCTCTGAGGGCCCGAAGGTGATGCTTTGCGAGGGGGTTGCTTTGCTGCTTCTGGCACCTGGATTTGGGGAGCCGGAGATCGACTGACGGGTGGCATGGACCTCGACATCCTTTGCGCATTTCCGAGAAGGTCCTTCTTCATGTCATCGCCAGGGCCACGCCTGGTTGAGGCGGAACCAGCATAGCTTGATGAGTCGTCGGCACCTTTCCGTCCAGTCCTGGAGGAGTGAACCGAGGTAGTGTCGCCCGGGATGTAAGTGGTCGCAGGCCTGTACCGATCGTCTTGGCTGTGCATGGTACGTGACATAGAATGCAATGACTCGCGGGAGCCGCCGAGACCAGGGGGCAACAAGTACGGGCTGCTGATGTCCACATCCATTGACATGCCACGCTCACGGCGTAAGGTTTTCTCTGCACCAGGATCCGTGGCGACCATTTCGGGTTTGTTCTTCTTGCCTTTCTTGGTATTGGCACGCGCAACGCTAGCTGGGTCCCAGCCGAAGTCCAGAGATCTATGTGGGTCGTTGGCGTCTTCGCGGCGCAGCTTTTTGACATGTTTCCGATGAAGGTAGATGAAGATGAGAATAGCCACTGCAATAGGGATTACAACGGCGAGGACGACGGGTAGAGTGACATTGCTGCTGTCGGTTGGTTTCTGGCAGCCAGGACTGGAGCTATTGGAGCCGCTGCAATCATCGCGTTTGAAGTATGCTGAGAGTCCCGAGAGAGGCTTGTCGACGAGGTTCTTGATGGAGGCAGGTTCCGGCAAAGCAATGGCAGTGGGAAGTCTCTTGCCGAGGTGGAGGCCGAGACGGCTGCGATGCGATTGTCGAGGCATAATAGAATGAACGAGTTGATTCGTGGAGAGTGACGCCAAGAGTAGCTTCGGACTGGTAGGTTGTTCACTGCATTTTGTTGTAGAGAGTAAATGCCGGATGAGGTATTAAAAGTACGCGCTTTGTGCTTTGTTTGAAATTTCTCAATTGACAAGCGTGTATGTAGAAAGAACCAATGAATGAATGAATGAATGAATGGGAAAGAACGACTCGGGGTGAGTATTAAAGAGTGAGGATGAAGGAGAGTGTATATGATATGATGATATGAGTGATGAAAAGGAAGGGATGGCCAGCAAAGTGACCGTGGTTGGGCAATTGCTTGATGCCCGTGTGGTTGTGGATGTTGAAAGAGTAAAGAAAGGTACTTTACAAAGAAAGATGGGGCTTGGCTCAGGGGAGGAGAAGCATTGACTAGACGCGGGCTAATACGGGCTAATGCGGGCTAAAGTTGGTCGCAATCTTACCATTGACAGGCATCTTTTTCCTTCAATCGACATCCAATTTCAACCTCACCCCGACTCGTAAATCTTACCCGGCAAGGATCGGCATCGAGAACCAATGATTGAGCAGATAAACTGGTCTACAGAATTACCGTACGTGATATTGGTGCACCTGATAAAATAGACTGAGGTACGGTAGGTAAATGGGGACAAAAGGTCGCGATCGCAAGAAAAAGCGCAGCTGAAGGTTAAGTAACAGGCTAAGCCAAAGGAAGATGTCGCTCGGCGCTAAAGTCAGGGACCGGCAGAGGAGGGATGACGAGCGCGAGCAACGGCGGCTTTCTCTTCTCCAACTTTTCGTAACTGCTCGGCTTCCTTATTTGCGGCTTCACCCGTCCGCCTTCACCCAATCATCATTCAGCATTCCGCTCTTCACCGCAATTCTACTACTACGCTTCAATGCACACAGATGCGAGGAAGGATTCAGGCTGTGCTTCCTCAAAACACATCTTTTTCACCGAAGCGGTAATAGTTACGTGAAACCTGCATGACCTGCTATCTCGTGGCTGCATAATGCTGACAACCGAACCCCTGGGTGTACGGCCACTTTCTATTTTCAGAGCAAGGAGGGTTTCCCCAGTCACGGCCATTATAAATCTTTTGCTAGTGATCCGAATGAACATGACAATTAAGATGCCCACGTGCTTGAGAGTAGCGAGGAGTGGAGTGAAGATGGAAGGCTGGCCAGCCGAATTTCTGCTGCTACTACTACTCTGCCGCAGTGAAGTAATCAATGGATATGTGTACCCAGCTGCCGGGGCGTCGAAAGTCGATCAAGTCTCTTTGCGTCTCGGAATTTTTTTGGCGTAACCGTCTTCTTTAACTCATCGCTGCCATTGGAATGCTGCAAAGTCGAGATGACTGACTTCCTTTCAGCATTGGCAGTGAAAGTACTGATACACAAGGCTTGGACAGACTGGGGCTTTTCGCTGGTTTTGATACTAAACCACCGGAACCAGGACCCGATTCTCTAATTCCTTTGACTATAATGAAGAACAATGTGCTCAAATACCCGCGCAATGCCAATGAAGCATCTTGGCACAGGGCCCGTTGACTTCTTCGACATTGGATCAATGCTTTGCAGCAAATCACTGTCCATTCTCTGCACACCACGGCGAACCTATATTCGTATCAATAGCAGACCTTGCCGTGGCCATCTCGGCGCAGCCAGAGGAACAACTCTACAAGGTGGTATGAGATGGCCGTTCGCTCTACAATCTTCTTCCTCAATTACCCAAGATGTTCCGAAACCATGCCCTGACTAGTTTCTCGTTTCCGAAACACGTCTTTCATTGTGAAGTACGTAGTATGTTAGGTGCGATTGGGGTAAATACTAACGTCATGTACTACATTAACACTTTCACTTATTAGAGACAGTGACGCCCGCGGCTAAAATATATACATAAAGAACGCAGTCACGGGAAACGTGAAGCTCGCGGCTATTAGGTCTGCTTCGACACTAGCTCGTTCATTTCAGCACTACCAGGCTGCCTCTGCTGCACGACACCTGTCAAACATCCGCCTAGATCCTAGGCTCTTGTTTTGTTCACCGAAGCCTTCTCACCGCTTTGTTGGCCAAAGTCGAGCTTGGCGCAGCGCACCGTCCTGCCAGCATGTCGAGGCCTGAGAAGCTCCACCTTGCTTTGAGCTCGCACTCAGACGTTGTGCTAGATCTCCGCGAAGGCTTCGTGGGAAAGCCTCAGCTGACTCTCCGCAACGAAGGAGCTGACGAGATCACACACTGCTACCCCTTCCACGCCGAACTCGAACGGAACAACGATCGCGACGGCAAGGAGGACGAGTTCCTCGACTTGGGCCGAGGCTTGAGATGCGGAGCGTTGACCATCACCGATGAGAGTGGAAGCAGGATCCCCCTCAACTATTTCGGGGAGAGCCGAAAGGGCTCGTACTACGAACTCATGTCAGTACTGCCAGGGTTTGCAGAGTTCACGTACGGCTTCAGGAGGATCAGCCCCGAGCTCTTGGAATCGCTCGGCCGCCACCTGATCCCCGGAAGAACGTATCGCGTTGGCTTTTCGGGCCAGCCGATGGGAATCATGTGCGAGATTGGGGACGAAGACCTGGAAACGCACGAGAGGCAGGAAGCCGAGATCGAGCCGTCGTGGGATCCGCGAGAAATTCCATTCACGGTCGTAGCCGGCGCTCGAAAGCCCCGGTTCACAATGTCCGTCACCGCCCCTTCGTCAATCTGTCACACCTCCGGCATCCCGGCCTTCCACGTCGTCATGCTCGTGACGTCGCTCGAGCGAAGAGCCGTGACCGTGAATGTCCAACTCGACGCTTTTGCGGACATGTGGCCTCAGGACCCGGCTCACAGGTGGGAGAAATGGGGCTCGTATGACATGTTCAGAATCACCCGCGAGAGCGACGGGTGGGAATGTTTGCTCAACGCCAAACATCCTCCCGAGCAAACCCTCCGACCCGCCAAAGACTTCCGGCCCGCGAACGGGCTCCTCGAATTCAATCACGGCACCACCTACACCTACCACTTCCATCTCGGCGCCGAGGATCTGAACCAGCGCCTCAGGCCTTCATACATCCACAACGAGCCCTACATCCTCAGGACGAACCCTCAAGGCTTCGCGGCGTGGGATTACGGCACGGAGGCGGAGCTTTCGCGGACGCATCGGACACCGAGCGACTGGTGCAGGCACGGACCCATCGTTTTCGAACCCGTCTGCGATGTCGCGCTGACCATCGAGGCGATCATGGAGGAGAGGGAGAATCCGATGCCCTTTTTTCGACTGCCGCTCGAGTTGAGGCAGGTGGTGTATAGGTATGTGAGATACGCGCCGTATGCTGATCGGATCCGGTTCACGGCCGATTTGGGTTGATAAGGGAAACAGACAGTTCCATACGGAATGAGAGCTTCGAGGTTAGGGTTTGCGGTCGGAGACCTCGCAGATGAGATTGCAGATTATGATTAGCAGGGCATGTCGTCCAAACGCTCGACGACGGGATCAATGACACCCAGACGGCATCGGGGGGTGCGAGGATGACGGGTTGTCGTGAGTTTAGGGACGACATGGTGTGATATACGTTGGTGACTTTACAGACCTGCAGTCTGAGAACGTTCGTGTTCCGACGTGCATGATGTCTATTCAATGTACGATAGAGAAGCGGCCGAGACCCGGCAGAGAATGGACTACGGAAACCGAATTGCATCAGAGCTATGCGACTCGCTGTGAACTTCATCCCTGGAACCAGAAGATTTGCGTGAGCTGGGACATGATACTCGAGCGGCGAGTTGGACGTTCGAGTAGGGAGATTGAGCGGATGAGGGGTCTTAGGTTTGAGTGGGCGGGGTGCAGGGGAGATGTTTGTTTCTTCGTCATCGGTTTATTTGACCGAGTCGTGCTTCGGGTTCAAACCGTCGCTGTCTCCATACCCAAACGGTATCGAAGTCCAAGCACTCGTGACATTGGCTCAGGATGGCAAAAGTGCGGCGAGTTTTTCGCCGTAGGAAATACATCTCTTCTACACGCAACACCACCATACAGACAGATCATCTCCACCAGCCGTTTCTTCCTTGCACCCTCACCGTTTTCACACCCTCCCCGCCACTCCAGACTGAGAGGAACGTGGTCTAGACTGGGGCGAGGAGACATTGTAAGAAGGCACTGCAGGTAGGGATTGGAAACTGTGGTGAACTGGTAGGGGCTCGAGGTAGCTGAATTGAGGACGTGAATGACTTGACTGGAAACTTCTTGGGGGCAGATTTGCTGGAGAGCGGTGGGCGCAAGCCTGGGAAGGAAAACTTTAAGCCTCGACCTGTGTCAATGAGACGTTTCATGTGTACCGCGGCTGTCCACGGAGTTGTGCGATAGAGTTCCCTTGGAGACCGGAATTCGCGTCTCTCATGGGGTGGAGACCCTTACCTAGAGATCTTCTTCATTCACCAGGATCCAAGAAAGAGTGGCCGGCAGCGTATGACACCACATTCCCATCTACAATGCGAAACAGACGGTTTCTGACCCGTCGATCTCCAGCATACGGCGTAGGCTTGCATGGGGCCTCTTCTCCTGGCAAGCCCCACCAGATGATTGCATTCTTCCAGCCAATGCACTCTTCGTACTCTGTGATCTCCGTCTGCATGCCTTTGCGACCATGGTCCTCATCTGCCCTTTCGACAACCGAGTAGAGATACTTAAGCAGTGTTGGATCGTTCAGTCCGATCACTTGGAGCCAATTGAGCCTGTACACATGTTTGGCGAACAGTTCGAAGTTTGTCCTAACATCCTGTGAACTAGCCACAGCCAGTCCTCGGCCCAAAGTGATGGTGATTCCCTTGAGATGAGGGAAGTCAGTTGCCAGGCTGAATGGGTTTCCCATGCAGTATTGCCACCAAGGATTTCTGCCGTGGTATGTTTCTCTTTTCTTCGGTATCCTATGCCTCGTGAACGGCATGAGAACGTGGACCCTCTCGATAAAGGGAGCTTGAGCTTGATCTGTAGACCAGCGAAAGAAGTTTGGCGTAGCTGCATCTTCGAAACAGAAAGTATTGGACCGGTAGAGCACTGGTGCAGCTTCACGGTGAATAAACCGACACGTCCTGAGAAGTGCAGGCCAAAGACTTGGGGCTTGCTCAGGACCTTTTGGCCATCTTATGAGGTTTGGTGACTGCCCGCATCCTAAGTACTGATGGGACATGTAGCTTTCGATTCCTCCGAAGGATCGTCCACAGAGTGCGCAGTGCTTGTAAATGCCAACTCCTTTGCAGTTCCTTTGCCGCTTGAACTGGTTGCTGGGTATTAGGATCTCTGCTGTGCTGTGCAACAGTTGTGTGTATATCATTATGCGGATCTCGAGAGGAAGACCAAAGAGTGTACTTGAGGTCACGGTCATCTCAAGTGAAGGTCTTTTGCTGGGTGCCATAGCTTCTGGAAGAAATAAGAAATGCTCTTCTTAGACGGGCTTTGTGTCGTTCATCGAATCAATCTAGTACCCAGCAACGCAGGAAACAAGCTACAGGTCCTGAATACGGTAGAGCTTGTACTTTCTGTCAGGGAACGGCGACGTCAAATAGAAGAGTCGTGTACCATCAACCGGAAGTGATTGAACAGTGCTGACCAACGAAGGAAAATCTTCGATAAGGAGAGAGTGTCTTGTTAAATGTTTTATATAGTCCGGAAACAACTATTCGATGTCTATGTATTCAATTAGCAACACAATGATGGCATAATTTCCACAAGATGGGGTGCCAACGGTCAGTAGCCAAAAGTGAGGGGTTCTGACATCTTACGGAAAGGACATTGCGGAGCGTACTTCAGTCTCAGTGACGCCCCAGTTACTTGTATGAGGATTTGTCGCAAGCTGCAAATCGATTCTTCGTATGCAATATCGAATTGTTGGTCTTCGAGCAACATACAACGCTAATCTGTAAAGTGTCTGCTTTACTGTAAATCACGAGGCAGGGATTGTCAGTTGCGTAGAGCCCTCCTCGTCGCTCCGTTTGCTTGATACTTGTTGCTGCGGTTGATCCCCAATCACTCTGTACTTGTGAGGCACTGCTTCACCCGGAAATCCCCACCTAAGTAAGCCATTTTTCCAAAGACCTCCTGTCTCATTTGCCCAGGCATGCCTTCGCACCTCCTTTTTGCCATTCTTAGAGTCATCCTCTGTCCACTAATGGTTCGAAGCAGTCAAGCACCTTTTCATGACTCAACTTCAAGACAAGCACCCAGTCCAGTCCTTGGGACCTCCTTCTGAAAGCTTCAGACATCGAGCGTAGAAGATTCGCCTCCTCTGCCCCAAGGCGCAAATGGAGATCGATTGTCATACGCCTGAGATAAGGGAAGTCTTGACCGAGACTGAGTCTCTGTTTCGTGAGGTATGTCACCCATGAAGCGACCTGTTTGTGATGTTGGCGGGCAAATTTGATCCCGATCTCCTGGATTGCCCAGCTTGTGCGCAATCAGTGCCCCAGCGGAAGCTGCTCGCAGTAGCGGGATCAGAGAAACGGAAACTGTCTCGAATAGAGAATAGGGCTGGCTTAAAGTCGGATAAGACGACAAGTCTGAAGAAGTGATGTTGACAGCTCCGGGAGAAGAGGCCGTACCGGTTCCTGATAGACTGGGTTTGCGCGCCGGTGATGCTTTGCAACATGTTGCACACAGCCTTTGTTACTCAGAAAAATGAGCCCGCAAAACAGGCATTCGTACGGCATGGAACTTGTTCTTCCATAGTTTCTGCGCGCGAAGATGTCGCTGGGGATGGACATGCCCTCCTTCTGAATGGGCAGCAGTTTGTAGATCATGATGCGGACCTCCGACGGGATTTTGAAAAGAGAGCTGGCACTCACAGCTACCTCGAAAGCTGGTCTATGCTGACAAGGCATGGTGGTCAGTAGCCTTAAAAGTGTTGAAGGTACACCTTGGTACGAAGAGCATTGCGGGGTGGAACGAGAACTTGAGCTGCAGCGTCCGACTTCAAACCTCGAGCATCTTTTGAAGAACCATGAACGAACAGACGACGAACAGCTAAGAATTGGAGTGAGACATTGAGGTGGAGCATAGGACTTCAAGTCACGGGAATATCCCCAAGGACAGAAGGTCAGGTAGTACACGCTATAGCTAGAAGCTGGGCCCAGATAGAGAGCGTATCGATCAACCCTGACCCAGAGCTCGAACACTAGATCGGGTAATGAATTTTGAGAACTCGGTGTACTCTACTACCCTGCAAAACGAGGTCTTGTGAGGTGGTGCAGAGGGAAATGAGACCTGCTGGTGCTTGATATTACGGTGATGATTGCGCCTAGATTCTTTATCAGAACATTATGTGAAAAAGCAATTCGGGAGGTGTCGGTGTAGGGGCCGACCTGTTCATTATCATAAATTATGAACAGGTCTGAGAAGTTAGTGGGGGGTCCTCAATCTATCAAAAGTCCTCAATCGATCAATCTTTTAGATTTAACTCAGAAATGCTTGCTTAACATATTACATGCTGCCGACAAAGAATCCCCATCTCATCTCTCTACACTTCCTCGAATCAAATCTATCTAGCAATCTCTTGACCTATATCCGCCATATCCAGCTCCTCCGTTACCCCTCGAAGCCTAGGCTCCCCTATCGAAGCTGTCGTCACACTCTCTCCACACAATGGCCCCTCCCATGCATCAACAAACCTCATCCCGCACCCATTCCACCACCACTACAGCGGCCACAGCTACGCAAACCCTAACATCAAACCCCGTTCTCCGCCTGCGTGCTACAGCTCCCTCACCGCAGAACCGGAGGCGGATACAATGGGCTGAAGACGTCGTCGACAATGAGGGACTGGGGCGGAAGACATCGAAAGGTTCGTGCATCTACGCCCGGTGGCCCCTTTCTCCTACTACGAGGCCATAACTGACTGACTGACATGGCACGACGATTCTAGTCTGCTGCATCTACCACGCGCCCCGCCCCGTCGGCGAATCCTCTTCCGAGTCCTCCTCCGGCTCCTCTTCGGACAGCGACTCCGCGGGCGACGACAGCGGGAACAACGATGGCCGGGCGCGCATGGGCGGGAAGGGCAAAGCGAAGAAGCAGAGGCATCGGCACGGTGAGCCGGGCGAGGGCTGTGGGCATGATCACGGTGATGGGGGACGAGGGGAAAGTGCGACGGGGAGGGTGAAGAGGAAGGGTGCGAATGCTTATGAGACGGCGCCGAAAGTGAAGACGGCGGAGGTCAAGCCGTGAGGTGTCGGAAAGAGGAGGTCGGTGGGCTCCGTACAGTGTAGAGCATGGGCAGGCGTTCTAAAGGGATCATTGCCCATAAGATTCGGCAGTGAGCTCGAGGGACTGGATCCTTTCTGTCGGTTGCTCGATTCGTCGATGGGCCGGAAAGTATTGTGTCGGCTTCCCTCTGGCTAAAAGTCGCCGAGATTGAAAAAAAAGGTTCGGGTCTGGAGAAGCGGCTTTTGTGGCTTTTCCTTTTAGCTTTTCCCCCCGTGAATGCCAATGTCGAAAGTTCGGGCAGGCAAACCCCACGGGGCAGCCTTTCGGAAGCATGTTCAATGTCATCACAACAATGAGAGCTGCGGGTCTAGAGGCTGGGCGTCCGGGACGTTGCGCAAAGCCCGGCGGATCATTGCCGTCTTCGACCAGAAAGCACACGAGCAAGTTCGGATGGGACTCGCTGGAATTCAATGATAAGCGTTCAGGGATCACCCGATGGTGCCCGGATGGCGTGCAGGAAACCTTCGGCATTGAAAAGGCTCGATGCGGCAGGTGCTGAGCTTAGTTCGACGACTTCAATACGCAGGGTTGGTGATGATTGGTATATGCTTATTTGTGCTATGCGTCTTATATACGAGTACGTGCGAATCAAATGCTCAAAACTTCATATGCTCGTACACCACATGACTCGAATTTGCCAGCGAGATTATGCAGAATGATTCCAAAGATACAATGCAGTAGGCTGACCTATCAGACGTTTGGAGAAGATAAGGAAATATGCAGAAATCATGTATTCACTCCCTTAGTTCGCCCAGCCACCTGCTCAAGTTGACTTGGCGGCGAATCCGATTTCGGGCGTGCTGGCACCGTTGAACACTACGAACTGCGACTTGAGGAAGATGTCACCGTAGATAGAGAAGCCAATGCCGGCATTTGATTGAATACCACCGAAGCACTCTGTAAGTTTGTTAGTATGTGTCCAATAACAGAGGCAGGGTGAGAACTTACGGCTGCCAGTTGCTGGGGCATAGTTGATGTAAGTTCCTGGAACAACGGCTCTGTAGCTTCCGATGCCAAGCGTAATGCTTGGTAGAGTAGCAGAGCACGGGAAGATATAACCTCCTTGGGATGCACTGTTGGTGGCACCGGAGACCTTGGCGTAGTAGGCCTTGACAGCTGCGGCTGGGAGATACAGAAGCGTGGTACCCGTGTCGGCGATGGCGTCAATCGACGACGAGACGAACGTTCCAGAGCCGACAGCATAGCCGTTTCCGGTGAATTCCCAGAATCCATTGGCGGTGTTTACAGGGACGTAAGTGATGCTGCCCGTGTGTTCGGAGGAATCAATGTAGCCAAAGTTGTAATTGCCCGGGTTACCTTTCTTCAGATTTGCAGTGAAGAGAGGAGAAGCAAGAGTGGGTATGGCGTTTTCGAAGAATGTCGCCACCTGGTTTGGGCTCGCTGTATTGATGCTATCGAATGCAAGGCCAAGTAGCCCGTCGCTTGCGGCATCGGATTGGAATTCTGCGCTGATTGTTTCCGCTGCCTCGACAGCCTGGCTGGTCACGGTGGTACCACCAACCACGACTTTATCGATGTAAACGTTGCCTGATGCGCTGCTTCCATCGCCATAAGAAATGCTCCACGTCTCTCCACTGTCTAATTTTCCGGATGTGGAAGGATTGTAGAGAGTGTGGCCACTCTGCTCGTTTGTGGGAAGCTCGGTTGAGAACACCCATCTTCTGGAATTCAGTACTTGCAAGTTTGTGGGCTACGGGTGCTTATGAATGCCGCTTACAAGTCAGATGACCCAGTGTCAAAGTCCAGGTTCAAAGTCGTTCCACCAATAGTCACAGGACACAGATACTCAGCATCGTATTCCTCCGGACTGGCGGTCACAGTACCATCATTGTTTGCAGCGGCGGCGGCGATGACAGCGGGTACCGCCTTGCCGTATTTGGCGTAGGTTTTGGCCAAGGCAGATGGACCAGACAGGATGAATGGCTTTTGTACCGTCTGATCGAGCCTGAAAGCCGCACCGCCCTTCTTGAGCTCAACCGGGACAGCAGAAATAAGAGATATGAGGGCCGAAGCCGCGCCAAGGGCTCTGATGCAGCTCATGATGTATGTGAAGGACTGGTCTTTAGATTTAGACTGGGACAGATGTATTGTACGGGCGGAATCGAAATTCGTGAGTTGAAGACTGATGAATGAGGCATTTCGAGAGGGGAATTGAAAGACTCTTTATAGACAGTTTATGATCATCACTTGCGAAGCAAAAAACGCTAAGGCGTCTATTTACCAC